CTATTTTTATGTGCTTTTTACACAAAAAAACCCTATAAATTGAATTATTTTTATTATGTTTTAATGTATGATTCTTTGAATTTCTAGTTTCATGGACTGTGTCCAGCCAGTCAATTTCTAGTTTCATGGCATCCAGCCAGTCAATTTCACAATGAGTCAGTCTAGGCTTGTACATAACATTAAATTAAGAGCCCTGGTTGAAAACTTAGACCAATGAAAGGTGTTTATTAGGAAGTTCCGTTTAACGTCTCCGGACGATTTCACTCTTCATATAATATGTAGATGTAGGTTGTGTAAGAATCTTGTCATTTTTATTATCGATCAAATGTCATGTCATATTATTTTATAACTCATGCCACTGTGCGTGTTTATTGTGGAATAACTAGAAAAGGCAATATTTATATATATTATATTATATATGTATATCCCCGTTTTTAAATTGTGAATCAAATTTATCTTGTTTAATGTATCGTTTATGTTGTTGTTCGTAAAATATTAATTATCAATTTGTTTTTACTTGTCCAAACGTTTCTTGTTAGTGTATATATATATATATATATCACAGGGCCTAAGGCCTATTTTTGAAAATTTTAAAAAGGGGCACATTATTATATATGAAATCATTGTTTCATTTTTAAACCAAATATTCTGTACGCTGTCGTCTGCATGTCCTTCGTAAATAAAATTTGAAACGTTCGTTAAAAAAAGGTTGACAGTATATAGGTGATAAGTAAGTTACGATTATTACATGACATGTGGAAAGTTCAATTTTGAGACAATATTTGTAAGGTCTCAATAGACAGGTTTTACTGTAATAGTATTGCCATGATTAGTACAGGTTTCGTTCAAGTAGCCATGGTTTATATATATATATATATATTTTTATGTGGTCACCAGTTTTAAAGCCGCATGTAACCTACCTGCCCCGCCTCCTATTCACTTGTTGATGTCTACACTCATAGAAATACTCTATTTAATCGTGATCTGATAGTACCATTTAAAACTTCATTAATACCGTCTGCTTTAAAAGTTTAAGATATTTACACATGTGACAAGAGAAAATCTTCGTTATCTGTACGCTGTCGGTGTATTTTCTCTTTGAGGTATAAAATAAGTTACACATCACAGAATTTCTCTGTTACATGTTATTAATGACTTGGGGGGGGGGGGGGGGGGTGGATGGCTGAATGGTCAGCGTGTGCGCGCTGTATCATAAAGTCTGTCATTGAGTCGACTGGCGTGGTTTCGAATCCCCGGTTGTACGTGGCAAGGAGTAGGGTCGCCTGTCCAACCTCATGGGTTTTCTCCGGGTCCTCCGGTTTCCTCCCACTGCTAAAGACCCCTATGCGCAAGGGAATTATTGAAATAAAATTAAACCACATGTTAGTCCCGAAATGACCTAGTTTGTGTCGAGTGGACGTTAAACCCCATTTCTCTCTCTCTCTCTTAATGACTTGGTCATTTTTTTGATAATTTCACATATGCTAAAAACTAGAGTTTCTCCATGCCCTCCTTGATTAAAATAAATATTTTTCTTCCTCCGTCAAGCACGGACATGTCTTGACCTTTCAGTTTATTTATATAAAAAAAATCAATTTTACTTTCATTCCAATTCATGACGTCTTATTGCAGAAGTCTTATCATAATCTTCATGTACACCTGTACGCTGGCCATTTGTTTCATGTACACCTGTACGCTGGCCAATTGTTTCATGTACACCTGTATGATGGCCAATCGTTTCATGTACACTGGCCAATTGTTTCATGTACACCTGTACGCTGGATATTTGTTTCATGTACACCTGTACGCTGGACATTTGTTTTCTCTCTAAGGGGTAAATTAAGTTTTAATTCTCGTTAGGATATTTACGCATCCCAGAGAAAAACTTGGTTATAATAGCCATCTGTACTCAAACCAATTTCTTTCTCTAGTTTAAACATATCTTATTACTTTAAAGTCAAACGGATCCAACAAAAGTTGCTAAAACTTACAAAGGAGTTCCCCCTCTGAAGTAAAAGTTAAGTTTACTAAATTAAAACTACATAAGATGTGTTAGGCGTATATTATTATTATTATTATGTACTTGTACGCTAAAAATTTGTTTTCTCTCTGAAGTGAAATTAAAACTCTATACGATGTGTTTGGGCCTAGATTATATTAAAACTATGTACGATGTGTTAGGGCCTAGATTATTATATATATTGTGCTTTGTTGTAAAGAAGCTTTGTCTTGGTTAGTAGAACAATTAAATATAAAGTCATGTATATTGGTTTTATTTCAACATGTCTGTCTTAATAAAGGCATGGACATGCAACAATTTGTGTTTTGTTTTTATGTGAATGGGACACCTGCACCCAATTGAGAGAGAAGGTTTAACATCCACTCAACACAAACTAGGTCATTTTGGGACTAACATATTGTTCAATTTTATTTCAATAATTCGCTTGCGCGTAGCGGTCTTTAGCAGTGGGAAGAAACCGGAGGACCCGGAGAAAACCCACGAGGTTGGACAGGCACCCAATTGACTAATTGCACTCTCTCTCGAGAATAAAAAGCGGGTCAGATGGCCAAATGGTTCGCGCATGCGTGTTGTATCATATGTTCTGTCATTGAGTCAACTGGTGTGGTTTCGATTCCCCAGGTTGTATGTGACAAGGATTAGGGTCGCTTGTCCAACCTTGTGGGTTTTCCTGGGTCCTCCGGTTTCCTCCCACTGCTAAAGACCCATATGTTAGTCCTGAAATGACCTAGTTTGTGTCGAGTGGATGCTAAACCCCATTTCTCTATCTCAGAAATGAACAAGCTGTTGGCAAGAGATGGATGGAGAATGGGAACAAAGATTGTTTTGTTTTTATGTGAAACAGGGGCTAAGTAAAGGGGATATACTGACGTACTTTGTGTCGTGGGTTTAAGAGTTTTTGTGGGCTTTCTCAAATAGGAGCCACGGTGACTCAGTAAGATGTTGTCTCGCTAACCTGGACGTCCCGTGTTTGATGTCTGTGTTGTCTGAGAAAGTTCATCGTGATTTTCCAGCGTGGTTCCCTCTTGTCAATGGTGTAGGAAGGAGAGCCTAGTTGGGGACAATGTCTAGTCGTTTAGATAGGACAAAAAAAGCAAGGTCCTGTGTATCCTTGACAGAATTTGTATGCCTGTCTTCATTAGCCCAGTTGGAGCAGAACAGAAGGACATTAAACACCATTTGATTTCATTTCTCTCTAAAACGGGAACAAGAGCATCGCTACCGCTGCAATGTACGTTCACATTCCAGCTTTGATTGATATGGTACTTTTTAAAATGAAGAGAATGAAATATGAAATGGATGTAATATGATAAGAGGCAAAGAAGGCTAGGTGTTGGGTTTGTTTTGCCACATCTACAGACAAAATATTATAAAAAAAAAGTGGGGCATTCACCAAAATAAATACTTGTTGTCCCTAGGCTATAAGGAATACATGTGCCAAGTTCCAAGATGATCCATTCAGAATTGCAGCCTGTATACAACAAACAGAAAATTGGCCGTATAAAAATGATTCGTTTCAATGTGGTTTTCGTGCTATTTGCAGATTCTGGTCTTTGTTATTTCAGTATTTGTCTGTGGCTCACAACCTACAAAACTACTCTAGCATGTTCCAAACTACTCTAGCATGTTCCAAACCGCATAATTGATATATAGGTGCTCCTTGAAAGACTGTACACCCACTGCCTGGGCAAGATTCCTCTCATAGCACAGTACATGGTGTATGCCCTGATGGAGCAGAAAAGTCGGACGTTAACCCCCTTTCATTTCATTTAATTTTCTTTCAAGGGAGACTGGGTAGAACCACAACATATAACATACATCAACTTGTCTGGAGGGTAATATATTTAGAACCACAACATACAACATACATCAATTTGTCTGGAGGGTAATATATTTAGAACCACAACATACAACATACATCAACTTGTCTGAAGGGTAATATATTTAGAACCACAATATACAACATACATCAACTTGTCTGGAGGGTAATATATTTAGAACCACAATATACAACATACATCATCTTGTTTGGAGGGTAATATATTTAGAACCACAACATACAACATACATCAACTTGTCTGAAGGGTAATATATTTAGAACCACAACATAAACAACTTGTCTGGAGGGTAATATATTTTAATTCATTCACCATTCCGCTGACATATTTCAGTTATATCCAAGGTGTCTGAGATGAGGAAGGAAAAAAAAAACAAATAATTATTTCCTATTAATTTTTCCAGACAATAGTTCACTGACAGCTTAATCTTTGCTAAAATCTACACAGATTGATTATTTAACAGTTAAAGATACATTATGGGAGATTCGATAACGAGTTGGCGGTTCGCATTATAATAGTTATAAACTAGATAATGTAAAGGCAATTTGCTGAAAATTTCATTCAAATTGATCCACTATGAACCGAGAACTAAGCGTTTGGAATTTCTGCCTAGCTTCGATCATCATTACTAAAGTCAGTACGATAAACAGCATAGTCACGATTATCCATTTAAACGTTAAATCGTGAAGGAAAGTTGTGCAGTAAATCGGCTCACAATCCACTAAAGAAAATGAAATGAAATGAAATGGAGTTTAACGTCCTACTGTTCTGCTCCTAACCTGGGCTAATGAAGACGGGCATACGCCATACAGTGTGCTATGAGGGAAATTTTTGCCCAGACAGCGGCACTACGTCCTACTCTTATATCGAATTCCAACTGCCAAGGGATCTTTTACGTGCACGCCAATGTGTACACGGGACCTCGGTTTTTCGTCCCATCCGAACGACTAGACAGCTTTCCTTGTCAGCCCCTCCGTCCTGCATCACTGACAAGGGAGAACCACGCCGGAAAATCTGGATGAACTTTCTCGGCCAATGCAGGGATCGAACACCCGACCTCCAGGCTAGCGAGCTAGCGTCTTACCCACTTAGCCACGTGATCCCCAATCCACTAAAGATCACAGAGTTGATTATGGTCTGGATAGGTTAATTAATGTTTAATTAATAATTTAGATAACATTTCAGGCCTAAAGAAAGACCTGCAATAGACAGATTTAGCTCTTGCATAATGTATGTTTAAGTAAAAAAAAATAAACAAACAAAAATATTAACAGTAGATAATCTAGCAACTTGGATTGAATAGGATTAAAAACAGGTCCATGCCCTTATTTATATTGATAATATTTGAACCATTTACAGACTGGAGCCACGGTGACTAAGTGAGTAAGACGCTGGTTTGCTATTGTGGACGTCACAGGTTCGCTCCCGGCGTTGGCTGAGATAGTTCTTCAGGATATTCTGGCGTGGTGCATGTCAGAGGGCCAGACAAGGACAGCTGTCCTGTGTACAAATTGGTGTGCATGTAAAAGATCCCTTGGCAGTTGGAATTCGATATAAGATTAGGCTGTAGCGCCGCTCTCTGGGCAAAATTACCCTTATAGTCCAATGCCTGTCTTCATTAGCCTAGTGACCAGTAGGAGCCGAACACATCGTAGTTCGCTTAGGTCACACAAACCCAATACTTAACGAATTGAGCACAAAGATATCTCAGTGAAAGGTTCAAAGGTTATCACAGGTCGGAGATTTATATAAAAGTTTTAACAACAACTTTAACCCCATGGTCTTCAGCGAGCTTCCTCAAGTTGTCGTCAAAACAATCTGTCCACGAGAAGAGTGGTGAGCACGAGCAGCGATTAGACTAGGTGGGGGGGGGGGGGGGGGACACTACATCTAACTACCTATATCTATACTAATATTTGTGACTGTCGTTTGTCTGTGTAGGGTTGGCTAGGGTTGGCGGCTACACTAGGGCTCTCCCGAGGCTGAAATTTGGTGTATAGGGGTAGTTCCAACCGGGGAGTAACATAGGCTAGATGGCGTTGGTCTACCGCTTCTGGTTTCGACGTTACGGACAGTGTCGGGTTATTCGCTACTATTATAATAAAAACGTTGATTGACGATTCTTGTCTGATAAAATCTGTGACAGGTGCCCTTTTGTACAGGTTTGTTTATAATCAGTGCCATGTTATTCATTAACCATCCTTCAGTTGTATAATGGTACTTGATAAAGGTGTCTAAATGTATAGAGCAGCTGGTTAGTCCTGTCTACAAACACTCAGTAGAGCAGCTGGTTAGTCCTGTCTACAAACACTCAGTAGAAACTTACACGAAAATTTGAAAAAGTAAATTTCGTGGTCTGTTAATGTATTTCACCGTTCATCGTCATCACAGATAAACAAGATATAAATATCGATCACAATAAAAAAACTACTTGATAATCAAGTCTTATGTATCGTCTGATACTTTCTGTCATAGAGATATAAAAAACTACTTGATAATCAAGTCTTATGTTTCTTCTGATACTTTCTGCCATCGCGACTTCTTCTTCTTCAAACTGAGGTTGGTGGGTTGTGCAGACGTCAGGAGGACGGGGGAATGAAGCAGAAGTGAAATACTTGATTCTGAAAATAAAAAATAAAAGTCTTAGAATTGAGTTTAAATTGACATCAACAATAATAACACAATCGGTATTTGATATGGTCGCTACTATGTACTGGTTATGGACATCAATATCAATGACACTGAGTCAACTGGCGTGGTTTCGAATCCCCGGTCGTACGTGACAAGGAGTAGGGTCGCCTGTCCAACCTCGTGGGTTTTCTCCAGGTCCCCTGGTTTCTTCCCACTGCAAAAGACCCCTACAGGCAAACGAATTATTGAAATAAAATTAAACCATATGTTAGTCCCGAAATGACCTAGTTTGTGTCGAGTGGACGTTAAACCACATCTCGATTTCTCCATTCCTTCTTCATTTTAGGGGATCACGTGGCTAAGTGGGTAAGACGCTAGCTCACTAGCCTGGAGGTCAGGTGTTCGATCCCTGCATTGGCCGAGAAAGTTCATCCAGATTTTCCGGCGTGGTTCCCCCTTGTCAGTGATGCAGGACGGAGGGCCTGACAAGGACAGCTGTCTAGTCCTTCGGATGAGACGAAAAACCGAGGTCCCGTGTATACATTAGAATGCACGTAAAAGATCCCTTGGCAGTTGGAATTCGATATAAGAGTAGGCGATAGTGCCGCTGCCCGGGCAAAATTTCCCTCATAGCACACTGTATGGCGTATACCCGTCTTCATTACCCCAGCATAGGAGCAGAACAGTAGGACGTTAAACACCATTTCATTTCATTTCATTTCTTCATTTTAGCCCCATCGGAGCAGAACAGTAGGACGTTAAACGCCATTTCATTTCATCAATAACCATTCTCAGTTTGAAATAAGTTTTAATAGCATGGCCAGCCATCAAAGTTTTAATAGTGATGAAAATATCCATATATCTTTTTAATACTAGATTTTAAAATGGTGGAATTATGATATACATCATGAAAAGCAGATTTCCACACACAATTCAATTTGCTTAAAAGACATTTTCCAACGTGGTTTCCCCTTGCCAGTGGTACAAAACGGAGGGCCTGACAAAGACAGCTATCTAGTCATTCACTGGCAGTTGGAATTCGATATAAGAGTAGGCCATAGTGCTGCTGCCCGGGCAAAATTTCCCTCATAGCACACTGTATGGTATATACCCGTCTTCATTAGTCCAGTCGGAGCAGAACAGTAGGATGTTAAACCCCATTTCATTTCATTTCTGGTTAAAAGACGAAAGTAAATCTATACAATATCTGACTAAATGTAGTTGTCTCCCCCTGAAATTTCAATATGTAAATTAATACAGGTCATAGGGGTTAAAAGGTCACCAAACCATGTCCCAATGCACTTATATGCTCAAATTCATCAAATCTAACATCAAGACGCTGAAAGTATCTTGACAGAATTCAACCAGTAGACTGTTATTCTCATTATAAGGGGAGATAATCTACAGATTGTACTACAGAAGGATTGAGATAAATTGGGTTTAACATCCACCGGATCATATCGGGACTAACATATAGTTTAATTTTATTTAAAGGCTCAATACCACTCTTGTTGTAACTGAATAATATGTCCCAATCTTTATTCTGGTCAACAAATTGCACTAGTTTACAATATTCCAATTAATTGATGATACAAATTTCATTTTAACACACCTAATTTAAAAAATTGGAAAAATTCAACTAAATGATGTGAAAGGCCTAACGTAAACCTTTTCAAATGTGACTTGGATTTTAAAATATTTTGTAACCCTCTGGACAAGTAAAATAGGATGTAATGGATAATTTACACAACAGGTAGGACACTTAAACATCTAGTACTTAGAATAAGGCTATTTTTTTATTTTCTGGAGCTGTCAAGCCAGCAAGAGTGTTATTGTCCCTTTAACACTGGAGGGTAAGAAACGGGGTTTAATGTCAACTCAACACAAATTAGGTCATTTCAGGAATCAAAACCACAGTCAAGAACCCTACGCAGAAGCGTATTATTAAAATAAAAAATTGAACCCTATGTTAGTCCCCAAATCACATAATTTGTGTCAAGTGGATGTTAAACCCCATTTCTCTCTCTCTTTCTCTCTACTGCCTACAGGTATCTAATCTTACATAATGCATCTTTAACTATAAGAAATAACATACCATCTATATTTTGACTAATTTGAGTCCATCGTATTAAAAAGGTAATTCTCTCCTCTCTTCTCAGACCAATCGGGTTTAATCCTCTAACAAAACATGCCTACAAAATAATCGTTCCATTTGCACTATATTTAAGTCATATTTTTTGTCCCATAGGAAGAGCTAAGGGCACTTTCCTTGCCAGTCCCATGGCTCACAGGTGCCACCTTTAACAAGTAATATGGTAAATGAAATTGAGCAAAATGAAATGAATGAAATAAAAATGAAATGAAATAAAAAGAAATGTAATGAAATGTTTTAATGTCCATCTGTTCTGCTCTGACAGAGCTAATAAAGATAGGTACATGCCATACAATGTGCTATGAGGGAGACAGGTAAACACCATATAGTGTGTTAGTGAAGATAGGTACACCCTATACAGTGTGCTAGGAGGGAAATTTTGCCCGGACAGAGGCTTTAATTTTCAAAATGCAACTGTCAAGGGTTCTTTTACGTGCACGCATATGTATACACGGGACCTCGGTTTTCATTCCATCGAAATGACAAGGCACTGCCGTCCTTGTTAGGCCCTTTGGCCAACTAGGATAAAAGCCCCTCATGCCGATTTATAACCCCCAAAAAAGAAGAAATATTATCTAAATAATACAAACCAATTTTTAATTCGTCATTAAGTAAATAAGATATTCCTTGTCAGGCAGTTGACATGGGAAATACAACAGGGAAAAAATACCCTGATATGGACATATGTCTGGAAAAATGAAATAATACGAACCCTTTCTAATTCATCATTAAGTAAAGTAGGTATCCCTTCTTTAACCATAGCTTTATCAGTATACAATAATAACAGTATACTCTGTTTTAACTTCTTCCTTCTTAAAGACATACCATAACTCTTAGCTAAATGTCTCTATAATAAACACATAAATACTATAACTCTTAGCTAAATGTCTCTATAATAAACAGATAAATATTATAGACTTAGCTAAATGTCTCTATAATAAACACATAAATACTATAACTCTTAGCTAAATGTCTACATAATAAACACATAAATACTATAGACTTAGCTAAATGTCTCTATAATAAACAGATAAATACCATAACTCTTAAATACCGTAGACATAGCTAGAAGTTTCAATAAATACTGTAGACATAGCTAGAAGTCTCCATAAATACTGTAGACATAGCTAGAAGTCTCAATTAATACTGTAGACATAGCTAAATGTCTTAATAAATACCGTAGACATAGCTAGAAGTCTCAATAAATACTGTAGACATAGCTAGAAGTCTCAATAAATACCGTAGACATAGCTAGAAGTCTCAATAATATAAATCCATGTACTATAGCTAGATGTCTCTACAATAAACAGATAAATACCATAACTCTTAGCTAAATGTGTCTACAATGTAAATAAATTTGTAACTTACAAGGTAAGTTATAGAGATTCTATCTATATGATATGGTGAACCATTAAACAAACTTTTAACTTGCAGTATTTCATCTGTTGTGGGAAGAACGTTGTGTTCTAACTGAAAAAAACATAAATAATATATATATATAACTGTCCAGGGATCATTGCTTCACATGTGTACAACAGACTTACTCAACTGGTTTTATAACTGCCCAGGGATCATTGCTTCACATGAGGGTACACCGGAAAAGCTTCATGTCATTTTAGTCCTTCTGCTCATATCTATCCAGGGTTTCTTTTTGTGCATGACATCGTCTACACGGGGCCTCAGTGTTTCGACCCATCCAACCGACTAGACATTGTACCGTACCAGGCTGTGCGTCCTGATCAATTGGAGACCAAGATCGGACGACATATTTTACAGTCTGGATAACTTTTACTTTATTACCAAGAAAAGGAGACAAATGGGTTTAACTAATATGAAACCAGTAATATTAGGGGTTAGGGGAGACATTTTATCTTAGATGAAATATTTAACTTCTGTAGAAACTGTGGTTGAAGCGTCGTAAAATGACGTCACAGATTGTTTATTGAAGGAAAGTTACGACTACGAACGGAGAACGGCAGAAATTATTAACATCGAAATTTACCTGTGGCAGGTAATATTGAAAAAGGATATGTTGACATAATTACTTGCATTATTTAAAAAAATTATGAAGCTTTTCCATGACCTTTGATCAACCTAATTCAATTACCTTTCCTACAATTTTGCGTATTTTTTTCTGTAAATTGTCGTCCGTTATATGTCGACTGTGAAATTTGAGAGACTGGATAATTGGACTATAATGTTCGATTTGCTTCTTTAAATCCTGAGTGTAAAATTGAATTCTTTGTTCTGGTGTCCAGAAATGATGCGACAACAGAAACCGTGGAAACATATACCTTGAAAAATAAACAAAATTCACATTCAAAATCATTTTTCTTGCGTCTTACCCATCACAGAAATCTTTCATATTATTCTTATACACAGCTGGCTCCAGGTTGATCATGCAAGTCAAGAGAAACCTTGTGATCATTCAGGCCTGTTTCCTAATTGACAGGGCTAGCTCATGCAAGGCTTACAAGGAAAATGTTTGCCTAGTTACTTAGATGATCAAAAAAGCTGAGGTCTCTATTAACTTCTGTGCTGGAGTAAACATAACAGATGCCTTAACAGTTGGAATTTGACAAGGAGTGGCGTGAAACAGTCAAATACCTCCCCTGTAGCACGGCACATATGACCATATAAAAAGATAAGTTGCCAGGTAAGTCATTTGAGCAGTCCACAATGGTTGTGACATGATGTCTTTAGTCGGTAATTAAAACATTTACAAAAACTGATAAAGAACAGTAAACCCATGAGGTAATTATTAATAGGATTTGTTTAGCTTCCACAATTGTAACTTGAAAATCAATAGGATTCCTAGTCAATCTAATTAAAACACAGATCTTATTTTGTTTCATTTTTTATAGTTCAATATTTATTTGTACTACACTAGGATCTGGAAGAGTTGTTATATAACCTGCTTGGTTCTGAATCCCCGGTTGTACGTGGTAAGGAGTAGGGTCGCCTGTCCAACCTCGTGGGTTTTCTCCGGGTCCTCCGGTTTCCTCCCACTGCTAAAGACCCCTACGCGCAAGCGAATTATGTAAATAAAATTAAAAAAACATATGTTAGTCCCGAAATGACCTAGTTTGTGTCGAGTGGACGTTAAACCCCATTTCTCTCTCTCTATAACCTGGGTTCTGGATGGCGTGAGGGATTAGCCAATAAAACCATCTGTTACGGCAACTTCTTGGCGTGCGATGCACGGAACTGTGGCTAAACCACTCGAAACGTCAACGCTGATTGATTAATCAATGTCTGATGTCATAGGGTCAAAAGACGTTCGTATGACTTCTGACGCGACCTTTGACTACAACTGGTCAGATCTTCATGTAAGTGTAGGCCATCGACAGTATAAAAAAAGAAACAAAATATAGATCTGTATTTTAATCAGATTCGATTCCTAGTCTCATGAACTTAAACGCAGTGGGGGTCACGGTGGCTAAATGGGTTTCATACTAATCCAATTTGTTTAACTTACGCTAAAGGAAAAACACTGGAACCAAATGGTATTCCTGACACTACGAGTAAAGGTGTTAATCGCCAAAATGCTTTTGGTAAATGTGTGTAGACCTCTAACTCAACTCTAGAAAAATCACTCAAATCTTTACCACCCCATAATTCTGTTATAACTCTATAATAGATTTTAAAATCATGGAAGAAGCCTTTCATTCCTGTTAAAATAATAGACAACATTATTAATATTACGACCTTTCTTCCTTTTAAATTTTGTTAGGGCTAAATGAATAATTAAGAGAGTGGTTGATCAGATAAGGGTTTATAATACAGGTGGGGGGAGGTGGTGTAAGGGGTGGGGTGAGGGAGGGGGCTTAGTGAGTAGGATAATGGCTAAGTAAGTAAGGGGACGGCTTAGTGAGTAAGGGGATGGCTTAGTGAGTACGAGAATGGCTTAGTGAATATGGGGATGGCTTAGTGAGTATGAGAATGGCTTAGTGAATATGGGGATGGCTTAGTGAGTAAAGGGATGGATTAGTGAGTAAAGTGATGGATTAGTGAGTAAGATGTTTCCCAATCGGGTAAAGTGCTGATGAAATTCCTACTGAGATATTAACTTTATACTCACCAGTTTTAAAATATGATAAATTTCTACTGATATACATGTATGAATAAAAAAAACTCACCAGCTTTAAAAGTATGATAAATTTTATAAACTTTTGGATATCGTAGAACTACATGATTCTCAGATTTCTTATAGAAATCCATCTGTTTCTTCACCATGTATCTTTTCAACTTTCCTGGTGGTGTCACACCTGAATGATGTCTCTCATGTTGATCTGTTGAATTTAGTCTTAAAAAAAAACAAAAACAAAAAAACAACGGTTTTGTGTTTGTGTTTACATAGCCCCTGCGTGAATCTAGTTTCATTTTGTGGGAAGCCTCTATCAATAGACTACAGGCCTAGGCACCGCAGAGCCCAGTGGACGCTAACACAGAACTAGCTAGGGTAGTTTTATTCACTTAAACAGGGTCGACTGGTCCTTTAATGACAATGGAAACCCTTATTTTGGCAGGGAATACTTAATGTCCAGATAATTATAGCAAATTAAAGAAAGCTCCAAGAGAATTGAGAGAGAGAGAGAGATCCGGTTTAAGGTCCACACGACACAAACTAGGTCATTTCGGGACGAACACATGGTTCAATTTTATTTCAATAAATCGCTTGCGCGTAGGGGTCTTTAGTAGTTGGAGGAAAACGGAGGACCCAGTGAAAACCCACGAAGTTGGACAGACAGCCCTACTCTTTGTCACCTCGCCAGTTGATTCAATGACAGATACTGCACGCATGCACCTGCTAACCATTCGGACATCCAACTCCGCCAACTAGGATTTAGGAAATGAAATGAAATGAAATGGAGTTTAACGTCCTACTGTTCTGCTCCTAACCTGGGCTAATGAAGACGGGCATACGCCATACAGTGTGCTATGAGGGAAATTTTGCCCGGACAGCGGCACTACGGCCTACTCTTATATCGAATTCCAACTGCCAAGGTATCTTTTACGTGCACGCCAATGTGTACACGGGACCTCGGTTTTTCGTCCCATCCGAACCACTAGACAGCTTTCCTTGTCAGCCCCTCCGTCCTGCATCACTGACAAGGGAGAACCACGCCGGAAAATCTGGATGAACTTTCTCGGCCAATGCAGGGATCGAACACCCAACCTCCAGGCTAGCGAGCTAGCGTCTTACCCACTTAGCCACGTGATCCCCAAAAAACTAGGATTTAGGACAACTGATGTTGTTGACTTGGACACTATAAACTATGGGTCGTCATTTTATTAAAATTCATTGTTTATTGGTCTATTATTGTTTTTGTTTTTTTTTGTATAAACCAATGGCAATAGGAACTATAACAAGAGCAATAACATTTTGGAAATATCTCTAAGGCCTGAAAAGAGAGTTATTTCCCTTCTTACAGACGGCAATTTCATCAGTTTTCACGGCTTCGTCAATAAAATTCACTTGTCAAACATTTATGCGAAGAATAACGAATTTAAAATCCTGTTTCTCAATTACATTATTATTACCTGCAAGATGCTATGTAAGCAGAATTACAGGGGTGAATTCCATTCAAATTCCTTAACGAAATTAACCTTCTGCAGGCTGACATCTTGTTTTAAAAATTTAGTATTTATTTAATTTCAGGTCTAAAAAATTTTTTATTAAGAAAATTAATGATGTATTGTAATTACAAAGTATAATTAATGTACGGATTATTTTTATAAATATTATTTAAGTATGGCAAAATAAATGTGTATTTGAAATTATGTTAATTTTTAAATTTTCGTTTTGGATACAGAAAGATTAATAAATTTTATCCACCAAGGAAAGGCTACTCTAAAGTAAAAAAACTGAAAGTAGAGAAATGACCGTGCTCTGTTTCTCGCGAATATTTTCAGTTTTAAAGCCACGGAATTGCCCATATCATCTCAGATTGCTGTCTTCACACGGCAATCCATTTGGGATAAAGGTATACGAATTATACTCGAGTGTTTGTTGTAAATAAAACAAAAAAAAACCCCAAAATCAAGAGCACTTTCCCAGAATGTTTCCATTATTTGCTCAATTTTTCTCAGTCAAGTGACGTGTGCACACAGTCTACTGTAAAACATTTCAATTTTTCTCGGCAACAACAAACAACTTTACTTACTGTCTGAACCTTGCTATTTTATAAACGGATTTCTTCGATTATGAACAAACTATTTAACTTTGGTTATTATATATAAACTTACTTTTCAAGAGAGAACTTTTTTATTCGTTGGGATATTTAATTGTGCAATGGATTGTATTTAACCAGAGTTGATTTCAAACACACAGGTAAGTTTATAATAACCAAAGTTAAATAGTTTCATAATCGAAGAAATCCGTTTATAAAATAGCAAGGTTCAGACAGTAGTTGACTATTTGATAGAATTTGAAAGTTTGTAATTTTCCTAAATTTGTACAGCTTGTAATGAAACATTGTGTTGATGGATCCCAGCCTAATCGTTAGCCAGACCGCGAATCTGTCAATGAAGTGTAACGGTAGCCTATAAGGAAACGCTGCTGTGTCTGTGCAAAAGTTCCCTCCAGACACACTGCTTTGCTTATGCCCTTTGGTCAATAATCTGGTTGGTTCAGCAAAATGGGACGTTAAAATACATTTCATTTACAATACCACATCATACGTTACGTTGTCGCACCTTTTGGGCAATGTTGGCGCAGTTTTTGCATGATGACCTAATCCGCTATCTAAACGTTAAATCCCATTCTCATTTCATATCCTCATTCCATTTTATAACTTCAATCCATTTCATATCTTCAATCCATTTCACATCTTCAATCCATTTCATATCTTCATTCCATTTCATATCTTTATTTCATTTCATTGTGTTTCATTTCCAATGTATAGGATGGAGGTAAGAAGGTGGAAGGTGGTTTAAATGTAAGAAGAGAGAGAAGTTTACCCAAGAAATTAGAAATAGCCGGAGTTAAAGATGTTATACTCGTAGCATCGGGTAAAGGTGGAGTCGGCAAATCAACAACAGCAGGTTGATTATAGTTTCATATTTTCTCACATTTTATCCTTTTTTACTCAAATAAAAAATTTAAGATATTGTTTGTCACTAAAACTACAAAAGATTTTCATTTCTAAATTACTCCAGCTAGTAAATTTTTGAGATATTTTATTTTATCTTGGATTAGCAATTATATATTTTCCAAAAAATATGGACATTTTTAGCATCTTTGCATGTGTTTTTATACTGTGGGGAATATTATGAGTCACGATACGATACGTATTGTGATTCAGATGCTACAATACGATTCAAATCATGATTTATAACCAGGTCAATATTTACGAGGAAAACAACAGAATAAATGAATAATTGATATATTAGTCCTGCCGATGCCGAAGAAATAAGAATGTTTTTTATTACGATAAGGACCAAAACAATTCCAGGGTGTTTGTGCGGCAATATTATATAACGGAAAACACCGAAAAACACTGAAAAACACTGGAAAACTACCGGAAAACACCATGTTATACTGAATACTGGAAAACACCGGAAACACACTAAATACCGGAAAACACCCTAAATACCGGAAAACACCCTAAATATGTAACCCAGAGCCTGGTCCTCTGTTTGCGGGGGTTAGGGTTAGGTTTTTCTGGTGTTTTCCAAATGAACATGCTCCGGTATTTAGTGTGTTTTCCGGTATTTAGTGTTTTTCCAGTGTTTTCCGGTATTTAGTATAACATGGTGTTTTCCGGTAGTTTTTAGTTGTTTTCCGTTGTTTTCTGGTATATAGTATAGCCCTGTTTGTGTACCTATGGATAATGTGTGAACTGGATAATTAAGAGTGACAGGTTAATTACTGTACTGGTTAATAATAAAAAATAATACTCGAATCATGAGAATATAAAACGTGATACATCAATTCAACGATATATCATACCAGCACTTTATAGTCCAACTTAGATTGTTCAAATTTATCATTTCTATGTGGTTTTGTTTTATTTTGTAGTAAATTTGGCTCTAGCTATGGCGGCCAATGAACCAGTAAGTTGTATATTTTTTAAGTTTTAATAGAAATTGTGAAAATATATTGTAAAGATGAAGAGAAAAACTCAATTACTGTTCTAACTTCTTAAACTAGATAACCGGGTAAAATACTGCAAAGTTACATGTCGATGCTGTATTCGTGTACTGTACTTTACCCATATAATGTTTGTTCTATGTTATGTTAGGGCCTGTCTAGTTGTTCGGATTGGACAAAAAAAACAACGTCCTGTGTACACATTGGCATGCACGTAATAGATTCCTCAACAGATGGAATTCGATATAAGAGTGGGCTGTAGTGCCGCTGTCCGGGCAAAATTTCCCTCATAGCACATTGTATGGCGTATGCCCGTCTTCATTAGCCCAGTAGAAGCAGAACAGTTGGACGTTAAACCCCATTTCATGTAGTGGGTGGGGGAAGGTGGATGGCCGAATGGTTAGCGTGTACTCATTGTATCATAAGGTCTGTCATTGAGTCAACTAGCGTGGTTTCGATTCCCCGGTTGTACGCGACAAGGAGTAGGGTCGCCTGTCCAACCTTGTGGATTTTCTCCGGGTCCTTCAATTTTCTCCCACTGCTAGAAGCCCCTACGTGCAAGTGAATTATTGAAATGAAATTAAACCATATGTTAGTCCCAAAATGACCCAGTTAATTCCTCTAAAATTGTTCATTTCAAGCATTAAGACTAGATTGCCATTTTGAATACTGTAGGGCTGACAAGGAGAGTTTTGATTCCCCGGTTGTATGTGGCAAGGAGTAGGGTCGGCTGTCCAACCTTGTGAGTTTTCTCTTGGCCCTCCAGTTTCCTCCCACCGCTAAAGTCCCTTACGTGCAAACAAATTATTAAAAATAAAATTGAACCATATGTTAGTCCCGAAATGACCTAGTTTGTGTTGAGTGGACGTTAAACCCCATTTCTTTCTCTATAAAGTATCAGTTTCTCTGTTATAAATAATGATTAGATTTTGTAGACAAAAGATATTGGTTTATTGGATGCAGACGTTTACGGTCCATCGCTACCTACAATGATGAATTTACACGGGGAACCTGAGCTTAACTCAAGTAAGTTATTAATAATTTTCATCTTCTGATTACCAGAACATCGTTAATCTTTTAAAGATGCATTATGTAAGATTTAAATAAAGAGATTAGGTCAAAATAAGATGATGTAAAATGAATATATTGAAAATTTCATTCAAATTACTTTGTTCTGAGCGAAGTTATCACTGTTTGAAGTTTTGACAAGATGTGGCATAGATTGTTTATTGCCGTAGTAACGTTACTTGTTAATCGTGTTTAATTGTGTAATTAAATCATTAAATGGTGATTGTATTTCAATCTGTTTAAATCTCCGCCATCCGGTGATCTGGAGATCTCCATTTGACATGAACTGGGTCATTTCGGGACTAACAGATGGTTGAATTGCACATAGTGGAAGGAATCCGGAGAAAACACACTAGACATCTGACCCTACTGCCTGTCACATACAAGCTACAAGCGGGGAATCGATATCATGCCACTTGATTCACCTACCCCCGCTTGGCCTCGAAGAAATTGTCTACTGACTGTCTGGATAATTGAGATATATTATTTTTATTTACAGAGAATCTGATGATACCACTGATGAACTATGGTATAAAATGGTTCGTTGATTTTATAATTAATAAATAAATTGGACTTTTACTATGGTGTGGAGACATGGTGGCTCAGCGAGTAAGGCACTGGCTTAATAACCAGGAAGGCACAAGTTCGACCCCAGGTTATGGGGAGAAAGTTCTTTAAGGTTTTGGGGAAGAAAGTTCTTCAAAGTTTTGGGGGAGAAAGTTCCTCAATCGATCTGATTAAAACAGATCCTATTTCGTTTTTTTTTATAGTTCAAATTTCAATGGATGAGATAAAGAAAAATTGAAATTTGAAATTTTGCAACAGTCAAGGAACCTGGGTTGTTTTTTGTATCATCCAACTGACTAGATACAATATGTTGCCAAGCACTCCGTTGTACACATCTGACACGGGGGGAAACCACAGTGGAAAAAATCTGATGAACTTTGTCGGAGATCTTGATTAGGGATTTTCCGGCATGGTTCCCCCTTGTCAGTGATGCAAGACATATGGCCTGGCAAGAGTAAATGTATAGTCGTTTGGATGGGACGAAAAACCAAGGCCATGTGTATACATTGGCATGCACGTAAAAGATCCCTTGGCAGTTGGAATTCGATATAAAAGTAGGCTGTAGCGTCGCTGTCCGGGTCGCTAATTAGCCCAGTTGGAGCAGAACATCAGGACGTTAAACCCCATTTCATTTCATTCATTTTTTCTTACACCCTGAACCACCTTGTCTCTGTTTCCATAGAAACCCTACAAGTCTATATACCCATACAAATATCTCCTTAAAAAAACTGAAAGAAAAGATCTGACTGCAACGATATATTTCAATTGTTAATTAAATTTTGCTGCCCACCCCTAAGTGAGAGTCTTTTCACCTTCATTGATATAAGTCACAACTGATTATTTTTTACCTAATATGTATTTTACAACAATACCCTAAGCCAATTGTCTTTTAATGTTTTCAGTATGTCTATATTTTTAATGTTTTCAGTATGTCTATGGCTTTTATGTTTTCAGTATGTCTATGTTTTTAATGTTTTCAGTATGTCTATGGCTTTTATGTTTTCAGTATGTCTATGTTTTTAATTTTGTCTATGTTTTAATGTTTTCAGTATGTCTATGGTTTAATGTTTTCAGTATGTCTATGGTTTAATGTTTTCAGTATGTCTATGGTTTAATGTTTTCAGTATGTCTATGGTTTTAATGTTTTCAGTATGTCTATGTTTTTAATTTTGTCTATGTTTTAATGTTTTCAGTATATCTATGGTTTAATGTTTTCAGTATGTCTATGGTTTAATGTTTTCAGTATGTCTATGTTTTAATGTTTTCAGTATGTCTATGGTTTAATGTTTTCAGTATGTCTATGGTTTAATGTTTTCAGTATGTCTATGGTTTTAATGTTTTCAGTATGTCTATGTTTTAATGTTTTCAGTATGTCGATGGTTTAATGTTTTCAGTATGTCGATGGTTTAATGTTTTCAGTATGTCTATGGTTTTAATGTTTTCAGTATGTCTATGTTTTAATGTTTTCAGCATGTCTATGTTTTAATGTTTTCAGTATGTCTATGTTTTAATGTTTTCAGTATGTCTATGGCTTTTATGTTTTCAGTATGTCTATGTTTTTAATGTTTTCAGTATGTCTATGGCTTTTATGTTTTCAGTATGTCTATGTTTTTAATTTTGTCTATGTTTTAATGTTTTCAGTATGTCTATGTTTTAATGTTTTCAGTATGTCTATGTTTTAATGTTTTCAGTCTGTGTATGGTTTAATGTTTTCAGTCTGTGTATGTTTTAATGTTTTCAGTATGTCTATGGTTTAATGTTTTCAGTATATCTATGGTTTAATGTTTTCAGTATGTCTATGTTTTAATGTTTTCAGTATGTCTATGATTTAATGTTTTCAGTATGTCTATGGTTTTAATGTTTTCAGTATGTCTATGGGTTTTTTAGTGGATGAAAAGGCAGCCATTGTATGGAGAGGTTTAATGGTGATGTCGGCCATTGAGAGATTACTCAGACAGGTGATTAGACTACTCGTAGGCTCGTTTTCCATGTATGCGCTTTTGCCAGTAAAAAAGTCAGTCTGATTAATGCAAATGTAATGGGACTGTTTCCTTGTATCAAGCGAAAATGCTTTCGGAAATGCTACAAAATGCGTAATGGAAATTGGGCCTTAATAATAGTTTACTGTGACTGTTACAATTTGGGGGGTTGGGTAGCCGAATAGAGGGGGAGGCGAGGGAGATGGCCGAATCGTTTAACCCGTGGCCTTCAGATCTAGGGTTATATGACCTAGTTTGTGTCTAGTGGACTGAAATAATTTGTTTTGCATAACAATTTTCTACATAACATAAGAAAAATGAAATCAAGCGTCCAACTGTTCTGCGCCGACTGGACTGATGAAGTGGGGCTGACGGTATACAGTGTGCTAGGAGGGAAATGTTGCCCGGACAGAGGCTTTAATTTTCAAAATCCAACTGTCAAGGTTTATTTTATGTGCATGCCAACGTATAAACAGGACCTTGGCACTAACACCTACTCTTATTTTGAATTCAAACTTTCATTGGTTCTTTTATGTGAATGCCAATGTGTACACAGGACCTAGGTTTTAATTACCATCCAAGCGATGATATGTTGTCCCTTGTCGGGTCCTCCGTCCTGCACCACTGACAAGGGGGTGCCATGCCGGAAAATCAAGATGAACTTTCTTGGCGAACACGTGACCTCCAGGAGGTTAGCGAACCAACGTCTAACTCACTGAGCCACCTTTACATAAAATAAGTTTATTTGTGTTGTATTGACTGTTATACATTTCTTGGGTGGAAGGGTTGGATGGTCGAATGGTTAGCATGTGTGCTCGCTGTATCATAAGGTCTGTCATTGAGTCAATTTCCCGGTGGTACGTGACAAGGAGTAGGGTCGTCTGTCCAATCTCGTGGGTTTTCTCCAGGTCCTCTGATTAGCTCCCACTGCTAAAGACGCTTACGCGCTAGCGAATCATTGAAATAAAATTGAACCATATGTTAGTCCAGAAATGACCAAGTTTGTGTCGAGTGGACTTTAAACTCTCTCTCTCTCTCTCTCTCTTTACATTTCTTCATTCTCTTGTCACAGGAGCTAAACCTTTGGGTGTCGAGTGGTTCTGACACTGTGGGTCGATCAAGTGGTGGGGGAGGGGTCAATAACCCACTTGTACGTGACATGGATTAGGGTCACCTGCCAAGGTTTTGACTTTGTTCAATGGTTGATCTATTTTTTGTTGTAGGTAGCATGGGGTCCACTAGATTATTTGATTATAGACATGCCACCAGGTACTGGTGATACACAACTATCAATATCACAAAATATACCTGTTTCAGGTACGTCCTTAAATCTTTATTATTACCTCTTAGCTTATTACAGGTAACAAAACATACCTGTTTCAGTTTCAGATTGACAAATACAATCCTTGAGTGGCAGTTAGAGATTGAGCATAATAAATAAACACAATTTTTATGGAAAACAATCATCGTGGAAACCAGTGACTGTTTCCATAGAAATTGTGTTTTGTTTTATTATTGTCAGGTATCTAGTTTTATAATATAATTCTTTACCATAGTAACTAGACATGTAATTATTTATCATAGTAATTTTGAATTCGTCATATCTTTGGAATGGAATTGAACCATTTTTGGAACGATATTCGTTTAGCATTCAAATTTCGCAGGAATCCCATCGAATGACATAGGCAATTTTAAATCAGTCTATTATGTTATGCCGGGTATCATATAATTATATCTTCGTCATACGGGAGCCGCGGTGGGTCAGTGAGTAAGAAGTTTGCCCGCAAACCTGGAGCTTCTGTGTTCGATCTTGGGTTGGCCGTGAATCTTCATCATGATTTTCCGGCGTTATTCTGCTTTGACAGGACTTTGCGAGGGGCTAAGACTAGTCGTTCAGATGAGATGAAAAAGAATGAGGTTCTGTGGACACATTGGTGCACACGTAAACGAAGCCGTGGCAGTTGTAATTTGATTTAAGTGCAGGCCATAGGGTCAATGTCTGGCCAAGATGTCCGTATTTAGTCCTTTCAGAGCAGGACATTACACCCCATTTCATTTAATTATACTAAGTTTAATATATTTTGACCAATCAGGTGCTGTGATAGTAACAACACCACAAGACATAGCTCTAACAGATGCCAGACGGGGAGCCGAGATGTTTCAGAAAGTCCATACGCCTATATTAGGTATTGTACAGAATATGGCCATGTTTGTGTGTCCGAAGTGTGGCCATGAGGAACACATATTTGGTGAAGATGGTGCCAAAAATGTTGCTGAGGAAATGCACACAGAAATACTGGGTAATCTAATATTTAATGCACACAGAAATACTGGGTGATCTTATATATAATAAAATACTGGGTAATCTAATATTTAATGCACACAGAAATACTGGGTGATCTTATATATAATAAAATACTGGGTAATCTAATATTTAAGAAATACTGGGTAATCTAACAGTTAAGAAACTTAGAGTGATGGGCCTTAAGCAATAACGAATATGGTGACTATGAGCTATATATTATTACTGATTTCAATGGTTCAAGTGTTAATTCAGATATACCAGAATTCAATCGCGAATGCCGAATATGAGAGAAAGAAATGGAGTTTAACATCCACTCGACACAAACTAGGTCATTTCGCGACTAATTTATGGTTCAATTTTATTTCAATAATTCGCTTGCGCATAGGGCTCTTTAGCAGTGGGAGCAAACCAGAGGACCCAGAGAAAACCCTCGATGTTTGACAGGCAACACTATACCTTGTCACATACAACCAGGGAATCAAAACCACGTCAGTTGACTCATTGACAGACTTTATGATGCAACGCGTACACACTATTCATTCGGCCAATCAACTCCCGCAAATGCTGAATGTAATAATGCTATCAGCGTTTGAAATCACCACTTAGCCTGGATAATCAAGATGATATTTACGTACCTCAAATAGTAACTAACCACGATTAACCAGACAATGGGGCCTGTCATATGGGAGACGTGTTGTATCCCATTCTGATAAATAAGTACCGACAGAAAATGTATTTTGTTGTTTATTTTGTAGGTGATGTACCTTTAACTACGAGTATACGTGAATCATGTGACACTGGTCAACCAATCGTTATAGCCCAACCTAACAACCCATATACTTTAGTTTATAAACAGATTGCTAATAAAATTACGAATAAACTTTTACGTAGTACGTCATCTTGACGTATACCACTTACACCAAGAAGCTCATCCCCAACTTAGGCTGCCTGTCTATAGTAAGCTCCCAGTGTGAAGCAGATGGATAGCTGCATGCAGTATACAAGAAGCTATAATGAACTGGAGACAGCATGAAGTCATTTTATCATTATGACGATTGAAGACAGCGACGCCATATTGGTTAACCCAAAACATTAATATTAAGTGGCTGTGAGGAGTGAATAAAACTTATTCTTTTTTAAAGCGAGAATGACTTATTGTTCCAGAGGAAATTTGTTTTACACAGTGAAAGGCAACACATATACAGATAAAAATAATAAATTATTAATTTATAATAAATCATGTAATTTCCATAGAATTAAAAAATATTATTTCAAACAGAGTAGCCTTTGGTGTTCAGATATTCAAACGAAACACCATTTGAATGTTCGAAGGGTTTTGAAATTTGTATTCGAATAGTAATCAAATATTTTCAACTTACCGAGACGAATATATAAGAAGAAGAACTGCAAATATGAAACAAACATATGTTAAACTATACTGAAGTCCAAAAGAAAGTATACACTGTTCATTTCGTCCTGTTTCAAACAACGTCGTGTTTCCATTGTATGCGGTATTTGGGTACAATGTTCATTTGTATACTTTCTTTTGGATATCAGTATAGATAAACATATTAATAATTTAATTTTTTTAAAAAACAGTTTATTTTAATTAATGTATTTCTATAAATTTGATTACTACACATCTGGATAGTACATGTTAACAAGTTGTCAACCAGTGTTCCGTGTCCGGACACAATTTCCCTCGTGATATCTCTTCATTATAATTATATTAACTCGTTTCCTTTAGTTCAACATTCACATGTACGCGATCTACTGACGTCAGATATTCAACTTTATCAAAGAATTTTCTCATCTTGTTTGTGTCCGTTTCGTCCAGTTCAATGTAAGAGTTAGGTATGTACTCGCACTGACATTCTAGTATTTCCAGTCCTTTCTTCTCCAGCTTCGATTTCACCATCATAATGGTAGCAGGTTCACACTCAAACTGAAAAAAAAAACAACACAACAAAATCACACTTGGATCTCACAATCATAATAGGGTCACACTCAAACGGAAAAACACTCAATTGTCTGCCCCTAACATCCCGAATTGACAAAATTGCAATCCAGTGGCACAGAATTCAGTTCTGCTATATTCTTGTCAGTTCAGACAACGGAGGTGGTGTGAGTAGAATTGTGATGTAATTAAACACCACGATTATGTTTCAGTAGGCTTGGTTGGTGAAACATACATTATTCACGAGCTAAATCTGCCAATTACAGGTCTTTCTTTAGGCCTGAAATGTTATCTAAATTAGACATTTCAATGTTAACTTATCCAGACCATAATCAACTCTCGATGGCATCGCTAGCCTGCGATATTTACTGGATTATCATCCCATTTGCTGCTTAACTTCCATTCATAATTTAATCATGAAATGGATGATCGAGACTATGTTTTTATCATACAGACTTTAGAAATGATGATCGAGGCAAGGACAAAAATTCAATCGCTTAATTTTCAGCAAATTTCCTTTACATTATCTAGTTTTTAACTATTATAGTGAGAACTGCCAGCTCTTTATCTTATCTCTCATAATGTATCTTTAAGATTTATTCTTATGCAATCGACGCATCTTTATTGCCTGAGATCATCCCCCCCCACACACCTACACCCATTTACTTGACTGTCACTATTCTTGTGATGTAGATAATTCAATTCCGAACGAAACTATGAATCGAGGGTCATCAAACTGTAAAGCTAAACAAAAAACAGTTGAGCTGAAAGTGGTGTGAGTAAGAAGGAGATCTCAGAACATCAAGTTATCAACATCCCTTGGACATGTGGAAGACACAGGGAAAGACAATCTCTGTGTTATTGTTAATCAGCAACCAAATACTGGTTGTGCACATGTAATAAGAGAGAGAGAGATGGGGTTTAACGTCCACTTGACACAAACTAGGTCATTTTGGGACTAACATATGGTTCAATTTCATTTCAATAATTCTCATGCATGCAGGGGTCTTTTTAGCAGTGGGAGGAAACCGGAGGACCAGGAGAAAACCTTTAAGGTTGGACTGGCCACCCTACTCCCTGTCACGTACAACTGGCAAATCAAAACCGCGCCAGTTGACTCAATGACAGACCTTATGATACAACGCGCACACATTTAACCATTCGGCCAACCAACCTTCAATAAGACGTAAAGCTACTGCCTCAGAAATCATATTTATACTACCAATAACTGATGCATGGCTGTCAATTTTTAATATTCCTTCTTGTGACTAGCTGTACTAGCCATGTAAGTTTGGCACAAAAAAGGACAATATAAGGAGCTCTAAATTTCAATACGATTAATGGAACAATCTCAAGTTTAAAAACAGAAACAAAAACAGTGTTTACAAAAATGACGTGAAATGAAATGGGGTTTAACAATATCCTATACAGTGTGCAATGACGTAAATTCAACCTGAACAGCAGCCCTACGACCTACTCTTATCTAAAAGTGCATCATATTTTTGTCCCTCTCCGAAGGACTAGACATTGTTTAGACAATATGTAACTTACTCTTAAGTATTTTTCTCCTTCTTCAAATTCCTGTAATGAGACATCTTCAGCACCTGTTTCTATGGCAACATCAACATATTCATCTAAATCTTTCATCTCCTCCGGGTTAACACGAACATCTATAAAACCTGCCTGAGTAAAGAAATACTGAAGGGATCCAGGTTCAGCTATTTTACCCCTGAAATAACAACAGACCCTTAATTATAACAGATCCCTAAATATAACAACAGATCCGTAAATATATAAAATGGGGTTTAACGATCAAGGCTAGTCTAAAATTGAATCGAGAAATGGGGTTTAACATCCACTCAACACAAACTGGGTCATTTCATGACTAACTTACTGTTCAATCTTATTTCAATAATTTGCTTGCATGTAGGGGTCTTTAGCAGTGTGAGGAAAGCGAAGAACCGGAGAAACCCCGTAAAACAGAGTGTAATCTAAAGTAGAGTAAACCTACCCACACTGTTTCAGGACTGCAGCTATTTCATTACGGGTTTTTTCAACATGTTGAGTTGTACATTCAAGAATAATAGCACAACTTCCTGGTCCACGACCTTCAAATACAACATCTTTAGTTTTATTACCTTCCAATACCTGTAAAATATAATACAATACCTGTAAAATATATTATTACACCTGTAACATATAATATTATTACACCTAGAGATTACCTGTAGTGCTCACACAGGTATTTGTATACGACGCTATGTAATCTGATTTATTTAAAGTTACCTTGCCCCGAAAGTATTTATCGGGTGGTTATTTACAATAAAAGTATGGCAAATTTGGTATTGAAAGTATAGGCACCCAATCTTACTAGAAAAATACTGGATTACCCGAAAAACACCCACAGGGCAAGAACTGGGCAAAAATGTCAGGGTAACACCAACTGGCAACCCGACTGTTATCTGCCAGCTTATTGTATGCTAGCTTGACTGAGGGAGCAGTTTTTATTTCTTGATCAAATGGTTAGGGGGGTTTTGGGAAAATTGAGGGGTGTCAGCATACTAAAGACTCTGCAATTAAACGGAGGAAAAAGAAGTTGTCAGAAAATGATTAAGAATTTACTAAGGCTTCAATATGTATGATAAATGGACAGTAAGTAACGAAAAATACATTCTGAAAAATCAACCCTCCCACAATGAATTGAACTGACTGACATGGCGTCTAACAACAATTTATTTATAGCTTTGGGTATCTCTATGCGAAAACAAAGTTTTGAGAGGGATTTGAAGCAAAGTTTTGAGAGGGATTTGAAGCAAAGTTTTGATAGATTAATTAGTTTGAATGTTTTCAGTCCAAATATATCATCAAATCACAAAGTTTGTGCGCTGGAAAGTGTCTTTAAATACAAATATTTTCACAAGGCTGTTTGAACCTAATTTTACTTCTTCATAGTTGTATACATCAAATCACAAGCTAGCTCTCTCCTCTTGATTATATACACATAATCTCCACCCACTCTCTTATCAAATTATATACATGTAAACACAATCTCCACCCATTCTCTCATCAAATTATATACATGTAAACACAATCTCCACCCATTCTCTCATCAAATTATATACATGTAAACACAATCTCCACCCATTCTCTCATCAAATTATATACATGTAAACACAATCTCCACCCATTATCTCATCAAATTATATACATGTAAACACAATCTCCACCCATTCTCTCATCAAATTATATACATGTAAACACAATCTCCACCCATTATCTCATCAAATTATATACATGTAAACACAATCTCCACCCATTCTCTCATCAAATTATATACATGTAAACACAATCTCCACCCATTCTCTCATCAAATTATATACATGTAAACACAATCTCCACCCATTCTCTCATCAAATTATATACATGTAAACACAATCTCCACCCATTCTCTCATCAAATTTTATACATGTAAACACAATCTCCACCCATTCTCTCATCAAATTATATACATGTAAACACAATCTCCACCCATTCTCTCATCAAATTTTATACATGTAAACACAATCTCCACCCATTCTCTCATCAAATTATATACATGTAAAAACAATCTCCACCCATTCTCTCATCAAATTATATACATGTAAACACAATCTCCACCCATTCTCTCATCAAATTATATACATGTAAACACAATCTCACCCATTCTCTCATCAAATTATTTGTGCATGTACAAAAAAAATCACATCTTACGTACAGTGGCCTTTATAACTTTATCTATGGTAGAGTTAGGTACATCATGTGCATTCGCTTCCGCTATTAATCGGGCTAGGGCCGAGTTAGTTTTAGGATCTGCTTTACCAGTTGCTGAAACAAAATAAATACATTTAGTAAGAAGCCAGTACATAAGATTTTAGTAAGAAGCCAGTACATAAGATTAACACACCTGTCACAGACTGTGTACGACACAAATTATAACATAATAGAGGGATTGTATGGGGCCTGACAAATCCTCAATTTATGTGACAAGCTTGTTCAGTAAGCTTAATACTTGAAATCTCTAAGTGTGATTTAAGCAATATAATAATAATAGGTATCCCTTGCAAACTACAATAAAGTAGAATCTATCAACAACATCGTTCTCTATTTCTGTCAAGTTGAACTTTCCACCATTTTGTAATCAACAGTGGTACTAGTTGACGGATGATGTCATGTATTAAACTCTATATACCACGCCCACTGCCATTTTTACGTTTAGCAAAAACTGATTGATGAGCTTGTTTTTAATTGGGGATTATCTTGTCTCAACTTCAACTTTAATCAACATTAGCCTGGCAGGCCAACATATATCCTGTAGGTCCTCCGAATTCCTCCCACTGCTATAGACCCCTACGTGCAAGTGAACTATTGAAATAAAGATTAAACCATGTGTTAGTCCTGAAATGACCTAGTTCAGGTCGAGTGTATATTAAACTCCTTTTCTGTCCGTCTCTCCCTTAACACTAACCTTTAATGGCTGACTTGATTCTTTTTGATATAGAAATTATCATCGAAGATTTCTTGGCATCATTTGCACCTTTTGTATGTCGTATATTTGACCATTTACTATGTCCCGCTAAGACTCGACACGACGTACTAAAATACCCACAGCCAATATAACTTAGTGAATATATATTAAATAATCTTCTCTTAAACACATTTAACATGGAAGTCTGACTGATATTCACGTTATATAATGTTTCTTGTAATTGTTGAGTTGCGTTCGTTCTGTAGAACAACGCTTGTCTGTTAGTCGTATAACATGTCAGTTGTTTTAATTGCAGACCGTGGACACAGTTATTTAAATTCAGAAACCTGGATGACGACATGCCCAGACGTCCACATGGAAACATTGTTCGTTACTATCAAAGAAAACACTCCACTTGATTTCTAAATGTTAATTTCTGAAAATAGAAAATATTATTTTTATGAAGACTTCAATCTGATTGAAACACAGATCCTATTTCGTTTTGATTTTTATAGTTCAAAATTTTGTTTTTTCCGTGTCTTTTCTACACTAGAATTTGGAAGAGTTGTTATATAACCCGCATTCTGGTTGATGTGAGGGATTAGCCAATGAAACGGTCTGTTAATGAGAGTTCTTGGTGTGTGATGCATAGAACCCTTGGGTAACCCCCACTAGAAACATTAACGCTGATTAGTTAATCAAATGTCTGAGGTGACCTTCCACTACAATTGGTCAGATCTTCATGCAGTAGAGGCCATCGAATGCATGAAAAAATCGAAATTATATATAGAGAGAGAGAGAAAAATGGGGTTTAACGTCCACTTGACACAAACTAGGTCATTTCGGGACTAACATATGGTTTAATTTTATTTCAATAATTCTCTTGCGCGTAGGGGTCTTTAGCAGTGGGAGGAAACCAGAGGACCCGGAGAAAACCCACGAGGTTGAATAGGCGACCCTACTCCTTGTCACGTACAACCGGGGATTCGAAACCACACCAGTTGACTCAATGACAGGCTTTATGATACAGCGCACACGTGCTAACCATTCGGCCATCCAACCCTCCCAAAGAACATGCTTAAATTAAATTCTTACACAAGAGTAATTAAAAGAAATGTGTACCAGAATGCCTTTCAGCGCCACCATTTGTAACAATTGACTCGAGGAACGAGGTGAAACATATCTCACAAATCATGTCAAACAGTAACGTCATACTCACCGGTGTAAATTGGAATAACCAGATGCTAGAGATTCAGTCAGACTGCCATTCGATTGAGATTTCTCTGGTATTTCGCCGAACATAACTGATTTGAAATTCGAGTAAAAACGAAAACGATTGTATGTAAATCAGTTTATATACATGCATAACATGCATATTACATTGTCAATTTCTAAGTCCCAAAGTGATTTAGCTCCTTTAATTTATAATTCACTGCAGCTCGCATGAGTAGTAGGCCTGGGTCTGTATGAGTGTGTGAAACTTAAAGGAGCTAAATCGCTAATATTTGGGACCTCGAAATTGACACAAATGGGTCACAATGCATATAATAATGTAATATAAATTTATATAAACTGATTGACATTCAATCGTTTGTTTTTACTCTAATATCAAATCAGTTATTTTCGGCGAAATACGCCAGAAATCTCAATCGAAATGGCAATCTCTAGCGTCTGGTTATTCAAATCTAAATATTAGTTATTGCGCATGCTCTCCAGATAAGAATATGCCGTCACCGTTTGACATGACTTGTGGAATATGTCTAGCCTTGTTCTTCGAGTCCCTTGTCCTTGTTGTTACAAATGGGACTGAAATGCATTATATAAATATTATACACGATTCGTGTACCAATGGTAAAATGTTTATTTTGTTTTAAATATTGGATGTCAGAAGCGCATCTTTTCCTGGTAAGATCACAACATCAATGTTGATTTAAATTGACAAATAATTCGTGTTTTCAATGTCAAAGACTTTGAATGATATTGAGTTAAAGACTTAGTTCACTTGACTTGGGACACTTACAAACTTAGGACACGATACCGTATACGGTGCCGGTTAATATGCCATGCACATTCATGCACATCTCTTGCTCTTGCTCAGTCATATTCAATTCGGGCATTTCAGACCTCGGGCATTTTAGGCCATCACAAATAATCATATTTCATTAATAATGGAATAATAATAAAAACAAACTCGGAAAAAAGTTTCACCTTTGACAACAACATGAGTTGGAACACCTTAGACCTTACCAGTCACCAGCATTAAAGAAGCTGCTCAGGGGAGATAATTAACAAATCTTTCAGGAAAGCTCTGTCAATATTCAAGAGAAATGAAATGGGAATTCACTCCTTACGGCATACCATGAGGGAAATTTTGCTTGGACAGCGGCACTACGGCCTACTCTTATATTGAGTTCCAACTGTCAAGGGTTCTTTTACCTGCATGCCAATGTGTATCTGAGGCCTTAGTTTTATGTCCCATCCGAATGACTATACAGTCTCTTGTCAGGCCCCTCTATCCTGCACCAATGACAAGGAGTAACCACGCCTGGAAAATCGCAATGAACTCTCTTGGCCAACACTTTGCCCCCCCCCCCCACCGGCTCCTATCAAGAGAGACAGGATAGATTTACTGTTTCCAGAACAACTGATATCGCTTAGTCTAGATATATAGTATTGATAGATGTTGTACATGAGACAGGGTATGCTCACTCTCTCTAGAACACCTGAACGCATATTTTTCAGCATTCAAATGCAATTACCTTATTTAACATGGGCTCCATTGGCTGCAAGTGGGTAGGCTCAAATGGTCATAAAAACATTCAAAACTTAATGTACTGGTATACAGTTTTTACTTTTCGAGGCTACCCATATTCAAGCTCAGTGAAACAAATTTTCCCATTTCTGATTTCATCTGGCCCCGATTTTATAAAACATTCTCAGACTTAAAGATACATTAGTTAAGAGTTTAAGAGTTGGTCATTCTTGCTATAATAATTCAAAAATATATGATAAAAAAAGAAAATATTGAAAATTTCATTCAAATTACTCCATTCTCAGCCAAGTTATCATTGTTTTTAGTTTTGACAAGATGTGTGCACAGCGGTAACCAGGGCACTGGTATAATTGGGACTTAGCCTCGCTTTCCCGTTTTTAAATTATATTTTTAAAGGCGAACCATTTTAATTTAGTTAAAATCTTGATTATCCGATGCCATCGAGAGTTTATTATGGTCTTGTTTTGTTAATAAATGTCTAATTAATAGTTTATATAACATTTCAGGCCTAAAGAAAGACCTGGGATAGGCAGATTTAGCTCTTGCATAATGTATGTTTAAGTTAAGAATTTACTCATAATTGTTCTCCTTATTTTAACTAAAATATAGCCCTTTATAAAACTTTTGTTGTTTTAATGAATCAAATACATCAATAAGAGACTAAGTGTTTCTGGATTAAAGATATTTCTTATAAACAGTGATTGAAAGTTGAGTAATTTATTAACTTAAGTTTGAGAATTCTTTGTGAAACTGAGGACCGATTTTTCTACTGATTTTGTTCTCGATCCATCAAATACATTATCACATGTTTTTGAAATCCTGGCATCGACCGCCCCATTGTCCTCAAATCTTTTCCGTTTTTGATTATCAAAAATTAGGTTTTTAGTGAAAAAACTTCTTTGGCTTCACGACAGGGGACCCGATCAACTACAGTAGATTTTTTACCCACCAATTCCTGGTATATTAACATGGTTGAGTCTTTTTCATTTGTTTGAAAAATGGTTTTTATTTATACATAAAGTAATGGGTAATGGTAATTAATTACTTGCAATGTTATGGGTAATGGTAAATTATTACATTCCTAAAAATGAGAAAGTAATTGTAATGATTATATTTAAAAAGTAATGGTAATGTAATTAATTACGTCGGCAATGTAACGGCCCTAGCACTGTGGTTGACAAGATATAATCAGGGGCAATACTATGTACCGGAAAACAACCGGAAAACATTGAAAAACACCATTTTATACTGAATACCAGAAAACACCGGAAAAACATTAAATACCAGAAAACACACTAAATACCAGAAAACACACTAAATAACAGAAAATACCCTAAATAGGTAACCCTGAGACTGGCACCCTAAATAGGTAACCGGGAGCGTGGGTTAGGGTTAGGGTTAGTTTCCTGTTTATAGTATAGTCCTTCTCCGGGTTACCTATTTAGTGTGTTTTCCGGTATTTAGTGTGTTTTCCGGTATTTAGTGTTTTTCCGGTGTTTTCCGGTATTCAGTATAACATGGTGTTTTCCGGTAGTTTTTCGGTGTTTTCCGGTATATAGTATAGCCCTATAATCAGTGAGTATTTATTTTTTCATCCCTTACACAACAAATAAATAAATAAAACAATCTTTATTCTTATATATTTAATTTTTTTTTTTTTTTTTTTAATTTTTTTTAATTTTTATTTTCCACATACAATATTGATTTACAAATATTAGTCAAAGATTATAGTTTGACTTTAGTAGAAATATGGTACAAGTATTTATCAAATATGAGACTTAACAAGTACGATCGTACTATGTACAAGGAACTGACCATGTTGTTGGATGAAATTCAAAAATGTAATTCACCAAATCGATGCAGAATTGTTCAAATAAGAAGCATGCCAATTTTCATGTCGATCAGAATTGAATTGACGGAGCCTTAGGCTTTTTCGAAGAACGTCATCCCAAGCAGAACAAGATGAGTAGCAGTTAGTGACCAGTTCCTGATCCAACAAATGTGATGATTTAAATACAATTGAAGTCAGATGGTAATTTCGTTCAAGATTTGTCCATTATTTAAACTGTTTACATGATGTTAATTTTCACCATTAACTGCCGGGTCTCACACTGGTATACGTTAAATCTCCTTGTACGTGATGATTGGTTCAATAATACGCTGATGTTAATTTTCCCGTCAACTTGTCTCATACTGATATACGTTAAATCTTCTTGTATGTGATAATTCTTGATGTTGATTGGTTGATTCTTCTTGTACATGATGGATGCTGATTCGTTGATTCTTCTTGTACATGATGGATGTTGATTGGTTGAATAATTGTCCGTTAAAATAATACGATGATGATGATGGTGATAACGAAGAAGATGAAAATTGATTGTAATAAATATTAACATCTAATGTGTATCATCCTCTAATTCCTGTAATAATCTCCGTCTCTGTTTCTCTAGTTCACCTTCACTTAATTCACTGTCAGAACTTCCATGCTGAAATAATAAAACCATCAAATATACACTACACTGTCAGAACACTGTTGAAATAATAGAGACTCAACACAAACTAGGTCATATTGGGACTAACATATGGTTCAATTTTATTTCAATTAATCGCTTGTGCGTAAGCATCTTTAGCAGTGGGAGGAAACCGGAGACACAGAGAAAACCTACTCCTTGTCACGTACAACCAGGGAATCGAAACCACGCCAGTTGACTCAATGACAGACCTTATGGTACAGCGCGCACGTGATAACCACTCGGCCATCCAACCCCACTCTGTTGAAATAAAACACCCAAATATAAAATTCACATTCATTTACAGACTATATATAGTGTCAGGGTCAGAGTTATAATTATATCTGACTGAAAATTTACTCTCAAATTTTAACAACTACTTGATCAAAGTATCTCTGAAGTTTAAACTTTTCTGATTTTAAAACCAAAATTGACAAAACCATTTGGACAACCTTCATTTATTGTTTAATCACCTCTTATTTTAACATCTTGTAATATCTGTTTATAGTTTTAAGAAGAATTTGAAAACATTTTATTTTTAAGAGCTTTTTCTTTTTAGAATCTTTTTATTAGTTATTATGTATATTTTTCTATTTTATCTGTATTCCTTTAATTGTAACATAAAGCACCCCTGAACACTTTTAAGTGGAGGGGGGGGGGTCTATATAAATTTTGTAATAATAACAAATAAACATATCTCAATAAGTAACCATGGTAACTTACATCTTTTTTATTGTCAGCAGATGGTGACCTACGTCTCCGAGATGGTTTTGATTCACCTTCAGAACTTGATCTAGACGGCTGAAATATAGAGATGCTAGTGTAATATACGTCGTGTTTTAAACAAGTAAAATTTTATTTTATTCGCTCACAAATCATTCATGTGTGCTGAGTTTGTAAAATTTGTAGCCAAGGCCAAGGCTATGACTTATCATCACATCAGTACAAGATGAGGGAGAAAAAGAGAGAGTGGTAGGCTTTAAAATTTATTCAACACAAAGTAGGCCATTTCACGACTAATATACAGCAAATCTTTACTCAATAATTTAATTGTGCACCAGTGTCTTTAGCAGTGGGATGAAACCAGACAGATACAGAAATGGGGTTTAACATCCAACTGGGCTACAGTGTACTATGAACTCCAACTGTTAAGGGTTCTTTTATGAGCACGCCCTTGTGTACACATTACATTGGATTTTTGTCTCATCCAAAAGACAAGAGACTATTCTATCTCAGGCCCTCCATCTGAACAACTAGTCAGTATTTCTTGCCAGACCATCCATCCTGCACCACTGACTAGAGGCAAACTATGCCAGAAAATAACGAGGAACTTTCTCGACCAACATCTTGAGCGAACACGAGAGAGAGAGAGAGAGAGAAAGAGAGAGAGAGGGAGAGAGAGAGGGAGAGAGAGAGGGAGGGTTTAACGTCCACTTGACACAAACTAGGTCATTTTGGGACTAACATTTGGTTTAATTTTATTTCAATAATTAACTTGCGCGTCGGGGTCTTTAGCAGTGGGAGGAAACCGGAGGACCCGGAGAAAACCCACGAGGTTGGACAGGCGACCCTACTCCTTGTCACGTACAACCGAGAAATCAAAACCCCGCCAGTTGACTCAATGACAGACCGTGTGATAAAACGCGCGCACGTGCTAACCATTCAACCATTCCCCCCCAGTGAACTCGAGATCTCCTGGTTAGCAAGCGAGCATCTTCATCACTGAGCCACCGTGTCACCCCTCCATAACAAAGAAGCTCGATGTATGATATAACCATCGACTTTAAACTAATTCTTATTTTGTTGAATATTTAATACTCACAGATCTAGAAACATGTTTCTTCTTTTTAGCTTTTTTCTTGTGTTTTTTACTCAATTTTTCTTTTTCATCTTAAAATAGAAACCAAACATGAAAGTGTATTAAACAAAAGATAAATTGAATGGGGTTTAACGTCCACTCAACACAAACTAGGTCATTTCGGGATTAACATATGGTTCAATTTTTTTTTTCAATAATGCTCTTGTGAGTAGGGGTCTTCAGCCGTGGGAGGAAACCAGAGGTTGGAGAGGCGACCTTAATCCTTGTCACATACAACCAGGGAGTCGAACCCACGCCAGTTGACTCAATGACAGACCTTATGATACAATGTGCACACGGTAACCATTCGGCCATCCAACCCCTCACAATGTCTGGTTAAAACAGAACAGTACTTTGCTCTATTTGAGATAGAGAGAGAGAAATGGAGTTGAACGTCCTCTCGACACAAACTAGGTCATTTCAGGACTAACATATGGTTTAATTTTATTTCAATAATTTGTTTACACGTAGGGGTCTTTAGCAGTGGGAGGAAACCGGTGGACCCGGAGAAAACCCACGAGGTTGGACAGGCGACCCTACTCCTTGTCACGTACAACCGGGGATTCAAAACCACGCCAGTTGACTCAATGACAGGCTTTATGATACAGCACGTACATGCTAACCATTCGGCCATCCAACACCCCGCTCTATTTGAGACTAACATATCATATATTTTCTGTTTGCAATGCAGGGTTGTTTTTTTCACCTACTCTTCTTTGACTTCCTACCGTCAAGGGAAAGATAAATGGAAGAGAAAGAGAGAGAGAGAGAGAGAGAGAGAGAGAGAGAGAGGGGTTTAAGTCGTAATGTTCTGCTCCTAATGGAGACCGCACAAGATATGTAGTATGCTTTGAGGAAAATTTTGTCCGGACAGTGGAGCTATTATGGCCCAACTTTTAAGGGATCATTACATGCATGCCAATGTGTAGATGGGACCTTGGTTTTTCCTCCGATCCGAACAACTATACGTTGTCCCTTGCCAGGCCTTCGGTCATGCACCAAAGACAAGGGGGAACCACGCCGGACAATTTCTCGGTCGACACAGGGGTGAAACGTGGGATCTTCAGATTAGCGAGCCAACGTCTCACACACTGCGCCACGGTGGCTCTTGATCACTGTTGAGCAAGTTCAAGTTTAAATAAGTTGATTTGATTGGTTGTTAATACATAAATAAAACAAGCAAGATATTTACCCGATTGTGAACCAGGACTGGGTGATCTGGACTCCGATCTCGTCTTTTTCTTTGATTTACGTGATTTGTATTTCACAGAATCTGTTTCTGATTCACTCTAGAAATATACAAACATTCCAAATATACAAACATTTCAAATATATAAACATTCCAAATATACAAACATTTCAAATATATAAACATTCCAAATATACAAACATTTCAAATATATAAACATTCCAAATATACAAACATTTCAAATATATAAACATTCCAAATATACAAAGTTATAATGACTGTCTATTGATCTGGGCGTTATATACTCTTACAATATGTGACTTCTATGATTAGTTTATACATATTGTCGGCTCACATGAATGCGATTAAAATGTCCGACAATGCAGAAGCCACGAAGTTAACACGAAGATTAAAATTATAATGGATTGATGAATAGTTCGACAAAGGGGAAACAATGGCTTCTGTTTAAGATTAGATTGATGAATTGTCCGACAAAGGATTAAGTCAGTCAATCAAGGCAGATTAAGTAGTTAATCAAGGTAGGTTTATAGACCGTATAACACGATCAATACGTTGATCACTTAATTACCTAATCAATCCAGCGTATTATCGACGATAATCTGGTTGAGTGGTAGTTATACACTCAGTAAACTATATTAATTTCGGAATTTTGAATATTATTCACCTTGTCTTGATGTCCGATTGGGCATTTTCCCGGTCGGACAATTTTGGGCGTTTTGAAAAAAGATTCGGACAAGTCCGGAATATACGGGCAAAATCCCATCACTGATACAAACATTACAAAAATTCCAAATATATACAAACATTCTAAATAAATACAAAAAATGATGTAGTCAGTACATAAATACAGCAGAGAGAGAGAGAGAGAGAAATATGGGGTTTAACCACCACTCGACACAAACTAGGTAATTTTGATCCTAACATATGGTTCAATCTTATTTCAGTAATTCGCTTGCGTGTAGGGGTCTTTAGCAGTGGGAGTAAACTGGAGAACCCGGAGAAAACCCACCAGGTTGGATACAGTCCAGACAATACAAAATAATATGGAAATCAAAATGCCACGGGTTCTTTAACATTCATGCCAGATTTTTCTTCCTATCCTAACAAACTGTCATTGTTTCTTGTCAGGCTCGCTGTCCTTCAACACAGACAAGGGCTGATAACCCATGAGGAATTTTCTCAGCCAACAACAGTATTTAACTTAGAGTGATTTGTTATTGAGCCATTGTTTTAACTTCGAGTGATTGTTACTGAGCCATTGTTTTAACTTCGAATCATTGTTACTGAGCCATTGTTTTAACTTCGAGTGATTGTTACTGAGCCATTGTTTTAACTTCGAGTGATTGTTACTGAGCCATTGTTTTAACTTCGAGTGATTGTTACTGAGCCATTGTTTTAACTTCGAGTGATTTTTACTGAGCCATTGTTTTAACTTCGAGTGATTGTTACTGAGCCATTGTTTTAACTTCGAGTGATTGTTACTGAGCCATTGTTTTAACTTCGAGTGATTGTTACTGAGCCATTGTTTTAACTTCGAGTGATTGTTATTGAGCCATCGTTTTAACTTAGAATGATTGTTACTGAGCCACCGTTTTAACTAAAGGGTGATTGTTACTGAGCCCTTGTTTTAACTTTGTTAAATACTATTGTTGGCCGAGAAAATTCCTCATGGATTATCAGCCCTTGTCTATTAAATAGACACATCAAAAAACCTTAAACAACTTACAGATAAAGACCGGGACCTAGATCGTCTATTTTTATGTTTTTTAGACTTCTTTTTCTTTGGGTGATGATGACCGCATGTTTCCTCTAAGGCCAGGGTGTATTCTTTATAAAGTCGGATTCTCTCGGACTCAAGGGTTATTATATCAAAACCTGGTTCACGTTCAACTCTTTGTCGAGCCTTTAAAATAAACATCAATACATATAATCAATCAAAATGATCAGCTAGGCCACTTCAATCACTGATAACAATGACATCGATGCGACTTAATGAACCACAAATATTAACTTTTTTCCTCTGACAAATTAAATTTTAAAACATTTTTTTGATGTATTAGAAAAATAAATAAAGACGGACGGTTGACGTATTTGTAGGTAAAAATTATTTCCTATTTAGTGTAAATGGGTATTAAAATAAGTAAAAGGCACCATTCTGCCTGGACCAGTAACGTCTTATGTAAACAATGCACACCCCATTGAGTCAATGATTGACGCCGCGTGCTGTGACATCACGTGTTGAAGGCAGTCATCTTTTACAAACAGATTGATAATCAATAAGACTCGTCATGCACCCCATTGTAAATCAACAACTTGTTAAATTTGTCTTGATCGAACAACAAAATTAAATTAATAATAAAATACAAAGAAAAAGATTTAGTCATTAATATTTTATACCACTGAACAACAAAATCTAAGTTAATTTGTTTCCATGGGAATACAAACATTAATATCTGAAGACGCCTATAGAAGGCAGCCAGCTAGCTTATATGACTTAATGTATGTCAGAATGAAGTAAAGTGGAGAATTTTTTACCTGGACGTATATTTTATTTATTTATGTATTTATCTACCGTAAACATATAGAGAGAGATTTACTCCTATATAGATTTACTGAAACTGAATTTGAAAATAGCAATCGGTAAATATTTTGTCAGAAATTTATTTGGACAGCTAATTGATGAAGATTTTTCATATGATGACTGATGTGAAGTTGACGTTGGGTGTTCGCTGTGAAATTTTACTAGTTATTATATAAATATGACTAGTTATTGTGTAAACTCACCTCATCCCATGGCGTATCAAATTCTATCTGAGGTTCAGCTTGTTTTAATAAAGTTTTAAACGCATTTTCTAACTTCTTCAGCTGAAATAAATAATATTTGTATATTTTGAGGTTCTGATTACATGTCGGTTGAGGTTATAGACAGACAGAGAAATGGGGTTTAATGTCCACTCGACACAAAATTAGTCATTTCAGGACTAACATATGGTTCAATTTTATTTTAATAAATCACTTTGGGAGGAAACCGGAATATCTGGAGAAAACGCACGAGACTGGACAGGCGACCCTACTCCTTGTTACGTACAACCGGGGAATCGAAACCACGCCAGTTGACTCATTAACAGACCTTATGATACAGCACACATACTAACGATACGACCATGCAAACCCCACAAGAATCGAAGAGTATTTCAAGTATAATTCATATGACCTACAATCTAAAAGTGTAAAATAATTGAAATAATTTAAAAGTGTAAAATAACTTTAAACTGCAAAATAATTTTAATTCAAGTTTTTTTTACCTTTCTAGCTTCTTCTTTTAATCGTTCCTTTTCCCTGGCTTCAGCTTTTTCTATCAACTATAATAAAACATTCAACGATTGTAACAGCAATCTAAAAAGAACTAATTAACCAAAGTGACCACCTCCTTTCCATGTCTTAAAATCAACACATCATTAAAAATAAACAGACTTGATCTAATTGTGGACACAGAGAGAGAAATGGGTTCCAACACAAACTAGGTCATTTCATTATTAAACTAGATATTATAAATTGAGAGAGAGAGAGAGAGAGAGAGAGAGAGAGAGAGAGAGAGTTACAGGACCAACACATGGTTCAGTTTTTTTTCAATCATTCCTTTGCACATAGGGGTCTTTAGCAGTGGGAGGAAACCGGAGGACCCAGAGAAAACTCCCGAGGTTGGACAGGCGACCCTATTCCTTGTCACATACAACCCGGGGAATCGAAACCACGCCAGTTGACTCAATGACAGACCTTATGATACAACGCGCACACGCTAACCACATCAAGTTGTAAAATTTCTATCAAGAACTTTGTTCACAAGATTACAGAACTTCAAACGTAAAGGGTAAGATAAATTTATAATTGAAGAACTTTGATTGGGTTCTTTTCTTCGTCATGACCAACAATGCCTGAAAGCCTTAATAGATCCTTAAAATCTGTAGACAGGTGAATATGGGAGTTGGCTAGACAGGTGACACATGTGACAATAGATCCTTAGAACCTGTAGACAGGTGGATACAGGAGTTGGACAGATGGACACAGGTGACAAAAGATCCTTAAAACCTGTAGACAGGTGGATACAGGAGTTGGACAGACAGGTGGATACAGGTGTAAAGAGAGAAATGACTTACACTGTTATAGGTGAGTTTAATATTACCAGAATCAAGACTAGCAGAACGTTTATCATTATTAATTATAACGCTAAATTCATCAAAAACTGTATTAACTTCTACACCAAATCCTTTATCCTTAAAAACACAAAAACATATTCATCCTTAAACATAAATATTCATTCAATTATCCTTTATCCTAATAAACAGAAACATATTCATCCTTAAACATAAATATTCATTTAATTATCCTTTATCCTAATAAACAGAAACATATTCATCCTTAAACATAAATATTCATTTAATTATCCTTTATCCTAATAAACAGAAACATATTCATCCTTAAACATAAATATTCATTTAATTATCCTTTATCCTAATAAACAGAAACATATTCATCCTTAAACATAAATATTCATTCAATTATCCTTTATCCTAATAAACAGAAACATATTCATCCTTAAACATAAATATTCATTCAATTATCCTTTATCCTAATAAACAGAAACATATTCATCCTTAAACATAAATATTCATTTAATTATCCTTTATCCTAATAAACAGAAACATATTCATCCTTAAACATAAATATTCATTTAATTATCCTTTAACCTAATAAACAGAAACATATTCATCCTTAAACATAAATATTCATTTAATTATCCTTTAACCTAATAAACAGAAACATATTCATCCTTAAACATAAATATTCATTTAATTATCCTTTATCCTAATAAACAGAAACATATTCATCCTTAAACATAAATATTCATTTAATTATCCTTTATCCTAATAAACAGAAACATCTATCCTTAAACATTCATTCAATAATGCTTGTAAATTGGACACTCATTATCAAAATTGAATGGTCAGCTTTAAGCTGGACACAAGTACACATTAGATGATTTTTGGTGATTTTAAATGATTTTTAAACAAAGATTTGATATTGAATTAATGTGAAAGAAATTAGTGCTAGATACACAAGATTAAACGATACCCAGATTACAGTAATAGGTGTTAATGGCTTTTGCCCGTGTCCTGTTTGTAGCACCTGCAGCTGATTCCAATTGTTGATAAATTGTGAAAAGACATTTGTCCTGTTCATGCCACACATATTTTATTTTCTCTTCTTCGTGAACACGATAAAAATTTTCTTCAGGAACTATATGAAATGAAATGTGGTTTTATGCACGTCAGCTCCAACCGGGCTATATTGCGCTCTTCAGGAAAAAGACTAAGTACTTGGTTGTATTATTCACCAGCTTTTAGTGTCAATTTTTTTAATTAACTTACCCTTAATATTTCTTTCACTATTTTTTTCTCATCGTGGAATCTGGCCTTTAAATCTTCTACGTAAAATTTAAACAGGTCAAGGGGAGTTGACCCTGGTTGACCCAACATGTTGGTAAAACGAACATCTTGACAAATAACAGGATATAAATCCATCCATAATGACATGGAATTTAATTTACCCTTGTCATGAAGTTCATCTAACAATACCTGTAAAATATAAACATACAATAGATTTGACTTAACCCTGCATGTTCCACTGAACCGTGGACGATACACTGAACCATGCATGATCCATTGAACCATGGAGGATGCATTGAACCGTGGATGATACATTTTACCCTTGATGAATCATCTAACCCGGGATGTTAATTTTAACCATGTTTGATACAGGGGATGATAAGTTTAACCTTGTTTGATACCGGGGATGATGAATTTAATTGTGGATGAATCTTGGCTGATACACTGATGATACATCTAACAATGGATGATCCACTGAATTGTGCATGATACATACAACCAAGAAAGTTACATTATAACCATTGAAGATACATTTAATCAGGGGATAATACACTGGACCATGGAAGATACATTTAAACAGATAAGATGGAGATAATTAAAGACCTACGAGGAAACTTTCTCTATTTTTACGTTGCTGTCTTTTGACTCGTCTTCTCTCTCGTTCTTTATCGTCATCATTTTCTTGTTCCAGCAGACGGATATGATCCTCGAAACAAATCAGCGCATCTTCCTTGTCCATACCTAAAATAAATACGACAACTGATCAAAATACAGGTCAAGATTTCATTTAGTTTTATATACTTACAATGCAAATGCCTACCCACAATTCCAAGAGCCACCCGTTTAGAGCTTGTAACTCAACAGAACATTTGATTGGCTAATCGATCACATTAACCAGAACGTGGGCTATTTAACAACTCTTCCAGATCCTGGTGTGAAAACAAGTAAAACGAAATTTTGAACTATAAACAAGAAGCGAAATAGAATCCGTATTCTAATCAGACTGGATACACATGTATCTTATATACCACATCTGATATACAACATCTAATATACCACATCTTATATACCACAGCTGATATACCACATCTGATATACATGTATCTAATATACCACATCTGATATACATGTATCTGATATACTACAGCTGATATACATGTATCTAATATACCACATCTGATATACATGTATCTGATATACCATATCTGATACACATGTATCTGATATACCACATCTGATATACATGTATCTAATATACCACATCTGATATACATGTATCTGATATACCACAGCTGATATACATGTATCTTATATACCACAGCTGATATACATGTATCTAATATACCACATCTGATATACATGTATCTAATATACCACATCTGATATATATGTATCTAACATACCACAACTGATATACCACATCTGATATACAAATATCTTATATATCTGTATATACAAGATATACACAATAAACTCAAGCAAGAGTTGATACTTACTGCCGAGATCAGGATCATCTGTAAATCTCTGATTATCCACCAACATCTGTTGTAACTCTGACCACGACGTACTGTGAGTTAGATTGGGCATGCTGTCTAAAATCTCGGAAAATACTTTTATGTTTCTTTTTCTGAGTGTCTTGGCCTCTTCCTGAAATCAAACAACACAAGATCATGTTTAACTAGGAAAGGTAGAAAAACATGAGCTGAATAGAATCTTGAACAAATAAGTACGGGATCTCCAAATTCAAGAAGAACAGAAGCTGTATGACGAGGAGATGTTTTTAATGTAAGGCTCGTTTTCCATTTACATGTTTCGGCATATACAAGTTTTCATTAGTTGCATGGAAACGGTCCTATTAATTTTTCATAGGTGAAAACGCGTACATATATTAGTAGAGAAAGACATTTCATATAGAATCACTAACCTTTTCTCGTTTAGCTAATAAATGTACGACATCATCAAATAAATCACGTCTGTCTCTATCACTGACAGTTCTCCAGATTTCTTCATCTCCAAATATATTATCAGCTTTCCTATTAAAAAAAAATTATATAATTAATGCGATTTATTTTCTGTATATTTTATATCAATAAACAAATTATGAATAGTATTACAATACTAAACTTAGGCTGTCTGTCTACAGTTAGCTCCCCTTGAGAAACCAGGCACTACTAGGCCAATGAAATGAGGTTTAACTTCCTACTGTTCTGCACTGACACGGCTAATGAAGACGGGCATATGTCATACAGCTGTGTGCTATGAGGGAAATTTTGTCAAAGAATCTTTTACGTTCACGTCAATGTGTACAAGGGGACTTGCTGACAAGGGGGAACCACATTGGAAAATCCAAATGAATTTTATCGGCCAACACAGGGATCGAACACGGGACCTCGAGGTTAGCGAGTCAATGTTTTACTCACTGAGCCACCATGGCTCCCCGAGATTCTAAATCAATAAAGAGAATATAAAAGATGGCAGAACAAACCAGTATTTTATAGATGAGTTTATTTTATCGCTAGTCAGCAGAAATTTCTCCAAATCTTCCTTCGCTTGTTTTGCTCGTAACCTTTGTTCTTCCTGTAAATAAAACAAAATATTATTCGACTGGTTCAATACTGACTATCACGTGGGGGAGACAGTGTATACGTCATTTAATATCGGAACACTTGGTACCGCCAGCTTTACCGACATGTCCACATGTTTGATAAAGTCAGGTAGGGACCAGAATCTGAATGAAAAATCTAAAAACAAAATAATCCTGGAACCTTTGAAACTTGGAGACAAAACTGAGAACCGACTAGTTTCTTTCAACAACAGTCTCCCTGGCCATATTACAAGTTTACTAAAACAATTGAAACAGGGTATAGGTGCTCTAGAAACAGTAAGCATATGCCACTGTAACCCAGGTATCATTTAATCTTGTGTATCTAGCACTAATTTCTTTCACATATGTTTAATATCAAATTTTTGTTTAAATATTTGTAAAAACCGTTTAAAATCACCAAAAATCATCTAATTTGTACTTCTGTCCAGTTTAAAGCTGACCATTCAATTTTGATAATGAGTGTCCAATTTACAAGTATTTTAATTTCTCAATCACTTTATATTGATTAATGTTTTGACACCTGGGTTACAGTGTGCTGTCTTGTAAATATAAAATATAATTGAATTTTACCTTTTCTTCTTTAGCCCTTTGTGTTTTATATTCATTAAATGCCTGTTTCTTTTCGTTTAAATGTTTCAATGCTCCGTAACGAGGGTCGTTGATAATCTGTTTCATTGCCTGTTCCCATGGCACTGTGGATGGCACTTCCTGTATAATAAATAAATGTAAATGATGTCATAAGTCAACTGATTAAGAAAGATTAAAGTGGAATTTATTGGGTTAAATTTTAATCTGTTATGGTATGGATTGACATTTTGATATTCACAAATATCAATCACTAGGTTTGGCGGTTATACAATTATTTCTTAAACTTAAAGTGGGCAGATTTGTAAACAGGCCCTAAGCCTTGAAGGGGGGGGGGGGGGGGGGGGGCAAATGGTTAGCGTGCGCATTGTATCACATTAGATCTGTCATTGAGTCAACTGGCATGGTTTCGATACTCGGGTTGTACGTGACAAGGAATAGGGTCACCTGTCCAACCTTGTGTGTCTTCTTTGGGTCCCCCAGTTTCCTCCCACTGCTAAAGACCCCTACGCGCAAGTGAATTATTGAAATATGTTAGTCCTGAAATGATTTAGTTTGTGTCAAGGGGACGCTAAACCCCTATCTCTCTCACTCCTAATTCTTAGTCTCAACCCGAATAAAACTTTTAATGATTAAGATAAAATCACGGGTACATTATCTCCTGACTTGGTTTTAATCAAATCAAAATCAGTGCGCATATTAATCCAGATTTTTTTTCTACTTGTCATTTTAAAATATTACTTGGATTCGACAAGTATTATTTCGAGCCCTGGTACACAGAGCTTAACTCTAACAGGAAAAATGTTTAGGCCTATCAGGATAAGTCTCTGTAGCCAGATCTATAAATAACTTACTCTTTCTTTTAACAAACTTTTAAACGCTTCAATGGCCTCTTTTTTATTCTTAAACACCAGGGGAGCTTCTTTCTTTGGTGGTTCTTCTTCTTCACTTTCAGAACTAAAGCAACAAAAATAGAAATAAATAAATGATAATTCCCACATTCACAAATGGAAATGGGTTTAATATTTCAAATAAATACCGTACGTAAGACATTATGAGACTAACACATGGTACATGTACAATGGGTGGGGCGTAACATTATGAGACTAACACATGGTATATGTGTGATGCGTGGTGGGTGATATTATGAGACTAACACATGGTACGACGTGTAGGAGGTGACATTATAAGACTAACACATGGTACATGTACGACGTGTAGGAGGTGACATTATAAGACTAACACATGGTACATGTACGATGCGTGGGAGGAGACATTATGAGACTAACACATGGTACATGTACAATGGGTGGGAGGTGACATGAGACTAACACATGGTACTTGTGCAATGCATGGCAGGTGAAGTTTGCTTACAGACCAATGTTGCTGCTTGTCCTTTTTTAAATCCAACTCTCTTTGAACAGATTTTAACTTTATTTTACAATGTTTTATTCTCAACCTCCTCAGTAACATGACATAATAAGCTATCAATAACTTTAAACATTGTCAATAAATGTTAACAAACAATTCATGTAATTTCTGTGTCTGGAGCCGCTGTGGTTCAGTGAATAAGATGCTGGCAAACTAACCAGGAAATCTCAGGTTTACTACTGGTGTTGACCGAGAAAGTTCCTCTGGATTTTTCGACGCGGTTTATCCTTGTCAAAGTTTCTTTTACGTCTCATCGAAACGACTAGATGCTGTCTTTGCCAGGCCCTTCATTAGGCACCCACTGACATGTGGTAACAACGCTGGAAAATTCACAGGTAACTTTCTTGACCAGTACAGGGATCAAACCCCAGACCCCTGGTTAACAAGCTAACATCTTATTCACTAAGCCACAACAACATTCACCGAAACGGGGGAAAGCCACGCTGGACAATTTGAGGGAACTTTCTCGACCCTTACCGGGATCGAACAGCAGACCTTCTGCTTACTGCTTAGTAAACTTGCACCTCATTACGAAACAAATATAGTATAATTATAAACTAGAACCAAATTAACAAACCTGCTGTCTGGAATTTCTATTTTATTTGGAATCTCGACTACAGGTTGAACAACTGCTGGGCCAGCAGGTGGTAGTTCTATAGAAGCTAGTGTAGCTTGCATCGCTTGTTCAATGGCCGACGAAGGTGCTGACACTTTCGGTAGAATCGGTGGCGTGGACACACCCGTTGGTGCAACACTCACAGGGGCAGATCTGATAAAAAAAAAAATAAATAATCCATTTAACCAATTGTTTCATTTCCAAATTGATGTAGACGACTTCTACCAGATATCATCGAACGCTCATTTAATTATTCTAGTAGTTAGTGCAGGAGAAATCTCACTACACACAAGACGGACAACATATAGACAGTGCAAGAAATAACAAATATCAAATCAAGTGAATGGATCTGTGTTCATGACCTTTAACATCTCGACCTATAACCTCTAAATGGATCCAGGGGTCATCATTTGATTAAATTTAAATGATCAATGTTTGCTTTGCTTTGGGTGCTTTTTTCAGATTTCTAGAGATTGAGAAGATATTTTTCATTTCGCTTTATTTACTTTTAATTGTTAGATATTTGCATTAAATATTTCTTATAGTAAACAGGAGAACTGAACAAATGACACTGAAAAAACAAATTGAGAAAGTGGTAAGAAATGTAAATTTAAACCATTTTCGTCGATTTTATACAAACAGGACAATAAAAATTGTCAGGCATAAGGAGGAAGATGAATGAACTAGGTTCTTGGGTAACCAAAAGGGGGAAGAAGGAACAGAGAGATAAGACTATAGATAGAATCAACTAGGTCGATGGAAAACCAAATGAGATGAATTAATGGGGGTTTGGATCTGTAAAATTTTCATGAGACCATGCTACGAATTTACAAGGTCAATGTACGATATAAGAAATTAAATATTACTCACTGTCCACTCAATTGTCTGGCTACAAGAGCTGAAATATACAGATAAATTAATTCATATATTTTTATTTTTTAATCAGTGGTTATGTATTTAGATTCTTGTCTGTCAAGGTAATATATCTTTGACATGCTGCTTTTATTTTCTATAAATTACAGGCCATCATGTAGAAGACTGACTGGATAATTTCCTCTATCAATAACATGCTACATGTAGAGAACAGACTGGGTAATTTCCTCTTGATCCACTAAACCCACTTGTTTTATTATTCTATCCAACAGAAGAATTAGCCATCTTACCTTCTAAATCCTCTAAATCTTTAGGTTTTGTCCATTTACTTTCTTTAGTTTGTGAATTATGATAATAAACTTTACCGCTGTCTGATTTATATTCCTTCCACGGACATTGTGATAATAATTTCTAAAATATAAAAACGAATAAATGAGTTGAAATGAAATGGGGTGTAACGTCCTACTTTTCTACTGGGCTAACGAAGACCGGCATCTTCCATAAACAGTGTTCTATGAGGTAAATTTTGCCTGGACAGAAGCGCTACGGCCTACACTTATATCGAATTCCAACTATCTATTCTTTTACGGGCAAGCCAATATGTCTCCACGACACATTGTTTTTTTGCCCGATCCGAATGACAGTGAAAACGGACTACAAATAGTTGACCAATAGGATGACCGTCTGTCTGGAGTTATATATTCCTGTAAACGTAGGTTGATATTTAAAGATCAAGTTTTGATTGTGTAAAACCGATATACGTACCTCAGCATCTGATTTAAGTTCATCTGGTTTCTCCCAGCTCGATTGTTTCGTGAGATTATTATAGTAATATGTTCTACCATCTGGTGCTTTATGTTCAGACCAGGTCTTCTGTAATAAAAAAATAAACAAAAATCAACTGAAGTGGGGGTTAACATAACATCCTATTGTTATCCTATTCAGGGTTACCCAAGACGGGAATACACCATACAATGTGCTAGGAGGGAAATTTTGCAGCAGCACTACAACCTACTCATCATATCAAATTCCAACTGTCAAGGGTTCTTTTATGTACATGTGTACATGGAACCTCGGTTTTTCGTCCCATCCAAACAACTAGACAGCTGTCCTTGTCCTTTGCCATGCCCTCACTCCTACAGCACTGACAACATAGGGATCTTACTCACCGAGCCACTGTGGCTCCCCCTTCTGTAATAATAAGTGAGAGAGAGAGAGAAATGGGGTTTAACATCCACTCGACACAAACTAGGTCATTTCGGGACTAACATATGGTTTGATTTTATTTCAATAATTCGCTTGCGCATAGGGGTCTTTAGCAGTGGGAGGAAACCGGAGGACCCGGAGAAAACCCACGAGGTTGGAGAGGCAATAATAAGTGTATATACGTCTAGTTTAATTGTTGAAAGTGAGAAAAAAAGTGATATCTTGATACCGCACGACGACGTTAGTCTGAGTGTTGTATGGATATATTACTCACTGCATTAAACAACCTAATATACAGACATTATCTCGCAAGTACATTTCAATGAAATTGTCATTTTATTTCATAAATGTAAATAATTGTCTTACCTTATCTGAATCTGAAAAGAGAAAATGAAAATAAATTACATTTTTATTTATTTGACTAAAAGATTGTAACATTGGTCAGTTTGCCAGCCCATCATCTTCAATAGAAGGCTTAATCTCGCCTTAACTACGTACATCTTATCAAGCCCTTCACGTAATACCCCGCATATTTTGGCACTATTTTTGATTGGGTATAAGCCCAGCTTGTGATCCTATCAGATTCCTTCGTTAAAAATATTGTTACGATTATCAAGTCTCGCGCTTATAGCTAAAATGTCTACATGTGACAATCGAGTTGCAAAGTTCAAGGTTCGATCAATGTCAAGGTTGCTGGAAATCATACCTTATCAACAAAGAGTTTCTATGGAGGCCGCCATATTTGTTTACAGTGTGTTGTGTGCGACGACCACTGATTGGACAATGCTAATTGATCACGTGTAAACACAACGAGCGCAAAATTTCGGGAATTGCCCAGTTCTGAAGCAATGGTTAGATATTGTAAAACTCGCGATCGTTGCTTCAGGAACATGCCAGCCCATAAGACCAGGATCCAATTCTATTTGGGAAACATTCTGAACATCTGAGACACGCTATCTGTGATAAAAGGCGTGACGCATTCTGAACATCTGAGACACGCTACCTGCGGAGAAGTATCTCAGACACAGTCAGTAGCCATGATATCCATATCACGTGATCTACACATCACAGATCATGACATTGGCGTCAATGGGTCATGAGGTCAACATTGTAAACAATAGGTTTATCTTCAGCATTGTGTCCGTTGCACCCATAAAGACTATATAATTCGTACAGTCCCAACATGTTTTCTCTTCTTCCAATGATTTTTCACAAAAATAACATCTACAACTCATAGAATTGACGTTGTCTTCAATGACAGCGTCTGCGAGGGTTGTTCATAGAGGCCGCCATATTGCACTATTTTGTGCGTCGGTCGGGTCTATTTCAGATATACACAATCAATTCTGTTGATATTTTTAGCGTTGGGATTGACTAATAGTTAATGTGTTTCAGTTCTAAAACAAATATTTTAAACTTTAACGCAAATTTAGAAAATAGCCAAATTCTGGCTGGGATTACTGAGCAAAATGGGCATTCACTGTATACGTGCGAAAAAAAAGCTAGCCACCAAATTTTCGTACGTCAGTTACGTACGTATGTGAAAGTGATATACTGATTTGGATTGATCTGTTGGCAATCAACTTGTTTCCTGATTTTGGGTCACTACATATGTATGTGAACAACAGTGGAGTATGAAAAGTAACTATATCTCAACACAGCATTATTTATAGACCTAAAAACTTTCCATGACAACAAATCAATATAAAAAAATGATAATTTTATTTAAAATCCCTATCAAAGAGTTCTTGTCAATTTAATAAAATAAATCAAATGGGTGTTTTTATATAGCGTCTATTTGTGGATTCGGCACTTTACAAATGGATATATTATTATAGTTAATCATTTTATTGATAAGGTTTACAAAATGGGTGTTTTGTGTACTTTCTTTTTATAATAATCTTTTCTCTATAAATATGTGGATACGGTTAACAGAAGCAAGGACTATAGTGGAATACTTTATACACAGTTATAAGTGAAATAAAATTAAGTGGCACATCGTTATTAGTCAGGACGGAGCAGTAAAGTAGAATTTTTAAAAATCATTTCATTTGCAATACATATAATTGGCTTTTTGTTTTGGAGGTGTCTGAAGTTATGGAACATCAATTTATGGAATGACAATTTAACACATTTTATTGAAATAATTAAGATGTAGCAGCATTCTGCCATAATAAACCTTGATTAATACAAACAGAAACAATACCTTTCACAAGTCTTACCTAAACCTGGTTTAAACATTCCCATAGGTGGCATCATAGGTGGCATTCCAGGGAAACCTTGTGGTGGCAGGTTGGGAATAGGAGGAAACCCTAAAACATCAATAAACATATTTAACGAATCTTCAAACTACCTATTTAAGACCTCTATCCATACTGCACATTAAGTTAAATATAGACTTAAAGATGGATGCATGTTTCTGGCTTCAAATGTGACCTAAATTATTGTTTAGACATTTATTCACATGACTAGCCCATAATCAACTCTCTAGATCATCGGATAGCTTAGATATTGAGTGGATTAGACAATTCCAGTTTTATCTGTTATAAACCGGAGACTGCTGGTAAAGGAACTGACAATCAAGACTTCGTTCATTATCATGACAATGCTACTTGACAATCAAGACTTCATCTATTAAATTAATATCATGGCAATGATAGTTGATATTCGAGAATATTAACTGTGGGCAGAATATAGTAATGCAACTGAAATTTCAATATATTCAATTTTCATTTTCATTTTTTGAACCATCACAGCAAGAACGGCCAACTCTTTCTCTAAATCTTGCAATCCACATTATTAAATTTCTATGTTAGAGGGTTATTTCCATGTTAAATGTTTATTTCTGACATCATGAGAAAATATGTCTAACCTGGAGGCATCATAGACGGGTCACCTGGAGGTCCGCCCATATTTGGAGGGATAAAACCGGGGGGTGGAGCACCACCTGGTCCTGTTGGGGGCATCTAAAAATTAAATACAAATATTAATCAATAAATACATAAATGCTATCAAAATTTAATATGAAATTGATTTGGATAGATCCTTCTTTTGTGTCTTCTGGGGACATTGATATTAAAGGCCAGGTCATGTGGTATTAAATACTCACTGACTATATTACAATAATTCTTAAAAGAATAACAGTTTTCTGTACTGATAAATAGAAAAGTTGTCATCGTAAAAAATATGAATTTCAACATGTCTCTCTAAAATAAACAACACAACATTGCATATGTACATGCAAACGCACTCTACCATGACCCGATTCTCGTGTATACCTTGATGTACAGTTAGCATAAATTAAAATGTTGCAAATAACAATAATAATAATACACTTTAAAAGAAAACTTACAAAAGGGGGTCGCATCAATGGAGGGGGATTAACAGCTCCATTGTTAGGATTATTATTCTGAAAAAAAATCAAAATATTTAATTACTGTACGCAGTGCTACATGTTTATTCTCCTTTTTTCTTGAATCGCTTTTATTTATAATTGTTTATTGTATTAGTTTGTTTTTCAATTTGAGTGAAGCTCACGCTGTTTATTTCTTACAATGTCTGTGTAGTTTGTCTTGTCCACAGGTTTGTCTTGTCCCATCCCCAGTTTCGTCCTGTCTACAACGGCTTCATCTGTTTACAACTGATACAACGGCTTTATTTGTGTACAAAGTTTCGTAAAGATGTGGAACAGTTCCTGGTAATACAATGTACTGTGAAGGGACGGAGGAAAGGATGGACAGACATTTCTTTCAATATACCAGTACCACATTTTAACCAACCTTGCTGGATTTCAGGTCAAATTGTGTTAATAGATAATATTTGTTCTTGTGTTTGTACAGTTGACAATAACGCCAATCCGGCTAGACATAGAACAAAGATACTCAGTGCAGTCTTGCTGTTGTGACTGTTCATATTGGTTCTCAATAGAAGTCACAATTAATGTACATGCCAGTAGATCAATTTGGGTTAAAACTGATATTTGTGAAAACAATTCAATAACGATGCCAATGAGGTTTATAGTTAACGGATATATGAGGTGCTAGACAGTCACAGAGCCTGGTGTAATCTCAATCTGAAGACAAAACAATTAGCCCTATTTGGTGCTGAAAATATGATCAGTGATGCAAATGATTGTAATTGAAATTTTGTGGCGATATTCGACTATTTTAATGCTTGACAGAATGAAAATATAAGAGATGACTTGTGTTTTAGAGAAAAATAACATAACGTTCAGAAAACGCGTGAAACTTACCGCCATCTTGCCTTATTATCTCCCCTTTTTACAAAGGGAGCTAAATCCACTTCACAAACAGTAGTCTTGAATGTCCAAACATGTTATTAATGAGGAAACAGCCAATTCTTTGAGCACTTTGACTTGTATTTTATAAAAAAATTATTGATTATTTTCAGGGTAATTAGGAACTAATCTCTGATCATTTCTCATTTCATCAGCATTGTTGTAATTCTGTAGGCCTGCAGAGTTATTTCCCTTTAGAAGTGCCTATGATTGCAGTTAACAGCCATGTATTGTAAGGGGACAGTAGAAGAAAATGAAATGGGGTGTAAATGTCTTACTGTTCTGCACCGACTGGGCTTATTACGACGGGCATAGCCTACCGTGTCGTACGAATGAAATTTCGCTATAAGTGGGAAGCCATATGGTGGCTGAGTGGGTAAGACGCTGCCTTAATAGCGTGTTCGATCAATGCATTGGCCGAGAAAGCTCATCAGGAATTTTCGAAGTGATTTCCCCTTGCTAGTGGTGCAGGAGGCCAATGTGTACACAGGACCTTGGTTTTTGATCCCATCCAAACTACTAGTCACTTTGCCATGCCCTCTGTCTTACACCACTAATAAAGGGAAATAAATCACTCTGGAATATCCTGAGGAACTTTCTCGGCCATTTTGAGACTAAAATATGGTATTTTTCAATGGTTACGTGTGCAATAGGCCTACATGGGAGAGAATTTTGCCCTTACAACAGCGTTTTTACAGGTTTTTGTGCATGGGATAAAGCTTGGTTTTCTTCCAATCCAAAAGACTAGGTGCAATTTCACTGTCAGTCCAGCAGGCACTGTCCCTACAAGCGCCATCGCCGACATTGAAGAATCGAAACCGGGATCAGAATCTGGGACATTCTATAAATAGAACAGCACCGGTATATCTTATGATTTCACCCAGATAATATAATTGGTGACACCGGGTCTGTTTTATTTAACACTCGACTGGCTTCAAGTAGAAAGAGAGAGAGAGGTTTAACATCCACTTGACACAAACCAGATCATATCGGGACTAACATATAGTTTAATTTTATTTAACACTGGACTGGCTTCAAGTAGAAAGATAGAGAAAAAGGGTTTAACATCCACTCGACACAAACTAGGTAATTTTGGGACTAACCTGGTTCAATTTTATTTCAACTAGCAGGATACTTGGCTTTGCCCGGGTCCAATTCGCCTGGGACATAAATTCCCCCAGGGCCCAAATTTGATGGTCTAAAACATTGACAGGATCATGCTGGTTAATTTGATACCACATATGTGGGAGGGGGGTGGGAGGGGGGAGCAGCGACGAAGCTGGATTTGTTGGGGCCAGGCCCAATTGGCCTGGGGCTCAAATTCAGTGGCCTAAAACATTTATAGGGACAAGCTGGTTAATTTGATATCACATGTGTTTGGGGGGTGGGGAGATCTTTTCTACGAAGCGTGATGGGCGAATCATACATACATACACATATAGGAGATTCGCTTGCACCTAGAGGTCTTTAGCAGGGAGAGGAAACCGGAGAAAACCCATAATGTAAACAAAATAACAGTTTTACATTTTATTTTTAATGAAACTTAACAAAATTACATCAACAAATATAGGCAGATGTATACATGTGGCAGGAAGATTTACCCAGTGCTATCCAATATTACCCAATACTACCAGATAGTATATATGTGCTATGTGGTAGTATTTAATTAGTATTGGGTAGTATTGGGTGGTATTGGGTAGTATTTGATAGTATTGGGTAAATTGTCCTGCCATGCTAGTATACATGTGTAGTTATCATTATATGTATATTAAAATCACTGATCTACATGTGAGGGATTGTTAATCTCTTGTAAACTACCATCTTGTAAACACTGGATCAGTATAAGAAATATGAGTCCATATTCAGTTCGATTCCATTCAGTATTAACAGCTGACAACATTCAGCATCCACTTCAGACGAAGTGTAGGATATAATCAACACAAGCCAGTGCCATATTTATGATTTTCTCTGAAATCTTTTGATGGGCCTCTTTTGAACAGTTTATCTTTTGTTGATATTTTGATCTTTCTTTCTTAAAGATACATTAGTTAAGAGCTAAATCTTTATTTTGACTTCAAATGTTATGTAAACTATTATTTGGACATTTATTTACATGACAAGTCTATAATCAATTCTCTAGACCATCAGATGGCCAAGATTAAAACGGATTAGAACATCTGGAAGAATTATAAAATATCTACCATGTCAGCATTGTCTAAACTACAAAAATTATAACTTTGCTCAGAACAAAGTAATTTGAATGAAATTGTGGGCTGCACATGATGATAGTACCTCGCCGGGACGAAGTCGGGGGGCGCTCTGTAATCACTAGTTCGAATGCTGGTTGTTTAGTAATTGGGTTTATTGTCGATTTAACTCATGTAAACAATACAGGACGGCTTACAAAATAGTCTACAACAACAAAGTATACATCTACAACACAGTAAACAACACAGGTGAAAACAATATACGGACGTCAGGCGCCCACCATCGTACATCACCGCATGGCTTCTATCTAAACAATAATAATCAGTTACTATGACAATAATACAGATAATTCAACCGGACACATGGATGCGGCGCTCATCGGCTGCATTCAGCGTTCTTCGTCTTTTTACGCAAAATACTAATTTTGGGCATAACAGAAATATTTAAAATATTCAGCTCTTTATCCAAATCTAACATAATGCATCCTGAATTAAATGTTAAATATTGAATTTAATTAAATATTGGCATGGATTAAAGGGGCATTATGGATGATTAGATAACGAGTTGACAGTTCTCGCTATAATAGTTAAATAAATTACATAAACGGAATATGCAGAAAATTTCAGTCAAATTACTCTGAGAAAACCAAATTTTAAAAACACAGTAGGTTTGATTGTTACCATTGTTACGATAAAAAACAAAGTCTCGATTTAGCTCTTGCATAACGTATGTTTAACTGGTGAAAAAATAGATATTTTTTTATTGTCTTAAAAATGTAACTGAGGATAAGTGACTTTAATAAATGTCTTCTATATAAATTTTAGTTGGTTTATTTCAATATCCCTTTCTTCTTCCATTAAAAATAAGATTGCCAGTATTCATCCATGAATTAAATCATATAGAGTTTCCCGTACTCATACATGAATTTAATCTTATACAGTTTCCCATACTCATCCATGTACTCATCCATGAATTTAGTCATATAGAGTTCCCCGTACTCATCCATGTACTCATCCATGAATTAAATCATATAGAGTTCCCCGTACTCATCCATGAATTAAATCATATAGAGTTCCCCGTACTCATCCATGAATTAAATCATATAGAGTTTCCCATACTCATCCATGAATTTAATGTTATAGAGTTCCCCGTACTCATCCATGAATTAAATCATATAGAGTTTCCCGTTCTCATCCATGAATTAAATCATATAGAGTTTCCCGTACTCATCCATGAATTAAATCATATACAGTTTCCCGTACTCATCCATGAATTAAATCATATACAGTTTCCCGTACTCATCCATGAATTAAATCATATACAGTTTCCCCTATCACATTCCAACTCCTTATTTTAACATAAATCAGAGAAGCTGAGCTCCTTTAAATAAATAAAAAGTACATGAAAAATAATTAACAACAGACAGAACATAAATAACCATGTAATATCAAGGTCCTAAATCGTCTTTCATTCATTCATCCCATCTTTCATTCATTCATCCCATCTTTCATTCATTTATGTGGAAGTTGTGGTGGCTCAGTAATTATATAGACATCTCGGTGATGGCCGAGATGTTCATCGGAAGTTTCTGGTGTGCCTCCCACTTGTCAGTGCTGCCAGACAAAGGGCCTGGCAAGGACATTGTATAGTCATTCGGATGGGACATAAAAATCGGAGTTCCCATGTACACATTGGCGCACACATAAAAGAACCCTTGACAGTTGGAATTTGAATATAAGGGCAGGCAGTAGTGCCACTGTATGGCGCATATACCTGTCTTCATTAGCCCAGTCGGTGAAGAACAGTAGGACGTTAAACCCCATCTCATTTCATTTATTCATTCATAATGACTGTTCATGTTTTAATATTATAGTAATCTTTTGTATTTTTGTTTAAGAATGAATCTTCTTCTTTATTTTTCAGCAATAAGTTGTGATGAAACCCAGGCTAAACCCCATTTTAAATTAGTCAACATGAATTTCAAGGCTTTAGTCCACTGTTCCTCCGAATTAAATTGGATTCTGAAAGGAAAAAGAAATGATTATATGAATGAAAATGTATTTTATGATTTGGGTTAATTAACAGGAAAATCTGATTAAAATGCCGATCTATATTTCGTTTCGTTATTTTTATACTTTTAATGGTCTCTACAACATGAAGATCTGACCAGTTCTAGTGGGAGGTTGCTTTAGGGGTCGTACGAGCGACTATTGACCCTATGACGTCAGACATTTAATTAACTAATCGGCGTTGATGCTTCTAGTGGGTTACCCACAGCTTCGTGCACATCACACCAGTCGCAGCGGACCGTTTATCGGATTATCCCTAACCTCAGCCAGAAAGCGTGTTATATAGCAACTCTTCTAGATCCTAGTGTAGTAAAGACAAATAAAACAAAATTTTGAACTATAAAAAACAAAACAAAATAGGATCTGTGTTTTAATCACGATTGTTTAATGAGGTAAATGTGTTTTATTTGTTTTGCTCAAGATAATTTTGACTAACATTTCTATGATTTCGTTGAGTTCACCCTTTTAAACAAACTGATAAGCGAACCGAGGCAGGCATATTTAAAATGCAACCTTTGGTTATAACCATTATCACTTCATTAAACAGGCTACACAAATTATAGAAAATACCAAAAATATATAATGTTCTTTATCATTGCGCCTGAAATGCATCCTGGTCAGGCCCGTTACTGGGGGGGTGGGGGGGGGCTTTGCACCCCCACCCCCCATGTGAAAAATTTGTCAACCATACCCCCCCCCCAGATATTAAGTGTCCGTCAATTATACAGCTTCCCGTCCCCCTCATTGCTCTGATCTAGTTACGGCCCTGATCCTGGTATTAAAACCACTACTACTCTACTGCAGTCTTGTCTGGTGTGTTTGCTGGGGGGAATTATATATATTTGATATGTTTTAAAAAGGAGCGCCTCCTTTCTCCCCCTACGGTATCACTGAGATCCATGCTGACCTGCAGTGTTCCACGGATTCTTCCATCCACTATTACAACTTTAGTAAGTCAATTCGTCGCAGTCTTGGAATAATTTTATAGTGAGGACGTTATATATTAAGGAGTTTATTTGTCGCTGTCTTGGAATAATTATAGAAAAGTGTTTTTATTTCCTGATTAGCTATGATACCTAGACCAGTCTCACACTACAACACCAACTTACTTAATGGAATAAGAATTTCCGGAATTAGAGTCTTCTATTTTTCCTTTCTCCATTCTGTAGGGTAAACAAAAACTGGTATCGCCCCTCTCTACTTCTTCTTTGAACTGTAAAACATGAGGGATTACAATAAAACATGGAGGGATTACAATCAAACACTGGGGGATTACAATAAAACATGGTGGGATTACAATCAAACATGGAGGGATTATAATCAAACATGGAGGGATTACAATCAAACATGGAGGGATTACAATCAAACACTGAGGGATAACAATAAAACATGGCGGGATTACAATCAAACATGGAGGGATTACAATCAAATATGGAGGGGTTTAAATCAAACATGGAGGGATTACAATCAAATATGGAAGGATTACAACTGAACAGGGGGGAAAAACAATCAAACATGGAAGGATTAGACTACAATCGAATATGGAGGGATTACAATGAAACATGGAGGGATTATAATCAAACATGGAGGGATTACAATGAAACATGGAGGGAAGACAATCAACCATTGAGGGATTACAATCAAACATGGAGGGGTTTCAATCAAACATGGAGGGATTACAATCAAACATGGAGGGATTACAATATGGAGGGATTAGAATTCATAAATAAAATATATCTGAACCTAGACTAGATGTCTGTGGATTGTGGGAATAAAACTAATGATCTCATACACTTTACAGAATTTAACCTTGAAAAATACACTTCAGTTTTAAAATCACTGATCTTTATCTCAATTTTTCTAGGTTTAATCCACTGTGAAATGTATTCATATTAGTTATTTCATTAGGACACCAAAATCAACCATAGATAATCTCCTGGATTAGACTCAATTAGATTATATAAAACTACCTGTTGTAAACAATCTAAGAATGCCACCATAGCTTGATCAAACCTAAAACACAAGCAAATAAAATAATAATAATAATAACAAGCCAACAGTGAGGCTGATGTCCCCCGCCGAAATAGGAAAATAATTAGAGGACACATATAAATTTATCACAAATTATCTTTTACAAAGTATTGAACAATCAAACAGTAAGTATATCTTTACTTATAGTCTAAGCATACAATGTTTTTGATGATTGCTTATCTCTGCTTACCCTAAGCGGAAAATGCTCATCTTCGAACTCCATCAAGGCATTGACCTAATCAACACATACACCAAGTTTGAACATTCTAGCTCAATTAGGAAGAGAGTTATCGTGCCCCAAAGTATCAACCAATCAAATTGCTTATCTCTGCTTACCCTAAGCGGAAAATGCTCATCTTCGAACTCCATCAAGGCATTGACCTAATAAACACATACACCAAGTTTGAACATTCTAGCTCAATTAAAAGTTATCGTGTCCCAAAGCATCAACCAATCAAATTGCTTATCTCTGCTTACCCTAAGCGGAAAATGCTCATCTTCGAACCCCATCAAGGCATTGACCTAATCAACACATACACCAAGTTTGAACATTCTAGCCCAATTAGGAAGAGAGTTATCGTGTCCCAAAGCATCAACTAATCAAATTGCTTATCTCTGCTTACCCTAAGCGGAAAATGCTCATCTTCGAACTCCATCAAGGCATTGACCTAATAAACACATACACCAAGTTTGAACATTCTAGCTCAATTAGGAAGAGAGTTATTGTGTCCCAAAAAGTGTGACGGACGGACAGACAGACAGACAGACAGACAGACGGACGAACCCATTTTAATAGTCCCCTGCTTTCTTCGAAAGGCGGGGGACAATAATAATCATATCAGTAGTGCAGGGTGGAGTGGTCTCCCCTTGTCAGGGGTGCAGGATGGAATGATGTCCCCATGTCAGTGGTGAACGACGGAGTGGTCTCCCCTTGTCAGGGGTGCCAGATGGAGTGATGTCCCCTTGTCAGTGGTGCAGGCGGAGTGACCTCCTCGTCAGGGGTGCCAGATGGAGTGATGTCCCCTTGTCAGTGGTGCAGGGCAGAGTGGCCTTCCCTTGTCAGGGGTGCAGGATGATGCGGTGTCCCCTTGTCAGTATTGCAGGATGAATCAGTGTCCCCTTGTCAGTGGTGCAGGATTGAGGGCCTGGCAAAAGCATCTAGTCATTCGGATGGGATGATAATTCGGACTGAAAAATCCTGAGAAACCTCGGCAAACACTGGGATCGTCCTGGTTACTAAGCCACTGTGACTCCAACTTCAGTACAGGAGATAATTCATAGGGAAGTAATAAGTAAATGCATATCTAATGCAAGCTAAAGCTACATTTTCTTACTTTGTATCCCATAAAAAGCGGAATCCACCAGAACCATATAAGGGCAATTCTTTATTCTTCTCCGTCAGTGATTCTAAATATGAATGGTTGCCATAGGGAACTAAACGATACCTAGAAAACAAATTATCTTAAACATACAAATGAAGAAATGCCTTACAATTGGACTGGTTATCAAAGTTAAGGTAAAATCCCCAAAGACATTTGAAATGATAGATAAGTGAGTATAGTAAATAAAATTTGAAACATGACATCCTAACCAAAAGTAGACCATTTTCTAGCAAATCAAGATCCCCGACATCCATAAGTTGGCCTTCCGAGCACTCATAAAGGCCTCACCACCCCAACCAACAAAAAACTTAAATTTATATGTTTCACAGAATAATAAGTGAATTTTTTGGTGGGGCCTGTGAAATAGTTACCTTTGAAATGTTAAATTCATTTTACGAGCCAGTGAGTGTAGTAAAAGAACTGTTTGTCCCCATGCAGCATTTATTTCATTCCAATCAACCTACAAATATGTTTAAAGAAATGAATTGAAAAGGGTTTAACGTAATACATGTCTAAAGAAGAACTGTGATATATTTCTAGAATGGAATGAATTGAATTAAAATGGGGTTTAACGTCCTACTGTTCTGCACCACTGAGCTAATGAAGACTGACATCCGCCATACAGTGTGCTATGAGGGAAATTTTGCCCCGGGAGCGGCATTTCTGACTACTCTATATCGAATCCCAAAATATACATAGGACTGGTTTTTTTTCCCCCGTCCAAATGATTAGACAGTGTTACTTTCCAGATCTTTCGTCTTGCACCACGGAGAAATCAGGCTGAATAATCTTGAGGAACATTCACAGCAAATGGGATCAATCCTAAATACTACATTTAGTTTGGTTCTAGAACACTGAGTCTCTTCAATAGCAAATAATCCATTTTCTGTGACATTTATTAGATTTTCTGGTGTTTGCACGCTTCAACAAAGTTTAAGGAAACATCTAATTTATAATAAAATAGGGAACGAGAGGGGGAACAAGAGAGGGGATGGCAACAGCCCCTTAATTAATAAAGGGGTATTTTAACCTAAAATATTATGAAGATGTATAAACTAGTTTTTTGTACTGCTGTTGTTCAGGGATTTTTAAATATCTTATAATATGATACTTACTGGAACACTGGGCAGTCGTCCTAATCTAAAATTATTGATGGTACCAAACTGACCACTGTGCCTACAAGTTATAAATAAACAGCTTAACGGCATTTCAGAACTAACAAATTATAAATCTTTATAATGCATGTGGTCATTCTGCACAAAGAGATCCAACTACATGTACTTCATACTTTGAGAATAGAACATATCCAAGTATACTATTTTGTAATGTGTTTCTAGTCCGTCTCACATCTGTCATACTCACAAAGAGTAAATAAACTTTTTCAAATTTATTGAATGGATGTGGAATAAATAATTCTCAAAATATACATAATGTTTTCGACTAGAATCATCGATTTAGGACTTAAAATGTTAGTTAATTAGCTTAGTGTCTGTTTCTCTCAAGGGGTGCTAACTGAAGACAGGCAACCTAAGTTTGGTATGGCATGTGGAAGGTCTATAGCAGTGACTCGGAGGAAACCAACAAAGTTTGACTGACAATCCTCAAGCCTGTGATCAAAACCATGACACTTGAACCTATGACAGCCCTTAGACTGCAAGCCCACCAAACTGCAATCCTACAAATATATATATTTACAATAAAAAGGGGAAGCTTGTCTCAACATGGAAAAGTAGGGTATCTTCCTCACCATGATAGAATTTAGGGAACATAGTAATTAACTTACCATATATGGAATGTAGAGTTAAAAACATTTGTTTTTTTAAGTTTATCAAGTTGAGTTTGCGCATATTGAAGTTGGTTAGCTATACTGAAAAAACAGAAAAAAAAATATTTATCATATTGAAGTTAGTTAGCTATACTGAAACGGGGAAAAAAAATAATCATCATATACCGTAAATGAAAGGAAATAAAATTAAGTTTAAGTTTTCTGCACTGACATATTAACGATACATTATGGATCATTAGATAAAGAGCTGACAGTTCGCACTATAATAGTTAAAAACTAGATAATGTAAAGGGAATTTGCTGAAAATTTCAGTCAAATTGATCCACCCTGAACCGAGAATTTAGCAATTGAATTTTGGGTCTAGCCTCGAATACCATTACTAAAGTCGGTAAAATAAAAAACATAGTCTCGATTATCCATTTCATGATTAAATCAAGAATGGAAGTCGAACAGCAAATCAGAACCTAATCCAGTAAATATCGCAGGCTAGCGATGACATTGAGAGTTGATTATGGCTGGATAAGTTAATTAATGTCTAATTAATAATTCAGGCTTAAAGAAAAACCTGCAATAGACAAATTTAGCTCTTGTATAATGTATGTGTTTAAGATTTTAATGATGTTTATGTTTGAAGATTATATACACACAAACCTTCTTTGTTCATCATCCAACTCCAAGGCTTGACGTTTATATTCATTATATTCCTTCCAATATCTGTCAACAAAAAAACAAACAAATAAAATATCTACATCAACTGACAAGATTTATTTTTACAGTGAACATGGAGATACGTCCTATTCAAATAATCAGACACATTCCCCTTGTTTAGGAGTGACTTCCCAAACTTCCCACTTTAAAATGCTATTGCATTTCAAATGATTTTGAATTTATCCTGATATTACATGTATATATGTCTGTGTAGCTTAGGAGGGACTTATGGAAGATTAGGTTTTTTTTGCAAACTAAATAAGATGCCTCATTAAATAAAGTTTTTATTATTATTGTTAGTCTCACAGAGATTCTAGTCAAGAGTTATTTTCTAACAATGGCTTGGTGAAACAATGTTTAAAAAATAACACAAAATGGTGAAATAAATTAACTGTGATAGAATATAACATGGATGTTATTCCGGTCGTATATTCCGGACATGTCCTACACTATTTCCCAAACGTCCGACCCGGAATATGCCCAATCAGACATCATAATATGGTGAATACCATAATATATGTATAACCCAGTAATTGTAAAATATGATTGCAGTTGTGAAGGATATAATATAAGCTTACTTCTAAAACAATGTAATTTTGAAAAAGTTATGAAATACTATAACTTTAAAAAAACATAAATATTAAAGTTGTGAAATAACATAATTTTTTTAAATATTACAGTTGCGAAATAAGAATTTTAAGATATTGTTAAACTTGAGATAAAATATAACTGGGAAAATAATAATATAGATTTATATTTAAATTTCGGAAGGAAATAATCGTTACTTTTCTTCCTCTTCATCTAATATTTTAGATTTATCTTCTTCTTCTTGTAACTTAGCAACAACTATCTTTTGTTCCTCTTCAGCCTTCGCCAGTTCTTTATGTAACGTTTCTTCTTCAGCTTTTAACTTTAATAAAAAAAACAAAATATTTATCCACAAATAATTATATATTTATTGAACAGGAAGAGAATGGAGTGGAGTTTAACAATACATCAGTTATTCAGAGACTTACAAATGTCTGATGAAATGAAATGAAATGAAATGGGGTTTAACGTCCTACTGTTCTGCTCCTATACTGGGCTAATGAAGACGGGCATACGCCATACAGTGTGCTATGAGGGAAATTTTGCCCGGGCAGCGGCACTATCGCCTACTCTTATATCGAATTCCAACTGCCAAGGGATCTTTTACGTGCATTCCAATGTTTACACGGGACCTCGGTTTTTCGTCTCATCCGAAGGACTAGACAGCTGTCCTTGTCAGGCCCTCCATCCTGCATCACTGACAAGGGGAAACCACATCGGAAAATCGGGATGAACTTTCTCGGCCAATGCAGGGATCGAACACCCGACCTCCAGGCTAGTGAGCCAGCGCCTTACCCACCACGGCTCCCAAATGTCTGATATTTAAAATTATATTCTAATGAGGGTATTTATATACAAATTAGTGGATGACCCGGCGCTGCACAGGTTGAAAGTAGTAAAACTCTGAAACCAGAAGCGGTAGTCCAACACCACCATTACTCGCCGATCCGAGCTACCCCTATTTACCAAATTTCAGCCGTGAGACAGCCCTAGTGTAGCTGCCAACCCTAAACAGACAAACGACCGTCACAAATATTAGCATAGACAACTGATAACTCCAACAAAATACATTCAGAGAATCAAATATGCTTAATATTTTTAATTTATCAATGAATGGTAATATTTATTTACATGCTTGTTAAAATTATTGCAAAGTCATCACAGCCTAAAACAGAAATGTTTTCATGAAACTTTAGCTATTGTCTGTATGGAGCCGCAGTGGCACAATGGCACTGAATCACTAGCCAAGATTTCCTGGGTTCGATCCCAAAGCTCCTTGCAATTTTTTTTAACATGGTTTCCCTTTTCAGTGATTCCAAACGGAAGGTCAAGGTACTGCCATCCGTGTCATCATTGGTAATGTGACATCATATCAATTCAGTCAATTGATGCAGTCACCCAAAGAACAAGTCTGCCCAGTTTCATGTTGATTGTACACCAATTTGCGAAGCCTTTAAGGCTCTTTTTTTCAAGAGTGTCGTAACAAGAAGAAAAAGAAGACTATCACGCGTTTGCAAAAAGTTCCAGGATCAAAAATTACTTCTTAAGTGCGGTTAAGTGGTCAAGAACAAGACATTTTAAAAGTAGCATATTGATACAGCTTGAAACCATTAATCAACCTAAAATAAGACACTATCCAGCACATGTATTTCAATAAAATCATCAGGCGAGTCCAATATTTCAACAATGTGTGATTGACACATCAAAGGATGACGTCACATTTGTATTTCAAATGAAAATATTGTTTATCCTACCTGTTTAAGTTCCTTATCAAGAGCTTTTTCATCCACATCATCTGTTTCATGTTGTAATTTAGTGAGTAGATCACGATAATCTCGGCACTCGTCTTCTGTAATCTTCAACTGATTATCTAATTGGTCTAATAATGAGTCTGTACACTCCTGTAATTAACATATATATAATGGTACAGGCTCACTGACGAGGAAGGAGGAGGGATGAGTCAAGATAGCTCAGTGAGTAAGGTGCTTGCTCGCTAGCCTGAAGGTTTCAGGATCGATCACGGTGCTGGCCTAGAAAGTTCATAGAGATATTTTCGGCGTGGTTTCCCATTGTCAGTGGTGCAGGATAGGCTGCCTGGCAAGGACAGCTGTCTAGTCATTTGGATGGGACAAAAAAAACGAGATCCTGTGTACACATTACAGTGCCCATTAAAGAAGCTTGACAGTTGGAATTCGATATAAGAGTAGGTCTTGGCACCACAGTCTGGGCAAAATTTCCCTCACAGCACACTGCATTGCGTATGCCTGTCTTCATTAGCCCTGTCGGTGCAGAACACTAGGATGTTAAACCCTATTTCAAGTCTGACAAATATTTAAAAACATTAACATTATGTTAGCTATATCATTAATTCACAAAACTTCATTTTATTGTTTTCTCCTACCTGTAGTAGACAATTTAATCAAATTTAGTATAGGCCAAAATATTTACTACCTGTGTTGGTCTCCTAAATCATCTTGGCCCCCGAGGGTCGAGACCCCATGCCACATCATTAACAGACAAGAGAGAATCAAGATGTTATATCTTACCTCACAGAGCGGATGATCAACTTCCGATTGTCCTGACATAATATCGAACAAACAGGCTGTAACCTAGCAACAGACAAATATATAGTAAACAATCACAGACAAGGTGTAGTTGTTTTTAAGACAAAAATAAATCCACAAAATTTGTATAAGGAGAGAAAGAGAGAGAGAGAGAGAGAGAGAGAGAGAGAGGGTTTCACACCCACTCATCACAATCTAGGTCATTTCGGGTATAACTAAATGGTCCAAGTTTATTTCAATAATTCGCTTGCGAGTAGGAGTCTTTAGCAGTGGGAGGAAACTGGAGAAAACTCACGAGGTTGTCACAAACAAAACTATGCCAGTTGACTCAGTGACAAACCGTCTGATCCAACGCACCATTCGAACACCCAATCCCCGCTAATTTGTAAAAAGATTTTCAGTGTAGTTTATAAAACACTTTATAATTAACAAGACATTTGAATTAAGTGATTGTTTTATGCAATACCTACATAATCATGATGAATATTCAATACATAGATAACCATCATGAATTTTCAATACATAGATAACCATCATGAATATTCAATACCAAGACAACCATCATGAATATTTAACTATTTTGAATATGATGTACCCACTTCTGACGTTTCTTTTACCTACATGTATCTACTTGCTAGTTACTGTTCAATATAGTATACCTATAAAATGTTGTGAACACATCAATCTTAAAATGAAAGCGAAAGAAGAGTTATAAAATAAAAAAAAACTATGGTATATATAGTTTAAAGAAACGTGATATATTGAAGTCATATATCTTTAAATAAATATGTGTAATATGGTAAGAGACTCTACCTTTAATCTGTGACTTAAATTATCCATACTGCCCGGCCCTGGATCACCAAGTAACGTAAAATCGTGACTAAGATTTAACTGCATTTCACTGAAAATCAAAAATGGATCAATTTTCAAAACCTAATCCAGAATTAGTACAGAAGTCGATCATAGTGTGTGGTCGTATTTATTCACAGAATACGGTGGCAGGTACACCTTAAACATACATTATGCAAGAGCTAAATCTGCCTATTGCAGGTCTTTCTTTGCGCCTCGAATGTTATCTAAATTATTAATTAGACATTAATTAACATGACAAACCCATACTTGGGGTTCGTCAGGGAGAAAATCTGTCCCCGCTTCTGTTTTCCATATATTTGCAAGACTTGTCATCTTTCTTGTCACAACACTATAAATGTTTAAGCGTCCATGAAACTGATCTTGAAAATGTAGGTGTATACCTGAAACTATTTGCACTTTTGTATGCGGATGACACTGTTCTTTTAGCAGAAAGTGAATCAGAATTACAAGCTGCATTCAATGCCATGTTAGAATATTGCACCGTCTGGAAACTTGAAATTAATTCAACAAAAACTAAAACAATTGTTTTTTCAAAAGGTAAAATAAGAAAAACACCTAAAATTACCTATGGAGATGTTGAAATAGAAAACGTTCACGAATATGCTTATCTTGGTATAATTTTTAATTTTAATGGAAATTTTGTCAAGGCCAAGAAACAACTTCACAGCAAAGCATCTTCAGCAATGTTTTCATTAATCCAAAAAGCTCGTAAACTAAATCTTGATGTAGATACCCAGATACATTTGTTTAATTGCCTTGTAGTACCTATCGCCCTGTATGGTTGTGAAATATGGGGTTTTACTGATATTATACTGTTAGAAAGACTTCAACTGAGATTTTGTAAATATGTATTAAAAGTAAAAATGTCTACTCCAAATGTTATGGTCTATGGTGAACTTGGTGTATATCCTTTGCAAATTTATATAAAATATAGAATGATTAATTACTAGTATAAGCTTGTAACTGGCCCCAGATCTAAAATCGCTTGTGTACTGTATAACACTTTGTATAAATCATATGAGCCTAATACATGGTTAAATTATATAAAAGACGCTTTGAACAGTGCTGGGTTGTCTTATATTTGGGATTCCCAAGCCTGTAACATTAATGCTAATTGGTTAAAGCAATGTTTACTGCTAAGGCTAAAGGATCAATATCAACAAGAATGGAATAGCACTGTACATAATACAAGCAAATGCAAAAATTATCGTTTATTTAAATCCACGTTCATCTTTGAACAGTACTTAATAGATCTACCTCCGAAATATAGACATTACTTTAGTAAATTTAGATGTCGAAGTCATAGACTGCCAATTGAAGCCGGGGTTTTCATAAAGACCCCAGAAGAAAATCGTATTTGTTCTCTCTGCAATACAGGTGAATTAGGCGACGAATTTCATTACATTTTCAAATGCCAAATCCTTAAAAATGAACGTTGTAAATTTATAAAAAGTTATTACCTGAAGTGTCCTTCAGCTATCAACGTGTACAATATATTTAATAGCCACGGTGCAGAACTGGAGAATCTATGTAAATTCATCTCTATTATTGTAAATAAGTTTAAATAAGTTTAAATGAATACTGAATGTTATCTGTAATGATGTGTATATTATATTATCTGAAAATACTATGTACGTATACTATCACTAACTGTAAATATTTTATGTGTATATTATATTCATGTGTCTCACTGAGATTTTGAATAAAGATTATTATTATTAAGGATCTAAATCGCTCATATCTGGAACCTAGAAATTGACACAAATGGGTCGCAACGCATATAATAATGTAATATGAATGTATATAAACTGATTTACATTTAATCTTTCTGTTTTTACTATTAATTTCAAATCAGTTATGTTCGGCGAAATACATAGGAAGTGTCAATCGAATGGCAATCTCTAGCGTCCAGTTATTCAAGTCTACACCGATAATATTTATTGCGAATGCTCTCCAGATAAGAATATGGCATCACCGTTGGACATGACTTGTGGAATATGTCTGGCCTCGTTCCTTGAGTCTCTTATTACAAATGGCGCTGAAATGTATTATGGTACACGATTTGTGTACCAATGGTAAAATGTTTATTTTGTCTTAAATATTGGATATCAGAAGCCTAACTTTTCCCAGTAAGAAAACAACACCAATGTTGATTTAAATTGACAAATAATTTGTGTGTGATATAATTAATCAATACGACCAAGTCCACCTGTTCTCAAGAACACACTTCAATCAATTTAGTTAATTATTAATATAAGTGGATCTAATGTTAATGGATGTGTAATTTATACATTATTATCAAGTAGGATCAATTAGAGATGTAATAAATATCACATGGTTATACATTGTTTATTATTAGATAGAAGAAAGGCAGTGGGGTATTATTAGAAAATTAAAATAATTCTCAGATGTTTAATTTAACTCAACTTCCAGCATATTTTAATATATCACATACTTGGGGACCTTCTCTGACCCAAACTGACCAAAATATTTCTGTGTCTTGTTATAAAGAGAGAGAGGGTTTTAACGTCCACTCGACACAAACCAGGTCATTTCGTGGCTAACATACATGTATGGTTCAATTTTTATTTTAATAATATGCTTGCGCATAAGGGTCCTTAGCAGTGAGAGGAAACGAGAGAAAACCCTTGAGGTTAAACAGGCAACCCTACTCCTTGTCGCGTACAAGTAGGGAATTGAAACCATGCCACGTCTTGTCATATCCAAGCAAAGAATTGGTTCAAAGGTAAAAGCTTACATCAACTCTATGCCCTATCTAAAGTATTGTCAAGTAAATAGCACAGTTAGTCGAATGTTAAGCTTCGTGTATTGTAGTCGGTAACGAGTACAGTTCGTAGAACGGTTGTGAAGCTACATGTATCGTCGTCGGTAACGAGTACAGTTGGTTAGTAGACACGATAGTCAAGCTACATGTATCGTCGTCAGTAACGAGTACAGTTAGCTAGTAGTTAGCAAGTAGATACAGTTGTCAAGCTACATGCATCGTTGTCGGTAATAAATACAGTTAGTTCGTAGATACGAAGGAAATCCTAGTAAAGAGTCCTGGATCTGGGTAACTTGCTTCCAATGATAAATAAGAATAATTAATTAATACTGTACCCTGACGATGGAATGATCCTCTTCACGATATTACCATCTTCTTCATACTCTGGTAACTATATATACATGTAGAGAGACAGAACGATAAGATTAATATGCAACAAAGGACAGCGCAGAGCATTTAGTAAACAGGCAAAAATTATACAATTTAATCTGACTTATTTAAAGATACATGTACCGGTATGTTCTTACAATCATCGTATGGTCAACCAGAAAACATATCATTATTTTACAATATAATTCTATTGACACAGACAGAGCATTTTGTAAACAGCCAAAAATTATACATTTCAAGTTTTTTATATAAAGGTATGTTCTTTCAATCATCGTAGGGTCAACCAGAAATATATTTCTAATGACAAGAGAAAATAAAATTACAGACTCCTCAACACTTATTTTTGTTCAATTAAAGTACCTGTATTGACTACTGACACTTTATCGCCTCCCAGTATTGGATTTACTACACAATATGAAAGTTCATCGGGAATTTCCAGCATAGTCCCTCTTTGTCAGTGATGCACAACATAGGGCCTGGCACGAAAAACAAAGGAACCGAGTACACAATGACATGCAGGTAAAACATTCCTTGGCAGTTGGAATCAAATATAAAAGTAGGCTGAAGCGCCGCTGTCTAGGCAAACTTTCCCCCATAGAACAATATATTATTGATGCCTGTCTTCATTAGCCCAATCGGAGATTAGCGGTAGTAAGCTAAACCCTATTTCCTTCGAGAATGGGATTAAGGCCTGTACACACCTGTGTCCTCTTTGTGGTAATATTTATTGTTTCTTCTTCTTCTTCATCGTTATATCTGGTTAAAGGGGCTGAAGAAAGAAAAAAAAAAGGTTAAAACAAATTGAATATACATGCAGTTGTAATGGAATACATACATAGTGGTAAAGAAATTGTAATAGGTGTACCATAGTTTTAAACAAATTAAATACTGTAGTTGCAAAGAAAATGAATACACATGAAATACATGTGCATGTAGTTGTGAATAAATTATAATCATTTATAAGGCTACAGTATTCTAAAAGATACTAGAATGGTTTAGCTGTAAACTGAAATACTGTACCTATCTATGGTAAAACTTTTAAAAAAAAATATGAGAGAGCAATGGGGTTTAATGGCCACTCGATACAAACTTGTTCATTTCAGGACTAACATATTTGTTCAATTTTCCTTCAATAATTTGTTTGCGTCTAGGAGGCCTTAGCAGTGGGAGGAAACAACCAGAAAATTAGACAGGCGACCTTACTTCATGTCACATACAAGCGGGGAATCATCATTATGTAGGTCAGCGACCTTTTGGTCTATCAGTTTTCTACACAGAGATTCATAGCACTTGTTAGTGTCACATTATGGAGTCAGTGTGGGTCACCCAACCCCCCACTTTAATATAGAGCAAAGCTCTAAAGCATCGCGTGTAGCGCAGTGCTTGAGCAAAGCTCTTTTCTGGTAACACAGGAGCGTAACTAAACTGTCACCCACAGATTGTTGATTACAAAAAAATTCAGACCGGAACCGGATATAGGCCTACTGGGCAAAAATGGCAATGCACATGCCAACTTACCAAATATCGACCAAGCGTACGTGATTACGTGTCTGATAGAAATATTTTTATGACGCGTTTAATCAATGACATCACACATTTCTGACGTCAATGAAAATAATTCTCACACTTTTATGCTGTTTTTTTTTTAAACAAAATTAATCATATAATTTAGATCTAATTTAAAATGAATTCGGAAAAACGAAATTATTTAACATTCTTTGTATCACTTGAGAAGCTTAAAGTAGCTAAGTCTCTAACTCAATATCATCCAAAATCTTCAACATTGAAAACACGATTTATTTGTCAAATTAAATCAACATTCACGTCGTGATCTTACCGGGAAAAGATGGGCTTTTGATATCCAATATTTAAGACAAAATAAACATTTTACCATTGGTACACGAATCGTGTACCATAATGCGCTTCAGCCCCAGTTGTATCAAGAGACTCGAGGGACGAGGCTAGACACATTGCACCAAATCAAACGGCGTATGTAGACTGGAATAACCAGACGCTAGAAATATGCACTCGCTTGAGACTGCTGGCTTATTTTGCCGAACATAACTGATTTGAAATTGGAGTAAAAACGGAAACCATCGAATGTAAATCAGTTTATATACATTCATATTACAGTATTATATGGGTTGCGACCCACTTTTGTCAATTTCTAGGTCCCAAATGTTAGCGATTTAGCTCCTTTAATTATGAAGGTTTTATATTTAACAACAATCACATCAGCTTCGCTCTACTCAGGCAATGTCTGTTAGATATTATCAATCAGATACATACCAGTCAGCTCATCAAACAGCCGCTGTTCGATCGTGTTAAAAGATGTGTCTAACTTCAAAGGTTGCAGACATCTTTGACAGACGAAACTCACATTCGTCGTCGTTCCGGACTTCCCTGGTTCTGACAGAGGCGCGGCCATTTACAAAGTAGGAAAGAAAAGTGTATTACGTTCAGGACAATAAGGTCTTCCTGACTCAAACTACCATAACTGGCCCAAACACAAATAATTTCCAAATATTTCCCTAAAGTTAAAAGACCTGGGGGATGGGTTTGTTTTTATTTTGATGATTAAATTTAGTTCAAAATGTGAATTTGGATCTCCGCGTGGCTATTTCGCTTTCTTGATATCAAGTACTTCCTGCTGATAAACGGATTACATTTCTCAACAAACGAAAGGGGGGATTTTACTGAGAAAAACGAGGTCTTTGATTTTGTTCTTCTTTTGTGGTATTTATAAAGACACATTTGTAATCAGTTTTGCGCGCGTTCAATTTTATATACAACCAATAACGGTAAAAAAAAAAAGGAGGATAATTTTACGACATTAAAATGTCGAACCAAATATAACTTCTCACAGTCTTAGTACATAGCGAATTTATAGTTACTGATTTGAGAAAGTTAAACGAATATAAAAAAGTTGAGCCCAAGAGCTTTATTTTATAGTTGGATTGTTCTTTTACGACATACTTTTGACAAGATGTCTTTCTTTATTTCCGGTGTAGCCATTGTCAATAAACCGGTTTCATTCATGAAATTGTCGTCGTGTCTGTTGTGTTGGCACTCATCTTCGTCCATTCATAACATCGTAGCACCAGCAGGTAAAACAATTTTAAAAGTTTAAACACAATTATGTCAATTAAATTAATTCATTCATTAAAATTCAATAATTTATTTTAAATTTAAAACCAAGATATGAAGATCAATTTTAAAAGAAATGTTGTTTTATTTTGATTAAAATAATTTGACCGTGACAGCGTGGCCATAATTGTCATAATTGTATATGGCAGGACCTTATTGATTATGGAGTCAGGAACCCTGTAAGTAATCATAAGTGTCATCCCCGCTGAACAGTGAATTACCAGCGGCAGGGTTAGACTGTTTTACGTGGTGGTCCAATTAGGGCCCAGAGTTTGGTCAAGGACCCAGAGAGGGGTCAGGGTGGTAGCACGATTTACTTAAATCTACCCAAATCCAACATTATTTCAACTCATATTATAAAAATTTACGATTGTAAGTTAAAAATGAGAAATTAGCATAAAGGACAGTATATTATTAAATATCGATACCCGGTATAAATTATTGTCTTTTAAATATTGAAGTAATGGTAGATTTGGGTGGTTTGGGTAAATCGTGCTACCTGGGTTGGAGGAAAAAAATTAAGATATATTTTTTGTTTTAGATAAAATTCTTCGCTTCAACTGAAAATAATAAGCTTATAAGTTATATAGCAGGCATAATTGCCTGAGTAGCAGTGTTGTAAAAATCCACTAGCCCGACACCCAGGGCTACCAAAAATAACTTGGGCTAGTGATCTATTTAGCCGTACTAGTCCTGGGCTAGTGCCCTTTTATTGGTTTGTGAATCAAACTAGTGACGATATAGATAAATAAACTGTAAAATATCCCACATTTATTTCTCATATTCCACTGAAAACTCAATCATAACAATAGATTTTGTGTAGTAAAACTTAGAGCCGTATGGACATTTTTTTGTACCCCTTCTATTCATTCATTCTTGACATTTCATTTCTGCATCTTGCACGCTTTGACAGGTCACGTATAAACCAGTTGAAATCAGGTTGATTTAAAAACAAAAGACTCGCTTATACTTTATATTAGATTAGTTCTGACATAAATATTTAAAAAGCATACCTTTGTATTTTTAAATACAAGATAATTTTGATTATTTAACATGTCAGGTATTTCCAAAGAATTTACTACACGTGTTCATTACACACTCGCCATGATGAATGGTTCCAGTGACCCGTGTGTTATCAACTTTGACCCTATCGGCACACAGCTAGTGATAATATAAACAATTTTACTATCCTGTCTATTTTAATATATCAGCACATCAAACTGATTTGTTTCATTTTGAGGCCTTTTTTGAGTGATCAGGTAAATAAATACCGTAAAACAATTAATTTGTCAATCAGTCGAGGCTATCTCCTGCTTTGCAGTAAGTGCTAATAATAACGTAACGTATACAAATCTTCGAGCGGGAATTAAAGGACGTTAATTTACTGTGATATATTATAAATGACATGTGCTATATGAAGTATTTATATGGTCTTCAGTGAAAGAAAACATTGTTGTGGCTACCATTCCTGGTTTTGAAGGTCAGATATGATATGAAAACGAATATCGGTTTGTAGTTTTTTTAACCGTTTCACCAGTGCAACCGAACCGTGGCGGGTTAACCGAGTAGCCGTATACATCCTTAATTATTAGGCAATCAAGTCTACAATCTTTATTAAAATCGATAGGTTGGCAGTCAACAAAACATATGCCCAAATATTGAAGATTAAATCTTGTACCTTGTCAAACTATGGACTAGTGGATATTAATGCCGGGCTAGTGCCTGACAGTAGACTACTAGCCCTGGGCTAGTGGATTCAAAATTTTTTTTACGCCCCTGCTGAGTCGAGTCAAGCTTATTTTTGTAAAAACCTTTATAATCAGGGCAGGATATAAGGCATTTAGTTGTCCCTGACACTGCTGAACTAGTTTCTGATATTGTCAACTTAGTGCCAGACATGTGTTATTAATATCAATAAAAAACACAGAAAAAAAAACCCAATTCGTGCCGCACAGAATGACATGCCTGACCTGACAGTGTCTGTGACATCCAGGTGAGGTTTGTTCATAATTATTTTGAGTTTATCAATTGATGCAAAATAATTGTTAAATAATTTAGTTTCAATTGAACTTCCAAATTGTTTTTTATTTAAGTTGTATGAGTATTAATTGCTGATTAATTTTGTTAAAAAAACGAAATGATAAACGAAATGATAAACAAAATGAAATGGGGTTTAACATCCTACTGTTCTGCTCCTAAACTGGGCTAATGAAGACGGGCATACGTCATGCAGTGTGCTGTGAGGGAAATTTTTCCCGGGCAGCGGCGCTCTGTCCTACTCTTATATTGAATTCCAATTGACAAGGGATCTTTTCCATGCACGCCAGTATGTACACGGGACCTCAGTTTTTCGTCCCATCCGAACGACTAGACAGCTGTCCTTGTCAGGCCCTCCGTCCTGCATCACTGACAAGGGGAAACCACGCCGGAAAATCTGGATGAACTTTCTCGGCCAATGCAGGGATTGAACACCCGACCTCGAGACTAGGGAGCCAGCTTCTTACCCACTTAGCCACCGTGAACTCCAGTTGATATCAGAGTAGGATGATTGTACATGTATGCTTAATTTGTTGTTGAATGTGAAGGAAATACATGTATTGATTAATTTTTTCCTCCCTGATTTTATATGCTCATTATAATGCTGTCTAATAATCATTTGGGTTTTTCTCCAGCTTCACTCAGGGATAATATAAGGTAGGGTGTCCCACAATAACAGAGAAACTGAGACGGTATCATATTATATGGTAGGGTGTCCCACAATAACAGAGAAACTGAGACGGTATCATATTATAAGGTAGGATGTCCCACAATAACAGAGAAACTGAAACGGTATCATATTATAAGATAGGGTGTCCCACAATAACAGAGAAACTGAGACGGTATCATATTATATGGTAGGGTGTCCCACAATAACAGAGAAACTGAGACGGTATCATATTATATGGTAGGGTGTCCCACAATAACAGAGAAACTGAGACGGTATCATATTATATGGTAGGGTGTCCCACAATAACAGAGAAACTGAGACAGTATTATATTATATGGTAGGGTGTCCCACAATAACAGAGAAACTGAGACGGTATCATATTATAAGGTAGGGTGTCCCACAATAACAGAGAAACTGAGACGGTATCATATTATAAGGTAGGGTGTCCCACAATAACAGAGAAACTGAGACAGTATCATATTATATGGTAGGGTGTCCCACAATAACAGAGAAACTGTGACGGTATCATATTATATGGTAGGGTGTCACACAATAACAGAGAAACTGAGACGGTATCATATTATATGGTAGGATGCCCCACAATAACGAATATCTGTAATTGTTGATAATTATGCTACCATATATTGATGTACATGTACATATATAACAAGGCTTATTAGGTAGTCGTGGTGGCCTAATGAGTAGGGCGCTGACTCACCAACATAGAGGTCCGGGGTTCAATCCCAGTGTTGGCCGAGAAAGCATGTCACGATATTCCAGTGTGGTTTCCCATGGTCAGTAGTGCAGGACCTGGCAAGGGAAAAATGTCCAACTGTTCGGATGGAATAAACAAACAGGTTTTGCTTACACATCGGGGTGCACGTAAAAGAATCCTTGGGAGAATATGAAATAAGAGTAGGCTGTTGTGGCACATACATCACACACAGCAATGCATCATGCCTGCCTTCATTAACCCAGTGGGTGCAGAAATGGAGGATGTTAAAACTCCATTTCATTTCAAATGTATTGAGGAGCCACGGTTGGCAAATTATCCTCATCGCATACTGGATGGTACATGTATACATTAAGCTAGTTGGTGCAGAAACGTAGAGCCCATTTCTGACTGTGTGATTCTACCCTAATATGGAACAGAACAATATCTATAAATCATGCATGTACTCCTGGGCCCTTATTTACAAACACTTAAACTAAGTTACAACCGAAATTTTAAGAAATACTGCAACTTCATTGGATATATGCAAATTGATTTTACTGGTCAGCCAATCGAATTGCAGTATTTCTTAAAATTTCGATTGTATCTTAGTTTAAGTTTTCGTGAATAAGGGCCCTGGTTAATAGAGGCTTTATCTATAACAACCAGGTGAGATTATCCAGTTGTAAATTAGATCAATTAATTACCCATGTTACCTGTATGGATTCTAAAATAATCTAGTTATCACTCTTATCACTTCATCAGATTGGGAAATTAAATCCTAATCAGGGAAATTGAAAGTAGGAGATAATTGCTACCTGAGATATAAATTATTGATAGACTATACTAGTGGAAGAATTTCCAATAAATCACACATTTCCATACTGTCCAATCCCAATAAAAGACGGCTGGTTTCCATGGTGACTATAAATAATTGGTGGTAGTGTACTAATGTATAAGATTGAGTAATTAATTAGGGTTATTATTGATGGTGGTTTACATATTTAAGGTATAAAATTGAACGACTAATTAGGATTATTATCGGGTACCTGTAAAAGATAAAGGATCTGAAATAGTTTTATTGTATCATTTACCTGTAGCTTGTTTGAGAGACTAACATAGAATATCTGGAGTTGAACCTGGTTGCTCGTTTGTCAGGATACAGGTAGGAAGCACAAGGTGGAAATTTGTTAGCTTTATTTTACCTGGTGTCAATTACAGGTGAACCTGACTGCTCGTTAGTCAGGATACAGGTAGGAAGGACAAGGTGGATTATTAAATATTTATTTATAATACGATGTATGAAAATATTTAAAAAAAGGTTGATGTTTGTTAGCTTTATTTTACCTGGAGTCAATGTACAGGTGAATCTGACTGCTCGTTTGTCACAATACAGGTAGGCAACACAATCTAACACATTTATTTATAACACAGAAACTTTAGAAACTAGGATAGTTGAAGAAAAATTTATCAAAACTTGTGGAAATTGTTAGTTTTTTTTGTCAGTGATCCGTAATTGGAACAGAGTTGAGGAACAGTCTGGAATTTTATACAAAGAAAATGTTCAAAGTCGTTGGAATGGGACAAAAAAATTCCAGGACCTTCTCTGTGAAGATTTGTAGTAGACATTAGAGAGGTTTCTCAACTTTACATGTACATTTAGACCGTTAAACGTCATCAGTTTTGGTGATGTACATGTATGACGTGCAGCGCAAGTCATAAAGTGTGGCATACAGATAGCATCCCCCATAACTGTAAGTTAACAACGCTTGGCTAAACCTTGTTCAATTTCTAAGAGTCCATAAGTTTTCTCTGAATCATGGTTTTCACGGACCAAATCCACAGAGAAGACCTTTTCCTTCATGTAGATAAATAAGAAGAGGTTGAGACATGTAATCTCACCTTTAATGATCTAAAATATTAGATAAAAATACCACTTTCTGAAAAAATAGTTTCCAGCTCAAAAAAACCACAAAACTTTTATGGTTATAAAATATCTGAATTTAATTGTGCTTGATAACGACAAGGGAATTGTTGTTGAAATATTGCTCTACGAGTTCAGTTAGTGAAAACAGTAAGTAGTATGCTAAACCCCATTTCATTTGCTCCTGTTAAATTCAGTAATTATACAAAATAAAAGTTTTATTTACTGTAACCAATTACTAAAATGCTATTCAAACAATCTCCTATATGGACATGACTTGTGGAATATGTCTGGCCTCGTTCCTTGAGTCTCTTATTACAAATGGCGCTGAAATGTATTATGGTACACGATTTGTGTACCAATGGTAAAATGTTTATTTTGTCTTAAATATTGGATATCAGAAGCCTAACTTTTCCCAGTAAGAAAACAACACCAATGTTGATTTAAATTGACAAATAATTTGTGTGTGATATAATTAATCAATACGACCAAGTCCACCTGTTCTCAAGAACACACTTCAATCAATTTAGTTAATTATTAATATAAGTGGATCTAATGTTAATGGATGTGTAATTTATACATTATTATCAAGTAGGATCAATTAGAGATGTAATAAATATCACATGGTTATACATTGTTTATTATTAGATAGAAGAAAGGCAGTGGGGTATTATTAGAAAATTAAAATAATTCTCAGATGTTTAATTTAACTCAACTTCCAGCATATTTTAATATATCACATACTTGGGGACCTTCTCTGACCCAAACTGACCAAAATATTTCTGTGTCTTGTTATAAAGAGAGAGAGGGTTTTAACGTCCACTCGACACAAACCAGGTCATTTCGTGGCTAACATACATGTATGGTTCAATTTTTATTTTAATAATATGCTTGCGCATAAGGGTCCTTAGCAGTGAGAGGAAACGAGAGAAAACCCTTGAGGTTAAACAGGCAACCCTACTCCTTTTCACGTACAAGTAGGGAATTGAAACCATGCCACGTCTTGTCATATCCAAGCAAAGAATTGGTTCAAACGTAAAAGCTTACATCAACTCTATGCCCTATCTAAAGTATTGTCAAGTAAATAGCACAGTTAGTCGAATGTTAAGCTTCGTGTATTGTAGTCGGTAACGAGTACAGTTCGTAGAACGGTTGTGAAGCTACATGTATCGTCGTCGGTAACAAGTACAGTTGGTTAGTAGACACGATAGTCAAGCTACATGTATCGTCGTCAGTAACGAGTACAGTTAGCTAGTAGTTAGCAAGTAGATACAGTTGTCAAGCTACATGCATCGTTGTCGGTAATAAATACAGTTAGTTCGTAGATACGAAGGAAATCCTAGTAAAGAGTCCTGGATCTGGGTAACTTGCTTCCAATGATAAATAAGAATAATTAATTAATATTGTACCCTGACGATGGAATGATCCTCTTCACGATATTACCATCTTCTTCATACTCTGGTAACTATATATACATGTAGAGACAGAACGATAAGATTAATATGCAACAAAGGACAGCGCAGGCAAAAATTATACAATTTAATCTGACTTATTTAAAGATACATGTACCGGTATGTTCTTACAATCATCGTATGGTCAACCAGAAAACATATCATTATTTTACAATATAATTCTATTGACACAGACAGAGCATTTTGTAAACAGCCAAAAATTATACATTTCAAGTTTTTTATATAAAGGTATGTTCTTTCAATCATCGTAGGGTCAACCAGAAATATATTTCTAATGACAAGAGAAAATAAAATTACAGACTCCTCAACACTTATTTTTGTTCAATTAAAGTACCTGTATTGACTACTGACACTTTATCGCCTCCCAGTATTGGATTTACTACACAATATGAAAGTTCATCGGGAATTTCCAGCATAGTCCCTCTTTGTCAGTGATGCACAACATAGGGCCTGGCACGAAAAACAAAGGTACCGAGTACACAATGACATGCAGGTAAAACATCCCTTGGCAGTTGGAATCAAATATAAAAGTAGGCTGAAGCGCCGCTGTCTAGGCAAACTTTCCCCCATAGAACAATATATTATTGATGCCTGTCTTGATTAGCCCAATCGGAGATTAGCGGTAGTAAGCTAAACCCTATTTCCTTCGAGAATGGGATTAAGGCCTGTACACACCTGTGTCCTCTTTGTGGTAATATTTATTGTTTCTTCTTCTTCTTCATCGTTATATCTGGTTAAAGGGGCTGAAGAAAGAAAAAAAAAACGTTAAAACAAATTGAATATACATGCAGTTGTAATGGAATACATACATAGTGGTAAAGAAATTGTAATAGGTGTACCATAGTTTTAAACAAATTAAATACTGTAGTTGCAAAGAAAATGAATACACATGAAATACATGTGCATGTAGTTGTGAATAAATTATAATCATTTATAAGGCTACAGTATTCTAAAAGATACTAGAATGGTTTAGCTGTAAACTGAAATACTGTACCTATCTATGGTAAAACTTTTAAAAAAAAATATGAGAGAGCAATGGGGTTTAATGGCCACTCGATACAAACTTGTTCATTTCAGGACTAACATATTTGTTCAATTTTCCTTCAATAATTCGTTTGCGTCTAGGAGGCCTTAGCAGTGGGAGGAAACAACCAGAAAATTAGACAGGCGACCTTACTTCATGTCACATACAAGCGGGGAATCATCATTATGTAGGTCAGCGACCTTTTGGTCTATCAGTTTTCTACACAGAGATTCATAGCACTTGTTAGTGTCACATTATGTAGTCAGTGTGGGTCACCCAACCCCCCACTTTAATATAGAGCAAAGCCCTAAAGCATCGCGTGAAGCGCAGTGCTTGAGCAAAGCTCTTTTCTGGTAACACAGGAGCGTAACTAAACTGTCACCCACAGATTGTTGATTACAAAAAAATTCAGACCGGAACCGGATATAGGCCTACTGGGCAAAAATGGCAATGCACATGCCAACTTACCAAATATCGACCAAGCGTACGTGATTACGTGTCTGATAGAAATATTTTTATGACGCGTTTAATCAATGACATCACACATTTCTGACGTCAATGAAAATAATTCTCACACTTTTATGCTGGTTTTTTTTTAAACAAAATTAATCATACAATTTAGATCTAATTTAAAATGAATTCGGAAAAACGAAATTATTTAACATTCTTTGTATCACTTGAGAAGCTTAAAGTAGCTAAGTCTCTAACTCAATATCATCCAAAATCTTCAACATTGAAAACACGATTTATTTGTCAAATTAAATCAACATTCACGTCGTGATCTTACCGGGAAAAGATGGGCTTTTGATATCCAATATTTAAGACAAAATAAACATTTTACCATTGGTACACGAATCGTGTACCATAATGCGCTTCAGCCCCAGTTGTATCAAGAGACTCGAGGGACGAGGCTAGACACATTGCACCAAATCAAACGGCGTATGTAGACTGGAATAACCAGACGCTAGAAATATGCACTCGCTTGAGACTGCTGGCTTATTTTGCCGAACATAACTGATTTGAAATTGGAGTAAAAACGGAAACCATCGAATGTAAATCAGTTTATATACATTCATATTACAGTATTATATGGGTTGCGACCCACTTTTGTCAATTTCTAGGTCCCAAATGTTAGCGATTTAGCTCCTTTAATTATGAAGGTTTTATATTTAACAACAATCACATCAGCTTCGCTCTACTCAGGCAATGTCTGTTAGATATTATCAATCAGATACATACCAGTCAGCTCATCAAACAGCCGCTGTTCGATCGTGTTAAAAGATGTGTCTAACTTCAAAGGTTGCAGACATCTTTGACAGACGAAACTCACATTCGTCGTCGTTCCGGACTTCCCTGGTTCTGACAGAGGCGCGGCCATTTACAAAGTAGGAAAGAAAAGTGTATTACGTTCAGGACAATAAGGTCTTCCTGACTCAAACTACCATAACTGGCCCAAACACAAATAATTTCCAAATATTTCCCTAAAGTTAAAAGACCTGGGGGATGGGTTTGTTTTTATTTTGATGATTAAATTTAGTTCAAAATGTGAATTTGGATCTCCGCGTGGCTATTTCGCTTTCTTGATATCAAGTACTTCCTGCTGATAAACGGATTACATTTCTCAACAAACGAAAGGGGGGATTTTACTGAGAAAAACGAGGTCTTTGATTTTGTTCTTCTTTTGTGGTATTTATAAAGACACATTTGTAATCAGTTTTGCGCGCGTTCAATTTTATATACAACCAATAACAGTAAAAAAAAAAAAGGAGGATAATTTTACGACATTAAAATGTCGAACCAAATATAACTTCTCACAGTCTTAGTACATAGCGAATTTATAGTTACTGATTTGAGAAAGTTAAACGAATATAAAAAAGTTGAGCCCAAGAGCTTTATTTTATAGTTGGATTGTTCTTTTACGACATACTTTTGACAAGATGTCTTTCTTTATTTCCGGTGTAGCCATTGTCAATAAACCGGTTTCATTCATGAAATTGTCGTCGTGTCTATTGTGTTGGCACTCATCTTCGTCCATTCATAACATCGTAGCACCAGCAGGTAAAACAATTTTAAAAGTTTAAACACAATTATGTCAATTAAATTAATTCATTCATTAAAATTCAATAATTTATTTTAAATTTAAAACCAAGATATGAAGATCAATTTTAAAAGAAATGTTGTTTTATTTTGATTAAAATAATTTGACCGTGACAGCGTGGCCATAATTGTCATAATTGTATATGGCAGGACCTTATTGATTATGGAGTCAGGAACCCTGTAAGTAATCATAAGTGTCATCCCCGCTGAACAGTGAATAACCAGAGGCAGGGTTAGACTGTTTTACGTGGTGGTCCAATTAGGGCCCAGAGTTTGGTCAAGGACCCAGAGAGGGGTCAGGGAGGTAGCACGATTTACTCAAATCTACCCAAATCCAACATTATTTCAACTCATATTATAAAAATTTACGATTGTAAGTTAAAAATGAGAAATTAGCATAAAGGACAGTATATTATTAAATATCGATACCCGGTATAAATTATTGTCTTTTAAATATTGAAGTAATGGTAGATTTGGGTGGTTTGGGTAAATCGTGCTACCTGGGTTGGAGGAAAAAAATTAAGATATATTTTTTGTTTTAGATAAAATTCTTCGCTTCAACTGAAAATAATAAGCTTATAAGTTATATAGCAGGCATAATTGCCTGAGTAGCAGTGTTGTAAAAATCCACTAGCCCGACGCCCAGGGCTACCAAAAATAACTTGGGCTAGTGATCTATTTAGCCGTACTAGTCCTGGGCTAGTGCCCTTTTATTGGTTTGTGAATCAAACTAGTGACGATATAGATAAATAAACTGTAAAATATCCCACATTTATTTCTCATATTCCACTGAAAACTCAATCATAACAATAGATTTTGAGTAGTAAAACTTAGAGCCGTATGGACATTTTTTTGTACCCCTTCTATTCATTCATTCTTGACATTTCATTTCTGCATCTTGCACGCTTTGACAGGTCACGTATAAACCAGTTGAAATCAGGTTGATTTAAAAACAAAAGACTCGCTTATACTTTATATTAGATTAGTTCTGACATAAATATTTAAAAAGCATACCTTTGTATTTTTAAATACAAGCTAATTTTGATTATTTAACATGTCAGGTATTTCCAAAGAATTTACTACACGTGTTCATTACACACTCGCCATGATGAATGGTTCCAGTGACCCGTGTGTTATCAACTTTGACCCTATCGGCACACAGCTAGTGATAATATAAACAATTTTACCTATCCTGTCTATTTTAATATATCAGCACATCAAACTGATTTGTTTCATTTTGAGGCTCTTTTTTGAGTGATCAGGTAAATAAATACCGTAAAACAATTAATTTGTCAATCAGTCGAGGCTATCTCCTGCTTTGCAGTAAGTGCTAATAATAACGTAACGTATACAAATCTTCGAGCGGGAATTAAAGGACGTTAATTTACTGTGATATATTATAAATGACATGTGCTATATGAAGTATTTATATGGTCTTCAGTGAAAGAAAACATTGTTGTGGCTACCATTCCTGGTTTTGAAGGTCAGATATGATATGAAAACGAATATCGGTTTGTAGTTTTTTTAACCGTTTCACCAGTGCAACCGAACCGTGGCGGGTTAACCGAGTAGCCGTATACATCCTTAATTATTAGGCAATCAAGTCTACAATCTTTATTAAAATCGATAGGTTGGCAGTCAACAAAACATATGCCAAAATATTGAATTAAATCTTGTACCTTGTCAAACTATGGACTAGTGGATATTAATGCCGGGCTAGTGCCTGACAGTAGACTACTAGCCCTGGGCTAGTGGATTCAAAAATTTTTTTACGCCCCTGCTGAGTAGAGTCAAGCTTATTTTTGTAAAAACCTTTATAATCAGGGCAGGATATAAGGCATTTAGTTGTCCCTGACACTGCTGAACTAGTTTCTGATATTGTCAACTTAGTGCCAGACATGTGTTATTAATATCAATAAAAAACACAGAAAAAAAAACCCAATTCGTGCCGCACAGAATGACATGCCTGACCTGACAGTGTCTGTGACATCCAGGTGAGGTTTGTTCATAATTATTTTGAGTTTATCAAGTGATGCAAAATAATTGTTAAATAATTTAGTTTCAATTGAACTTCTAAATTGTTTTTTATTTAAGTTGTATGAGTATTAATTGCTGATTAATTTTGTTAAAAAAACGAAATGATAAACAAAATGAAATGGGGTTTAACGTCCTACTGTTCTGCTCCTAAACTGGGCTAATGAAGACGGGCATACGTCATGCAGTGTGCTATGAGGGAAATTTTTCCCGGGCAGCGGCGCTCTGTCCTACTCTTATATTGAATTCCAATTGCCAAGGGATCTTTTACATGCACGCCAATATATACACGGGACCTCGGTTTTTCGTCCCATCCGAACGACTAGACAGCTGTCCTTGTCAGGCCCTCCGTCTTGCATCACTGACAAGGGGAAACCACGACGGAAAATCTGGATGAACTTTCTCGGCCAATGCAGGGATTGAACACCCGACCTCCAGACTAGGGAGCCAGCGTCTTACCGACTTAGCCACCGTGAACTCCAGTTGATATCAGAGTAGGATGATTGTACATGTATGCTTAATTTGTTGTTGAATGTGAAGGAAATACATGTATTGATTAATTTTTTCCTCCCTGATTTTATATGCTCATTATAATGCTGTCTAATAATCATTTGGGTTTTTCTCCAGCTTCACTCAGGGATAATATATGGTAGGGTGTCCCACAATAACAGAGAAACTGAGACGGTATCATATTATATGGTAGGGTGTCCCACAATAACAGAGAAACTGAGACAGTATCATATTATAAGGTAGGGTGTCCCACAATAACAGAGAAACTGAGACGGTATCATATTATATGGTAGGGTGTCCCACAATAACAGAGAAACTGAGACGGTATCATATTATATGGTAGGGTGTCCCACAATAACAGAGAAACTGAGACAGTATCATATTAAATGGTAGGGTGTCCCACAATAACAGAGAAACTGAGACAGTATCATATTATAAGGTAGGGTGTCCCACAATAACAGAGAAACTGAGACAGTATCATATTATAAGGTAGGGTGTCCCACAATAACAGAGAAGCTGAGACAGTATCATATTATAAGGTAGGGTGTCCCACAATAACAGAGAAGCTGAGACAGTATCATATTATATGGTAGAGTGTCCCACAATAACAGAGAAACTGAGACGGTATCATATTATATGGTAGGGTGTCCCACAATAACAGAGAAACTGAGACGGTATCATATTATATGGTAGGATGCCCCACAATAACGAATATCTATAATTGTTGATAATTATGCTACCATATATTGATGTACATATATAACAAGGCTTATTAGGTAGTCGTGGTGGCCTAATGAGTAGGGCGCTGACTCACCAACATAGAGGTCCGGGGTTCGATCCCAGTGTTGGCCGAGAAAGCATGTCACGATATTCCAGTGTGGTTTCCCATGGTCAGTAGTGCAGGACCTGGCAAGGGAAAAATGTCCAACTGTTCGGATGGAATAAACAAACAGGTTTTGCTTACACATCGGGGTGCACGTAAAAGAATCCTTGGGAGAATATGAAATAAGAGTAGCCTGTTGTGGCACATACATCACACACAGCAATGCATCATGCCTGCCTTCATTAACCCAGTGGGTGCAGAAATGGAGGATGTTAAAACTCCATTTCATTTCAAATGTATTGAGGAGCCACGGTTGGCAAATTATCCTCATCGCATACTGGATGGTACATGTATACATTAAGCTAGTTGGTGCAGAAACGTAGAGCCCATTTCTGACTGTGATTCTACCCTAATATGGAACAGAACAATATCTATAAATCATGCATGTACTCCTGGGCCCTTATTTACAAACACTTAAACTAAGTTACAACCGAAATTTTAAGAAATACTGCAACTTCATTGGATATATGCAAATTGATTTTACTGGTCAGCCAATCGAATTGCAGTATTTCTTAAAATTTCGATTGTATCTTAGTTTAAGTTTTCTTGAATAAGGGCCCTGGTTAATAGAGGCTTTATCTATAACAACCAGGTGAGATTATCCAGTTGTAAATTAGATCAATTAATTACCCATGTTACCTGTATGGATTCTAAAATAATCTAGTTATCACTCTTATCACTTCATCAGATTGGGAAATTAAATCCTAATCAGGGAAATTGAAAGTAGGAGATAATTGCTACCTGAGATATAAATTATTGATAGACTATACTAGTGGAAGAATTTCCAATAAATCACACATTTCCATACTGTCCAATCCCAATAAAAGACGGCTGGTTTCCATGGTGACTATACAATAATTGGTGGTAGTGTACTAATGTATAAGATTGAGTAATTAATTAGGGTTATTATTGATGGTGGTTTACATATTTAAGGTATAAAATTGAACGACTAATTAGGATTATTATCGGGTACCTGTAAAAGATAAAGGATCTGAAATAGTTTTATTGTATCATTTACCTGTAGCTTGTTTGAGAGACTAACATAGAATATCTGGAGTTGAACCTGGTTGCTCGTTTGTCAGGATACAGGTAGGAAGCACAAGGTGGAAATTTGTTAGCTTTATTTTACCTGGTGTCAATTACAGGTGAACCTGACTGCTCGTTAGTCAGGATACAGGTAGGAAGGACAAGGTGGATTATTAAATATTTATTTATAATACGATGTATGAAAATATTTAAAAAAAGGTTGATGTTTGTTAGCTTTATTTTACCTGGAGTCAATGTACAGGTGAATCTGACTGCTCGTTTGTCACAATACAGGTAGGCAACACAATCTAACACATTTATTTATAACACAGAAACTTTAGAAACTAGGATAGTTGAAGAAAAATTTATCAAAACTTGTGGAAATTGTTAGTTTTTTTTGTCATTGATCCGTAATTGGAACAGAGTTGAGGAACAGTCTGGAATTTTATACAAAGATAATGTTCATAGTCGTTGGAATGGGACAAAAAAATTCCAGGACCTTCTCTGTGAAGATTTGTAGTAGACATTAGAGAGGTTTCTCAACTTTACATGTACATTTAGACCGTTAAACGTCATCAGTTTTGGTGATGTACATGTATGACGTGCAGCGCAAGTCATAAAGTGTGGCATACAGATAGCATCCCCCATAACTGTAAGTTAACAACGCTTGGCTAAACCTTGTTCAATTTCTAAGAGTCCATAAGTTTTCTCTGAATCATGGTTTTCACGGACCAAATCCACAGAGAAGACCTTTTCCTTCATGTAGATAAATAAGAAGAGGTTGAGACATGTAATCTCACCTTTAATGATCTAAAATATTAGATAAAAATACCACTTTCTGAAAAAATAGTTTCCAGCTCAAAAAAACCACAAAACTTTTATGGTTATAAAATATCTGAATTTAATTGTGCTTGATAACGACAAGGGAATTGTTGTTGAAATATTGCTCTACGAGTTCAGTTAGTGAAAACAGTAAGTAGTATGCTAAACCCCATTTCATTTGCTCCTGTTAAATTCAGTAATTATACAAAATAAAAGTTTTATTTACTGTAACCAATTACTAAAATGCTATTCAAACAATCTCCTATATGCAAATTAAGAATTCAAAAATTACGTTTTATGTTAGTTTCAAAATGGCCAGAGTATTGTTTACGAGACGAAAAATCTTGTTCTTTTTAATGGATCCCTCTTTGTTTGCATTTTAAAAACTTACATATTATCTCGGTGCATATAAAGTTACAGTGTAAATGTAGCTTAGAAACATAAATAGGCAGACAGGTAGTTGAGACGACCCACATAGATGTACATGTACATGTATGTACGTCCCTGTAGGTAATGTACATGTTTATAATACAAATTATTTAGCTTGTAGTAGACAGCTTGGTATACTTTCTTTTGGACATTAGTATATATTGTTCCACTTAAATGGATTGTACAGTATATGAATGGTTAGCTACATACATTCAATAAATCAGCTGTAAAGCCTATTATTCGTATTGTATTTTATGGACAACATGGTGGCTAAAAATACAGTTTATGTCTATTGCAAGAACATTGTGTGGATGTGTAATTTGATCCATATTATTCCCAATTGTATAGGTCATGTAAATACATGTATGATTGATGTCTTATCCTTCATGTAGTTTGGATCAATCCAGTTGTCGACTAATTGGGTAATATTTCCGTTAATCATCAACGAGAAAATAATTAGTTTTAAAAATTACATGAATACATAATGAATGATGTTTATTTATAATTAGAGACTGAATCGATTTTTGAACATTTTGCTCAGGTAACTTGTAACAATATATTTCCTGCTTGATATAAATAACAGGTGGAGGTGGGTGGGGTCTAGTGGTTTTACGCGCACATGTTAAATCATAAGGTACAGGGATTTGATGGCATTACATGTATATCATAAGGTCTGTCATTAAGTCAACTGGCGTGGTTTTGATTCCCCGGTTTTACGTCACAAGGAGTAGGTTTGTCTGTCCAGCAGGGTGAGTTTTCTCTGTGTCCTCCAGGTTCCTCCCACTGCTAAAGACCCCTATATATGCAAGTGAATCATTGAAATAAAATTGAACCATATGCTAGGCCCCGGAATGACCTAGTTTGTGTTGAGAGAGGACATTAAACCCTCATTTGTAGTTTAAACCACACAATTGAATATCACATACATCAACTCCGCAACATAGATTATAGATGTTTCATACTTGCATTTATTTGATAAAAATCTGAGTATTTCTGTAGAATTGATACAATACTAAGTATGTTTTGTGGCTTCAGGGCCTCCAGGCCTGGGAAATTTGTTAGTTTCACAGCTAGTCTATAAATCTACAGTAAGATATTACTTATCAGGGGAGGATCCAGTAATTTTTATAGGAGGGAGTTTGCCACGTTCCTAAGACAATGTATCTTTTTTGGGGGGGAGGGGGTCTCCCCCTTGGCATTCGTTTCTCACATTTTGTTTCCTCTAAATTACGTAGGCATACATACATTATTGAGCTTTTAACAAAAAGAGAGAAATCCAACATTTTTATTATTAATTGTGATATGACATATGTCTCTATATCATTATCTCGTGCTTTGACTGTCCATCTCATCCAACCATCTGATGATAAAGCACAAGGCCGTCACACTTTACTCATAAAAAGTGTTTGTACCCTCCCTTTCGAACCACACCTGCTTATACACATCTTAAAATTTTGTTTTTCATTTCAGTATCAAAAATATTTCTAAGAAAAATGTCATCAAATTGTCGTGCAGCAGTTATCAGCGGTCCATCAGGGGGAGGAAAATCTACTCTCTTAACCAAGTTAATGGGAGAATATCCAAACAGTTTTGCCTTCAGTGTTTCCCGTAAGTACATCCAAACAGTTTTGCCTTCAGTGTTTCTAGGGGTGATGATTTTCCGTTTCAGATTTATCCAGACATCTTCGTAGTTACTACCGTTTCTTCGAGAATAAGGGCTGGATTCATAAGGCTACAGTATATTTGTGATGTCACGTGGTTAATGCGGATAAACACGAGTCACAAGCCCGGCAGCAAAATAAGAAGTAAATGAAACGATTTTTACTTTTATGAAGTGACAGAAGTTTTTTTTAAGACATATATATTTATTACAATGTTTAATTCAAGTTAAACTACAGAGTAATTGTATACAGGGATACATGAAAGATGGGTTTTCGTTTCGATTAAAATTATGATTCCTAAATGATGAAATGAAAGTAGCTAAATACTAAAATAGACAGTAACAAAACCACGCGATATCATTCAATATTTCCGATTTTTATGAATAAAAAGATGAAATACTTGGATAACTGCAAAATTGTTTTGAGTTTGTGTTTAGTATCAGCAAATATCGGCTTTTCCGTCTTTTTCCGTGTGAGATTTCAAATTCAGTTTTGAGTGGACAATTCCGCGATTTCCACGTTTTTTCCGCGATCACGGAAAATCATCACCCCTATGTTTCCCGTAAGTACATTCATTGTATTATGCTAGGTCTTTATTACAATCTGGGATCCACGGTGGCTAAATGACTACGAGGTCTCAGTTCGCTCCCGGTGTTGGCCTAGAAAGTTCATCAGGATTTTCCAGGATGGTTTTCCCTTCTCGGTGATGCAAGATGTAGGGCCTGGCAAGGACATCTGTCTAGTTGTTCGGATGGGACGTAAAAAATCCTTGGCAGTTCCTGAGGATTTTCTGCCTGCTTTAGTTGTTTGCATGGGATGAAAAACTGCATGCACGTAAAAGAACCCCTGACAGTTGGTCGAGTTGGAATCCAATGAGAAATTGGTGGAAAATCTGTTCTCCAGATAAACTTTCCTTAAAAGGCCACACTGTATGGCGTACATGAATGCTTATCTTCATTCACCCTGTTCCATTTCATTCAATTAAAAAAGAGGTACCAATGTACATTTACCTGTACATTTACCTGTACATGTAGCACTTTAAAATATTTTCCCTTGTTTATTCATTTTTTTTTTTTTTTTTTTTAGATACAACAAGAAAACCACGACCAGGTGAATCTGATGGAAAAGGTAATATTAAAAACAGATTAATTATAATTATAATTCTTAACTATTTGTTTCTTTAAATAATCCTTTGGAATGGGACTGAGGTTTCTAAATTTTTTGGTGAAATATGATTTGTGTATTTGAATAAAATATATAAATATGATTGGTCTATTGCAGATTACCATTTTGTACAGAAGGAGAAATTTGGTGAAATGATTTCCAACCAGGAATTTTTAGAACATGCAGAGTTTTCAGGCAATATGTATGGGACCAGGTGAGTTAAAGCAATATAGCTCTAGTATGATGGGTTTTCAGGCAATATGTATGAGACCAGGTGGGTTAAAGCGATTTAGCTCTAGTATGATGGGTTTTCAGGCAATATGTATGGGACCAGGTGAGTTAAAGGATAATATTGGTGTCAGTCACTATAAAATATGTGATAGAACTGGTTAAATTCATTCCAAATATTATTTTAACACAGAGATCATTGCTACGGCAGATGTGTAACAAGCACGTGACGAAACGGGAAGTGACGCCAAACATGACACACACGAGTTATCCGTCTATATATCTGATTGAAGTAATGAGCGATAACAGATAAACGATCGAATTTCATTTCACTGATAATTCAGTTGAAGTTGAAAAGTTATTATATAGGACGGTGGGAGGGTATCTCACAATTCAAAAATAGAATTGGCTGTCGGGAGGTGAGTTAAAGTGATATAGCTCTAGTATGATGGGTTTTCCAGTTTATCAAATATCATATCTCGGCATTGCCAAAATAGCTGTGTGCCGGACAAATATGTTTCAACAGAAAAATGAAATGAAATGGGTATTAATTATCCTCCTTGTCTCCACCGACTGGGCGTACACCATGCAGGGGGCTAAGAGGGAAATTTACCTGGACAGCGGCACAACGAACTACTGTTATTTTGAATTCAACTGTCAAGTGTTTGTGTACACAATGTCCTTGCCAGACCCTCTGTCCTGCATCCACTAACAAGGGGAACCACCCACATTGGAAAATTCCGGAAAACTGTATCAATCTAACACTGAATGGACCTCCTGCTCAGTTAGCCACTGCCTTACTCACTGCGCCCTCGAGCTCCCGATTATCGGAAAAATTAACAAAAGAAGAGGTGACTTGTTTAATGTAGGTGATGACGGACAGCAATACAATATTCTGACACACAGAAATATATAAAAATCTTTTAAAAAAGAAATTATCTTTTTAAAATATAAAAACATAGATTTAACTTTTTTTATTTTCAGTAAAAAATCAGTGAATGATATCCAGAAATCTGGTAAAATCTGTATTTTAGAAGTAGAAATTACTGGGGTTAAAAGTATAAAAAAATCCGATTTACAGCCAACACCAAGATATATCTTTATTAAACCACCAAGTCTAGATATATTGGTTCGTTAAATTTAATTACTTTACAATAACATTAACGTGGGAGTTGATTACAGAACGTTTCACAGCTCATAAAAAATTATGGTGTCCCAAGTGGATCACTGTGAAGTTATAGGATTCCTCAGTACAATTTTAGGACCAGGAAGTGGTCACTAACTGCTACTCATCTTGTTCTTGGGGTGATGCTCTTCAAAACAACCCTAAGGCTCCATTAATTCAAGTCCAATTGACTTGTAAATTGGCATGCTTCTTCTTTCCACAAATCTACACCGATGTGGTGAATTACGTTGTTGAATTCCTGGCCCATAGTATGATCGTACTTGTTTATCGTACCCGGAATGGAAGAGTTGGCAGGCCCGGTGGATTGACACACACCCTGTAGATCATTGTACGAGGAATGGAGTAGTTGGCTGGCCAGTTGGAAATAGTATGGTCTGTCATGGGTTTGGTCACAGGATATGTGTCAGGGTTGTTTACGTAACTTCTTGTGTTCTCACTTGGCACTTCGATTATATCCAACTTCAAGAGACCACATGTTAGTCTCAAAATGACCCAGTATGTGTTGAATGTATAACATACTCCATCTCTCTCTATACCTGGAATTATCACATAAGTTGAAGCCTGATTTCCTCCAGCTTCAAAAGGGCTCCACTTCTTTCTCCTTCACTGTACCTGGATTGCACACACCACATCACCACTGTAGTGTTGGCAGTACAAGGTAATATTAATGTAACAGTAGACTGATGACACCACTGTAGTGTGGGCAGTACAGGGTAATATTGATGTAACAGTAAACTAATGACACCACTGTAGTGTGGGCAGTACAGGGTAATATTAATGTAACAGTAGACTGATGACACCACTGTAGTGTGGGCAGTGTGGGCAGTACAGGGTAATATTGATGTAACAGTAAACTAATGACACCACTGTAGTGTGGGCAGTACAGGGTAATATTAATGTAACAGTAGACTGATGACACCACTGTAGTGTGGGCAGTACAGGGTAATATTGATGTAACAGTAAACTAATGACACCACTGTAGTGTGGGCAGTACAGGGTAATATTAATGTAACAGTAGACTGATGACACCACTGTAGTGTGGGCAGTACAAGGTAATATTAATGTAATAGTAGACTGATGACACCACTGTAGTGTGGGCAGGACAAGGTAATATTAATGTAATAGTAGACGGATGACACCACTGTAGTGTGGGCAGTACAGGGTAATATTAATGTAACAGTAGACTGATGACACCACTGTAGTGTGGGCAGTACAAGGTAATATTAATGTAATAGTAGACTGATGACACCACTGTAGTGTGGGCAGTACAGGGTAATATTAATGTAACAGTAGACTGATGATACCAATCATGAGCGTTTATAATCTTTCGTGTGGGTCGTACACAATAATATTAATGTAACAGTAGACTAATAGTAAGTGCAGAAAAACCACACTACACTGACTACACGCAAAACAAAATCTACAAGACAAACCTGCGGATAAAACAGAAAATAGACATTGCACCAAATAAACAAATAATGATAAACGATTTAGAAAAATGATACGAATGAAGTTTGATTTTATTTTGTAGAAGAGTAGATTAGAAGGTAGAGGAACTGAAACACCAGAAAGTTTACAAAAACGACTTGATACAGCAGCCGAAGCTTTAGACTACGGTAAAATATACTCACAAAATATTTCTCCCAACCTTGTTCTCAAGGTTCCCTACAACAGAGATCTGCCCGGTTCCTCTGGTTTCCTCCTGCTTGTAAACATCCATACATGCAAGCGATTGATTGAAATAAATTTGAAGTATATGTTAGTCCCAAAATGACATAGTTTGTGTTAAGTAATTGTTTATTACCATGTATATAGTATATCAGTTTTTATAAAACAATAGTTGACAATACATTCGTGATGGTGGAGATGTATAATAATAGGTAATTGTATTTCAAAGAATTGTGAACTGTTTATTCCAGTTTATTTACTAAATTGTATTTACTGGTAAAGATGGTTCATTTGATCATAAAACCCTCTCTCTCTCAAAGGTAGCGGGGGAAGTGGTGGATGGCTGAATTGTTATCATAAATTTTGTCATTGAGTCAACTGGTTTCGATTCCCCTGTCGTACATGACAAGGAGTATGGTCGCCTGTCCAACTTCGTGGGTTTTCTGCGAGCCCTCCGGTTTCCTCCCACAGCTAAAGACCCCTACCTGCAAGTGAATTATTGAAATAAAATTGAACCATGTATTAGTCCCGAAATGACCTAGTTTGTGTCAAGTGGACTTAAACCCCATCCCTCTCTCTCCCTCAGTCTCTTTTAATGACTAGTTTTAGTGTATTATAAAATTGTTATTTTAAAGATGGATCATTTGATCATACCCCCCCCCTCTCTCTCTCTCTCTCTCTCTCTCTCAGTCTCTATTAATGAGTAGTTTTAGTGTATTATAAAATTGTTATTTTAAAGCTGGTAAAGACGGTGTCTATGATTATATTATCATCAACGATAGTCTAGAAGATGCTTATAAAATATTTAAAAATATTTTTAAGCAAGTAAGTTTTATTATTTCTAATTTTCTAGTTTTATCATTGAACTACTCTAGGGTTCTTAGTTTATAAAATCAGCTATTCCAGTATTCACTTTTATTGTCGTAGTTTGATCAGAAGGTCTGTCATTGAGTCAAGTAGAGTGATGGTTTCAATTCCCCATTTGTACGTGACAAGGAGTAGGGTTGTCTGTGCAGCCTCGTGGGTTTTCTCCGGGTACTCTCCGGTTTCCTCCCACTGTAAAGACCCCTGCACGCAAGAAAAATGAAATGAAACGGGGTTTAACGTCCTACTGTTCTGCTCCAACTGGGCTAATGAAGATGGGCATAGTCCATACAGTGTGCTATGAGGGAAATTTTGTCCGGACGGCAATTTAATTCCAACTGTTAAGGCTTCTTTTACCAAGGTGTCTTGATTATTTATACCATCCGAATGAATAGACACTGTTCCTTGCCAGGGCCTCCATCCTGCACCACTGACATGGATGAACCTGCGGAACTTTCTTGGCACACACTGGAATCGAACGATGGAACTCATAGCTAGTGAACCAGCAGCTTACTGAGAGCACCATGGGTTCCTCCCCTGAGAGGCCAAACACGATTGAAGAAATGAAGTGCAGTGCAATAGGGTTTACTCTTCTGCACCCACCGGGCTATACAATTTCCATCTTCATTAGCCCAGTTCAGAGCAGAACAGTAGGACGTTAAAGTTACAATTTCATATTTTTAAGTTATATTTTTAAAATGTATTAAAATAAAGCCTTAAAATAGATGGTATCTATCAACAGTCCTACCTTGTTAAAGAATAATCCTATTAATCCTATAATTCACTATTGCCAGTTGAGAAATTGGCAAAAATATCATTTTCAACTTCAAATCCAAACGTTTGAAGATAGCTATTCCATGGGGGGATTAGAAAAACAAGGGAGGTAATTGTGTTATTATTTCCGGTGTAAATGAGTTTTAAGTGTGAGAATGACACCTATGATCGTATAATAGTGAGTTGACAACCTATTGAGCAAAAGACATAGAAATAATTATCTTTTGACTTTCTTAGAAAATATGAAATTCTCGCTTTAAACCCCATTTCATTCATTTGCTATGCTATTTTGCTTCCACCTACATGTTCTCAAATTCTGACAAAAGGTGCACCAGACCTTTAACCTGACAAATAATGAGGAACAACACGAGGATCACGCCTGGTACCTCCTGGTGAGTGAGTGAGCACCTTACTCTCTGAGCCACTGTGACTCCCCAAGTTTCCAGGACTTTATTCCTCTTCACAATTATGTCACACTGATCCGCAGTGAATATTTGCTTGGCCGCGACAATCACTGATAAGGATGACATTGATGCGGCTTAATGAGCTAGAAATATTAATTTTTTTCCTGCGACAAATTAAATTCTAAAACATTTTTTGTATATATTGGAAAAATAAATAAAGGCTTTTGACGTATTTGTAGGTAAAAATTATTTCCGATTTAGTGTAAATGGGTATTAAATTGACTAAAATGCAGCATTCTCTCCGAAGCAGTTATGTCTTATGTAAACAATGCACGCGCCATTCAGCCAATGATTCACACCGCGTGCTGTGACAGCACATGTTAAGGCAGTCATCTATGACAGACATATTATACGAGACTCGTAATTCTCTGTGAAACAGATTGCAATTATGTATGTAATTATCGTGTTTTTCTTTGACAGGATCTGAAATCGTTACAGTGAAGACGTTCCACATCAGCACATGGTTACTTATATTGCTCACTTTATTAGAGGGACTACTTTATTTTGTGTTCTTAAACTTGGTAGCGAGTTCACCGTTTGTCACCAGAAATATCCATACACCACCACATCACCAGTAAAAAACCAACATTACCTCATGTTGATCATTTTACATTGACGTTCCATTTCTCTCATAATAGTCAAATAACATCAGGTTTATTTATCGCTGTGATAAACCAGGCGCGTGTTCAGAGCGTATTTTATTCCTCCAACATTCATCGAAATAATGTCTAATGAAACAAGATGTGAACAAGCAGAAATCTTGTTTTTGAACATCTGATTTATAAAATTTTTGTGTAATGCCCCAGACCCCAAACTCACCCCTGCTAAAGTCAGGATATTAAAGGAACTAAATCTATATTCTTTGGCAACAAGAAATAAACATAAACGAGTTGTGTTGAACGCATATAATAATGTAATATGAATGTATATGAACTGATTTACATTCAATCATTTTTGTTTTTACCCTAATTTCCAATCAGTTATGTTCGGCAAAAAATATGTGAGGAGTCCAAATTAAATGGTATTCTTTGATGTCTGGTTATTCATGTCTACACCAGTAGTATTCTGTGGGATATGTTTAGCCTCATTCATCAAGTTGCTTCATTACAAATGATGCTCGAAAGCATTCTGGTACGCAGCTTGTGTGCCAGTTTTAAAATTTACATTTTGTCTTAAGTATTAGATATCAGAAGCCCATCTTTTCACAGTAAATTATCAACATCAATGTTGATTTTAATTGACTATTTAGTCATCTTTACAATGTCATAGACTGTGGATGATATTGAGTTGCCTCCTTTAATACGTATAACATGTTAGTGATGTTGATAGATATGTCTAATATTACAATAATCATTCAATCAACACAGAAATTGGTACAGTACCATTCGTTCTGTCCGTGTCACATGTCTTATAAATTACTGTAGTAGAGACAGAAGTAAGGAACACAAACCTCTTTTCAAAAACCAGATCATTTATTTCACATTTCTGGAAAAATCATGTATTTTTTAACACGTTAGTTAGAATAAGTAGTGTTTTTATATATTTTTATACTTGATAGGATAAACCTTGAGTTAAATATTATAAATGGTAATTCACAATCGAATTTTGTATCGTACAATAGCAAGCTGGTGATCATGGCTGTCATATATTTATCTACTCTGTCGTCTGCTTGATTTGCATGTTGGGGGCACGCGTTAAAATAGCGCCACGCCATCTTACGTGGACTACGTCATTGTTCTAGACCATCACTTCTCTGTGCTCTCTTCTATGGTTTGTTTTCAGCAAAAATATGACGTTAAAACTTCCAATCTCGATCCAAGACATAAATTTACATATTGTTTATCTCTGGGAAAACTCGCCGGCCATATGTGGTCGTTTTGAATGTTGCTTCACAAAGATCCAAGATGACGCCTCACACTTGCGTTTCTTCAGAAATTCACGCATTTAGCCAAATCACTCACATTGTGCGCTAAAAATAGTGCCCGGTAAATCATCAAATCGAATGAACTTTTGATGTCAAGATGTGTAACTCATGCAAACCGATGCCTAAATGTTGAGAAATAGGCAGCATTTCATTCTAACACATCCTGCCAATGAGGAACCCCTGGGCGGAGCTTAGGGACCGATTTCACTCTGATTAATGGGCGGTGATTTTTAATGGCTTGTGGGTTTTACCAGAGATAAACGAAGGTTCAAGTTATCTATAGAATCGAGATTAAACATCCTGTTTATATCGTCTGTGAAACTCTACAGACTGAACTGAATTGAGCCATTTTCACACTGATAATCCTGTTTTGAGATTCATCTTCCACCATATTGTAGTTTGCAAGTTATTCCCATCCCTTAAATATCGATCAGAAACTTTAATTTTGTTATTTCTTTTACACAACCAAAAAAGAAGATGAATAATTTGGGTGATGAATTGAATCTCGACTGTCCAAACTAAAACTACTACATGTATACCAATAACAATATCTAAACCACTTTATCATTGTATAATGAATCTCAAACAGTTGTTAAATATGTTGCCTAAAGTCTTCTCTTTTTCATATTTTTCTGTAGATGTCTTCAGCATGCACCATGTTTTAGTTTTTATTAGATAATCTCACAGATCTTGGTGTATTTTTTATTCGATAATCTCACAGATCTTGGTGTATTTTTTATTCGAAAATCTCACCGATCTTGGTGTAGTATTTATTCGATGCTCTCACAGATCTTGGTGTATTTTTATTTGATAATCTCACAGATCTTGGTGTAGTATTTTTTCGATGCTCTCACAGATCTTGGTGTATTTTTATTCGATAATCTCACGGATCTTTGTAGACTGGTTAGAGTGTTCGCACTGTATCATAAGGTCTGTCATTGAGTCAACTGGCGTGATTTTGATTCCCCAGTTGTATGTGACAAGGAGTAGGGTCGCCTGTCCATCCTCGTGGGTTTTCTCCCGGTCCTCCGGTTTCCTTCCACTGCTAAATACATCTACCCGCAAATGAATTATTGAAATAAAATTGAACCATATGTTAGTCCTGAAATGACCTAGTTTGTGTCGAGTGGACGTTAATCCCCATTTCTCTCTCTCTCTCTCTACATGCAAGATTTTCTGTGAGTTATTCTATTATTATTGGTTGACGAAACTTCAATATAAAACTATAATCTATCAGCATTACTCCTCATACCATTTCTTATTCGTGATCATCGCATACAGTATATTCATTTAAGTACATCACATAGTTAAAAAAAAAAGTTTATTCATTTGGGTACATCGCATAGCTAAAAGAGTTTATTCATTTGGAGATCTTGTATAGCTAAAACAGTATATTCATTTGGGGATCTTGCATAGTTAAATCAGTATATTCATTTGGGTACATCGCATAGCTTAAAGAGTTTATTCATTTGGGTACATCGCATAGCTTAAAGATTTTATTCATTTGGGTACATCGTATAGTTAAAACAGTTTATTCATTTGGGTGAATCGCATAGCTAAAACAGTATATTTTGTTGTATTCTAGGTAATCATATGTTTGTAGTAATTGTAGGTTATTTGTTGTTAAAAATAAAAACATGGATAAAACTATAAGAAGGGTTTAGACCAACACTGGTATTAAACCCAGGGTCTCCAGGCCAGTGAGCTAGCATCTCACCAGCTGAGCCACCATCTTACCAGCTGAGCCACCATCAGGATCGGAGACGGTCTAGCACAAATGACGTTATATATGGATTGCTGGTTAGGGTTAGGTCTAGGGTTAGCGCTAGCCCTGTTTACATCTCGAGACCTTGACGAAATCTGCAGTCCTAACCCTTACCCACACTCGACACATGACGTCATATGTGCCAGACCGTCTCCGATCCTGATGGTGGCTCAGCTGGTAAGATGGTGGCTCAGCTGGTAAGATGCTAGCTCACTGGCCTGGAGACCCTGGGTTTAAAAAAAACCTGTACTAAAAAACAGGACATTTATACTTACACAGGTCACAATTACTGAAGAGGTTATGACCAGGATTATCCAGTCATATTAAAACAATTACTGAAGAGGTTATGACCAGGATTATCCAGTCATATTAAAACAATTGCAGTAATTCTCAATCTGATTACAACACAGATCCTATTTCATTCCGTTTTTTATAGTTCAAAATTCTGTTTTACTTGTCTTTACTACACTAGGATCTGGAAGAGTTGTTATATAACCTGTGTTCTGGTTGATGTGAGGGATTAGCCAATGAAACCATCTATTACGGCGAGTTCTTGGCGTGTGGTGCATGGAACTGTGACAATAATGCTGAATTGGGCCAACAGCCGCTCATATGACCCCTGACGCAAACCTTCCAATACAACCAGTCAGATCTTCGTGTAGTAGAGACCATCGAAAGTACAAAAAAAAACGAAATATAGATCAGTATTTTAATCGGATTGAGTAAATGTAGTCCTTCGAACTGTGACCTAGTTAATACTTACTATCATTGAAACATCAATTGCTTGGTCAAAACGTCGCTTAGTATTAAACTCAGTAATTGTGTATCCATAAAATTATACCTTGTGTCATTGAAACAATTTAACATTAAGACTTATTGGCTCAGTCATATATTTAACATCATTTAATCACTTTGTTGACACATTATTTAAGACTATCAATTATTAGACTATCTGTTTAGTTGACACATTATTTAAGACTTTCAATTATTAGACTATCTGTTAAATTGACACATTATTTAAGACTATCAATTATTAGACTATCTGTTAAGTTTGAGTATAGGTAGGCTATTTATTATATGTTATTTGTCATTATAATGTGGTCAGATTTGTTGGTTTTGTCAAATTAATTTCATGTATCTAGAGGTTGTAATAAAGAGGAAAATTATTCGGTTTTTTGTTTCTATGGTTATATGTTTTGTTGCCTGGCAACCTATGGGATTTAAGGGTTACAAATTGTGAATTTCGTATTCTACTACAGATTTATTGTTCTTGAGCCCATTCTGAACATCTGAGACACGCTACCTGCGGAGTAGTATCTCAGACACAGTCAACAGCCATGATATCCATATCATGTGATCTACACATCACAGGTCATGACATTGACGTCAATGGGTCATGAGGTCAACAACACGTTATATTGGAAACAATAGGTTTATCTTCAGCATTGTGTCCTTAGCACCCATAAAGACTATATCATTCGTACAGTCCCAACATGTTCTTTCTTCTTCCAATTATTTTTCACAAAAATAACATCTACAACTCATAGAATTGACGTTGTCTTCAATGACAGCGTCTTCAATGACAGCGTCTGCGAATTGTTATTCATAGAGGGCACTATTTTGTGCTTCGGTCTATTTCAGATATACATAATCATTTCTGTTAATGTTTTTAGCGTTGGGATTGACTAATAGTTAATTTATTTCAGTTCTAAAACAAATATTTTAAACTTTAACGCAAATTTAGAAAATAGCCAAATTCTGGCTGGGATTACTGAGCAAAATGGCCATTCACTGTATACGTGCGAAAAAAAAGCTAGCCACCAATTAATTTTCGTACGTTAGTTACGTACGTCTTGAGCCATGTATATTCTTTTGTCATCTGAAGCTGGGGGGATTTTGTGAGTCAGGTGCAGGCTCACTAACCAGACAGTCTGAGGTTCGATTCGGTGTTTGATCCCTGCATTGGCCGAGAAAGTTCATCCAGGCCCCAAGTTCACAAAGCATTCTCAGACTTAAGTTGAGAATTTACTCAAAATTGTTCTCCTTATTTTAACTAAAATAATATAGACCTTTATGAAACTATTGTTGTTTTAAAGTATCAAATACATCAATAAGCAACTATGTGCAAAGTTTCGTGTTTCTGGATCAAAGATATTTTTCATAATTAGTGATTGAAAGTTGAGTAAATTCTCAACTTAAGTCTGAGAATGCATGGTTCCCCCTTGTCAGTGATGCAGGACGGAGGGCCTGACAAGGACAGCTGTCTAGTCCTTCGATTGAGACGAAAAACCGAGGTCCCATGTATACATTAGAATGCATTTAAAAGATCCCTTGGCAGTTGGAATTCGATATAAGAGTAGGCGATAGTTCCACTGCCCGGGCAAAATTTCCCTCATAGCACACTGTATGGCGTATGCCCGTCTTCATTAGCCCAGCATAGGAGCAGAACAGTAGGACGTTAAACCCCATCTCATTTCATTTCGATTCGGCGTGGTGGTTTCCCCCTTGTTAAAGGGTGCAGACAGAATTTGAAATAAGAGTTGGCCATGCCATAGCCCCACTGTACAGATATAATTATTCCTCATAGCACAACATATGACATATACCTGTCTTCACAGTTTCCCAGCAGCTGCAGATGAGTAGGACGTTAAACTCCATTTCATTTCACTTCATTTTTGTCATAGATCAAACTTTAGTTGCATAGTTGGGGAACCTGTGGTGTGGGCTGTCAAACTATTTGTTTTGAAAGGAAATGAAGTGAAATGGGGTTTAAATCCCTACAGTTTTGCACCAATGGTTCGCATTGGACCTTGATTTTTCATACAGATACCTTTTCCCTTGCCAGGGCCTCATTCCTTCAACACAGGGATTAAAAAGCAAAGCTAAACAATACCAATAATAATAAGAATTTCTCAGCCAACACCAGGATTGAAACCGTGACGTCTTGATTAGGGAGCTACCCCCTTACTTACTGAGCACTTTGTTCTAATTGAAATTAGCGTAGGCCTACAGATGGCTTTGTCAGGTTGTAGCATATCTGGCGGGTGGATGATGTTACCATCAGATCATAGATAGCATTGTTTAGGGTTACTTGGTCATTACAGAATCAACTCTAAACATGTCGTCGTTAGGTAGACGAAGTGACGTATCGTCAAATAAAGTCGTATGAAGATATCGTCACTTCGTCTGCACACCGACGATGTGTCTAATTGACATACACTTTCCACTTAAACCACTCCCATCTACCAAAGTATAATTAATGGATCTGACTCATCATATGTTCATCATGATCATTAGATGGCCATGTCAATACACCCTGCAACTTCTATACCGCAACCATGGCAAATACACCCCATTAGGCAAAGCGGCGTGAAGCCCACAAGGGACATAACTCAACTAATCTTTTCTAAGGGGAGATAACTCTGCCCCTAGATCCCCCCCCCCCCCCGCCCAGGGTCGCCTCTATACTACTGAGATGGATTCCAAGTACTAAGGGCGCTATTGCACTTTCGTACCTCTACCAGTTCCCGTGGTCGTAGGAACTTGAAATTTTCAGAGGATGTTCAGGGGGACTAGCAATGACCACACACCAAATTTCAGCCGAATTGATCAATAACTTTTTATTTTACCGACCTTTTAATTTCTAACGAGAGAGAGCTTCATCCGTTTGACGCCATTTGCTTTGTTTACTATTTAGACTCGAATAACAAGACACTAAGACGGAAACAGACACACTGCACTAGCTGCCTAACACTGCAGTTCATAAAAATTAATATAATTTTCGTATACTTTAATTTTTGCGCGAAGCCACCATTTTCTATAAAATACTATTTGGTGTTGATCAGTGGATTGGCCTTTAGGTGTGAATATTGCCGTGACCTTGATTTTGACCTTGAGTCCAAACTTCCCATCCATATCGGGGCCTTTGCGTTTAAGCTTGCCGTGGCCTTATTTCTTTCTGTATTGTATAAGTTAATGTTCGAGGTGAAAGCAGAGACGACGTCCTTCAGAAAAGATAATTGGGTCAAAGTCGTAGGTCAAGGTCACCTTACAGAAAACTAAACTCAAACTTTTCAAAGTCGTTTTAGGGACATTTGACCTTGACTTACGACCTTGACCCCGTAACCATTTTTGAAGGCTATCACCTTGGCTTGAATCATGGACGTTTACCTTGGTCCTGTCGCACACTGCTCGGTCAGAAAAAGGTCAAACGCAGAGGGGCCCGTGTCCGAAAGGAAGTCAATGGGCGTGGTCAATGTGAACGGTCGTGGTGACCTCCACTAGTCACCTGTAACCATCCGTGACCTTGACTTCGACCTTGAGTCCAAACTTCCCATCTATCTCGGGCCCTTTTCGTTTATGCTTACCGTGGCCTTATTTCTAACTGTATTATCAAAGTTAATGTTCGAGGTGAAAGCAGAGACGACGTCCCCCAGAAAAGATAATTGGGTCAAAGTCGTAGGTCAAGGTCATGTTACAGAAAATTAAACTCAAACTTTTCAAAGTCAGTTTTGGGACATTTGACCTTGACTTACGACCTTGACCCCGTAACCATTTTCGAAGGCTATCACCTTGCCTTGAACCATCGACGTTTACTTTGTTCCTGTCGCACACTGTTCGGTCAGAAAAGGGTCAAACGCAAAGGGCCCGTGTCCGAAAGGAAGTCAATGGGCGTGGTCAATGTGAAAGGTCGTGGTGACCTCCACTAGTCACCTGTAACCATCCGTGACCTTGACTTCGACCTTGAGTCCAAACTTCCCATCTATCTCGGGCCCTTTTCGTTTATGCTTGCCGTGACCTTATTTCTAACTGTATTATCAAAGTTAATGTTCGAGGTTAAAGCAGAGACGACGTCCCCCAGAAAAGATAATTGGGTCAAAGTCGTAGGTCAAGGTCATCTTACAGAAAACTAAACTCAAACTTTTCAAAGTCAGTTTTGGGACATTTGACCTTGACTTACGACCTTGACCCCGTAACCATTTTCGAAGGCTATCACATTGGCTTGAAACATGAACGTTTAACTTGGTCCTGTCGCACACTGCTCGGTCAGAAAACGGTCAAACGCAGAGGGTCCGTGTCCGAAAGGAAGTCAATGGGCGTGGTCAATGTGAAAGGTCGTGGTGACCTCCACTAGTCACCGTTAACCATCCGTAACCATGACTCTGACCTTGAGTCCAAACGTCCCATCCATATCGGGGCCTTTGCGTTTATGCTTGCCGTGGCCTTATTTCTAACTGTATTATCAAAGTTAATGTTTGAGGTTAAAGCAGAGACGACGTCCTCCAGAAAAGATAATTGGGTCAAAGTCGTAGGTCAAGGTCATCTTACAGAAAACTAAACTCAAACTTTTCAAAGTCAGTTTTGGGACATTTGACCTTGACTTACGACCTTGACCCCGTAACCATTTTCGAAGGCTATCAACTTGGCTTGAACCATCGACGTTTACTTTGGTCCTGTCGCACACTGTTCGGTCAGAAAAGGGTCAAACGCAAAGGGCCCGTGTCCGAAAGGAAGTCAATGGGCGTGGTCAATGTGAAAGGTCGTGGTGACCTCCATTAGTCACCGTTAACCATCCGTGACCTTGATTTTGACCTTGAGTCCAAACTTCCCATCCATCTCGGGCCCTTTGCGTTTATGCTTGCCGTGACCTTATTTCTTACTGTATTATCAAAATTAATGTTCGAGGTGAAAGCAGAGACGACGTCCTTCAGAAAATATAATTGGGTCAAAGTCGTAGGTCAAGGTCATGTTACAGAAAAATAAACTCAAACTTTTCAAAGTCATTTTTGGGACATTTGACCTTGACTTACGACCTTGACCCCCTAACTATTTTAAACAGCCATCATCTGGGCTTCAGCCATCGACGTTTACCTTGGTCCTGTCGCACACTGCTCGGTCAGAAAACGATCAAACGAAGAGGGTCTGTGTTCGAAAGGAAGTCAATAGGCGCGGTCAATGTAATTGATTCATCTGACCTCATGATACGATTGTGGTGAACCAATCTGACCGAACAGTGTGCGACAGGATCAAAGTAAACGTCGATGGTTCAAGCCAAGTTGATAGCCTTCGAAAATGGTTACGGGGTCAAGGTCGTAAGTCAAGGTCAAATGTCCCAAAACTGACTTTGAAAAGTTTGAGTTTAGTTTTCTGTAAGATGACCTTGACCTACGACTTTGACCCAATTATCTTTTCTGGAGGACGTCGTCTCTGCTTTAACCTCGAACATTAACTTTGATAATACAGTTAGAAATAAGGCCACGGCAAGCATAAACGCAAAGGCCCCGATATGGGTGGGAAGTTTGGCCTCAAGGTCAAAATCAAGGTCACGGCAATATTTACACCTAACGGCCAATCCACTGATCAACACCAAATAGTATTTTATTGAAAATGGTGGCTTCGCGCAAAAATTAAAGTATACGAAAATTATATTAATTTTTATGAACTGCAGTGTTAGGCAGCTGGTGCAGTGTGTCGGTTTCCGTCTAAGTGTCTTGTTATTCGAGTCGGTTTCCGTCTTAGTGTCTTGTTATTCGAGTCTAAATAGTAAACAAAGCAAATGGCGTCAAACGGATGAAGCTCTCTCTCGTTAGAAATTAAAAGGTCGGTAAAATAAAAAGTTATTGATCAATTCGGCTGAAATTTGGTGTGTGGTCATTGCTAGTCCCCCTGAACATCCTCTGAAAATTTCAAGTTCCTACGACCACGGGAACTGGTAGAGGTACGAAAGTGCAATAGCGCCGTACTAAGTAGGCCTAGTGAATGAATAAAAAAGATCAATTATATAAAGAATCAAAAGGACCCGGTAGCCTAATTTTTAGCATCTTCATACAGCTTTTAAAATGAGGGTTTATATGCCATAAGATAACATACGCCTGTTGATTTAATGACTAGGAAATTTATTTGGTACCCTTACCTAATTTCTAAATTATACGGACGATCGAATCTTCTAATGGCGAAGTGCAGTAAATGTGGTATAAGGGAGACAACTACATTTAAACTTTGAAAATGTCATTGGTTCCAAAGTTCGATTTTGTCAACAACTTTTCGTATCACGTGATACATAAATGGAGAAAATGGCGTTTTAGTTTTTGTAGATATTTTCCTGTCAAGAAACTTTAAGTTTTTGTTATTTGAATAATACTTGATATACTGTACATTATAGTCATATACAACGCACGTAAGGAGGCCTAATTTTAAATGAAGAAAAAAAAGAGTGTGTTTATTTTCATTGCCATTGGAAGGAAGCAGGTATGCACGTCAAGAGACAGTCCTGGACGAAAACGTGATGTTACTTGAACGTGTCAGGGCGGTCCATGGCCAGAAAAAAGATTCAACAGGCAGACAAGTGGGTGCAGCTTTTATAAGAACAAATATTTGAGGCTGTGGACCGAGATAAGAGATGGTGGCCTACTGTCTGAGTCTTGGTAAATTTTAAACGGATTTCTTCGATTATGAACAAACTACTTAACTTTGGTTATTATAAACTTACCTGTGTGTTTGTAATGAACTCCCGTTCGATAAAATCCATTGCACAATTAATTATCACAACGATGAAAACAAGTTCTCTCTTGAAAAATTGAAATATCACAAACTTTTCCCAGAGAAAAATACCAATATGGAAGATGGTTACGTCACTCTGCGGAAGATATCATTTCGTATTAGGGGTGACAGCATAGGAAATTCAAGTACAATTACGACAAGAATCCATGACCACTCGGACCAAAGACCACTCGGTTCAAGACCAGTCGGACCAACTGATAGACCACTCAGCCCAAACAAATAGACTACTCGGACCATACAAAAAGACCATTCGGACCCAACAGAAAGACGACTCGGACCAATAATAAAGTGTTGTTTTAATAAATTGATAATTGCGTTTGTTTTAATATGATTACTCGAACCAATAATAAAGTGTTATTTTAATAAATTGATAATTGTGTTTATTTTAATATGACTACTCGAAACAATAATAAAGTGTTATTTGAATAAATTTCTAATTGTGTGTGTTTTAATATGACTACTCGAACTAATAATAACGTGTTGTTTGAATAAATTGATAATTGTATTCCAAATCGCAAAATATCGAGAACCACACTTGTAGTCACGTTTAAAAAGGGGCATATAAACGTCCGGTCTTCGTATTATTATGTGCTGTTTATATTAACGCATCAAGGGCGGATAACTTGAAAACGTGTCTCCCCCCCCCCCCCCCCCTATATAGTAACCCAGGGGTTAGTGGGGTAGAACGGAATGAAACCACTGGGGATACCGCGAATGTGGAAAAAGTAAAATTAGGCTATCAGACAAGAACAGTATACCCGTATATGTAGAAACTGTCAAAAGTCTGGACATACTGAGTCTCATTGCAAGAGTAAATAAGAAAAATTAGATTGATATTTTTTTTGCCACCATTATTAATTAATTTTAAAACTAATCGTTGATTTATTTTCCGTACACAAAATTGAACTAAACAACTCTAAATATAAGAATTCCGTATAAGAATTATTTGCTTCTTTGTATTGTGATATAATAATAAATAAATAGCATATTGTCTAGCCTTATAATATAATTTAATTGGTCCGACTGGTCTTGTTTTGGTCCGACTGGTCTTAGTCCAAGTAGTCTTTGGTCCGAGTGGTCTGGATACCTACGACAATTGGCATTGAGTTTGAGCGTTCGCACACATAACTACCCGCATTCCTGTATTTAGTAACCGTCTTTTACATTCTAGTAAAATCTCTGCAAATTTTATAGCTTTACTTTTTGAAATATTTTGTTCTAATTATTTGATTAGCGACTCGGATGGGATTATTTACTTTTGAACACGCATGCCGCACAAACACAACTATACATTCGTTTTACGGGCTTTATCACACTTCGGTCAAAACTGTCGAATCGAGAATTAATATTCCGCTTCTTACGGGGTCATACGGGCTTAGTAGCATTATATACCATTATATATGTTACTGAAGCGGTTATTATTCGATCGAAAGAATGCGTATAAAATTAAAAATACACTCAGAGAATTCGGAGGTAAGCTTCATGATCCTTGTTAAATTATTTATAACATAAAGAAGATAGGATATATATAGTTTATACATGACTTTATTTTTACGAGTATCCGTGCAATTGTGAAGAAAATTTGATAGACTGGCGATCAATGGTTTCCATATAAATCTCCTATGTAATTGCCTTCAATTGATATTTTTCGTCGCCCAAACCCATATACGATCAAAATGATCGCGCTGTCAAACTATCTTTCAATGTTAACCAACCCCCGCAACAGGTATATTGGATTCGACCAATACGTCACGAAGACATTGTTGACATCGACTCTGTCGAAATTACAAGTAAATTTTCAAATTTTTCAAGAGAGAACTTGTTCTCATCGTTGTGATAATTAGTTGTGCAATGGATTTTATCAAACGGGAGTTCATTACAAACACACAGGTAAGTTTATAATAACCAAAGTTAAGTAGTTTGTTCATAATCGAAGAAATCCGTTTAAAATTTACGATGGTTCACACAGTAGTACGTTGACCCGGCTACTTTTGACTTCCACACGATTTCACAAGATTTCTACTACTAACCCTAACCCTAGAGTAGCCGCCGGATCAACGTACTGCGCCGAGATGGTCTACAGTAAACTTCACATAAGTCGGATCTAAATTCAATCTTGGCTCAATTAGAAATAAACTGCAAGAGCCGGATAATAACTGATTCAAAGTAGTGTCGATTAACCGGATGCCATATAAATTCTTTAATGTCAATGTCTGTACTGCATTCTGGTTTTTTTTTCTTGTGATTGTTTGTTGATAAGTAAATTATAAAATGAAAACATTTTGAACTATAAAAACGAAACGAAATAGGATCTGTGTTTTAACCAGATTGTAGTTCTTTCTAGCAGGTGCAGATGTGAATCACATCACATAGTATTTCAATAAGCAAATCTGTCCATTGTTTTCTTCAAAACCATGATTGATTATTGTTATATTATTTATTACATCTCCGTCACATCCATCTACAATTAAGCATATATTATAATCCTAGCTGACACAAGTACAAATCATCTCTTTTAAATCAAAGCGTTAAAAGCTGGCATTTCCCGACATTTTAAAACGGAATAGGTTTGAAAAAGGAAATGAAGTGAAATGGGGTTTATTTAACGTCATGATTGGGGCTAAATATGTGCTGTGCGTTTACAACAGCCAAGCCAATCAAGATACGGACATAAAACATTTAAGGGTCGTGTATGAAATGGCACCATGAATGGTCTATTCTTACTCACAATATTTGCAGATAAACGAAAGTTGTGTACCGGTAACTACATTGGGTCGGGTGTGTTTAATTTGTCCTATAAAATAAAAATTAACTTATTTTCAAGATGTTACATGCATTAATAAAGAAAGTAAGTTTGCCAGGTGAAACTAAAGGCATCCAGTCGTAGCTAAAAACAAATACAAGTATATCTCAACGTTTTTAGCTACATTCTCGTAGCTATGAACCACCCTACCCCTGTTATATAAAAGTGTTTGTCAGCCCTAAAATTAACCACAGAAGCAGGTCTAAAATAATTTATCTTATTTAATGATAGAAAAGGCCAGGTAAAATAGGGCCTAGTTTCTATGTCTACCGTCGATTAGCCTTAAAATTAACCATAGAGAAATCGGCTAAATGGAAAATTAGACATTTTGGATTAGTTCTAGACAACATTTTTCTATTTTCGTCTTTTCGATGAAGGGAAAGAGATATGGAAATCTCAAGACAAGATTTGACAAGAGCCTGGTTTCTCACTCTCTCCTGTAGTCAGACGTGGATCTAGGGGGGTCGCACCCGGCGCACGCCCTCCCCTCCCTATTTTTTGCGGTGGCAAACAGTTTTTTACCCCATATATATTCTCGCCCGAAAGGAATTAGCAGTCAGCTTAGGTTGGAAATCATAATTTACTCCGAAACGAGTCGGTTGGTGGTGACTTGGTTGATTTCCCGTCAGTTCACCCACCGAGGGCCGTGCTTCGCGCTCCAAAGTGGGGGCAGCACCCCCCCCCCCTTTCTGAAAATCCTGGATCCGTCCCTGGTAGTGTCCGACAGGCCTAAAATGAACCATATACAAAACAACTATACAAGTCATGTACATGTAGGGAAGGAAACAATTCGACATTTCGGACTAATACTAGACAATTGTTTTTCTATTTTAGATTGATGATGATCATGTAATTACAGACCACAACCGATGGACAGAGAATCTTGTGATGATCGTAAGAAAAGTAAACATGACGTTGTTTCACTCAGTAAATTTACAACCCAGATAACTCAATATGTAGCAAACCTTTTTGATAAAGCTAAATACAGGTAAGAACTATTTGATAAAGCTTAATACAGGTAAGAACTATTTGATAAAGCTTAATGCAGGTAAGGACTATTTGATAAAAAAAAAGGCTAGAATGTGCCATCATGGCATTAAGTTTAAGAAATCAGGCTGAATTGATGCACTCTCCCCGCCCAAAAACAAAACAGCATACATTGTTGTATTTAATATGGTACAATAACTACCCAACAAAAACAGAACAACATAGTTAATCAAAGTAGGTGAAAAATCAAAATAGGAGTAAGCCATGGTACCACTGCCTGGGCAAAATTTCCCTCATGCTCACTTCATGGTGTAAGCTCATCTTCATGGTGTAAGCTCATCTTCATGGTGTAAGCTCATCTTCATTAGCCCGGTTGGTGTAGAAAAGTAGAATGTTACATCTCATTTAACTTCATTCACAGATTATTTTCATCTTGTTAGTTTTGTCAATAGTGCTGGCATGATTATTGAATCGATGTATCGCAATACACTTTCTTGTGATAGCGTATACTATTAAATCGTGATATGCTGAATCAATGATTCACGATTGTTTTTTATGTTTTTTATTTATTGCTTTAGTAAGGTTAAAACCTGTCACTCTTAATTATCCACGTCACATATTATCCATAGGTACACAAACACCTTTAAACAGTTTTATGTTTACGACATCAGCAGTACTAAAAATATCAATTATTGATTTATCGTGTTGTTTTATTGGTAAATATTGACCTAGTTATGTCTTTAGTGTCAAGGTATGTTTTATATATATTTTAGTGATATCCAGATTATTCTAAGAGACGGTCATCAGATAAATGGTCATAAATTAGTTTTATCGGCTCAGGGTGATAATTGGGGTGTGGCTGATCTTCATCTAGTTGATGAGTTAGATTTAACAGGTATTAATTACTGGTAGTGTTATATATTAAATATATAACAGGTATTATTACCACCTGTATAATATAATTGATGAGGTAAATTATTTACCAATAAATAAACCAGAACCATTTTCCTATACCACTGGAAAACCACGCCATAAAATCACAATTAACGTTCTCAAGCCAATACAGGGATGCAACATGGGATCCCCAGGTTAGCGATCAAAGTCTTACTCTAGAATGTCAGACTGTTAATTTCACACAAATTAACTTCTAGTGTTAAAACCTTGTCATTCATTGTTTTATATTCCAGATTTAGAATATGAAGTTGGTTATACGATGATAAAATGGCTTTATACCGATGAAGTTGATAAAAGTTTAAATATTGAAGACCAGGAAAGATTTACCATAGAATTGATGAAACAGGCATCCAGATTTAAACTCCATGATTTATATAAAAGGTAATCAGAATCATATGATTAAAACACAGATCATATTTCATTTCGTTTTTTATAGTTCAAAATTTAGTTTCACTTGTCTTTACTACACTAGAATCTGGAAGAGTTATTATGTAACCCTGTTCTGGATTAGCCTATGAAACGGTCTGTTATGGCGAGTTTTTGGCCTTTTGATGCACGAAATTGTGGGTAAACCACTAGAAACGTCAATGCTGATTGATTAATCAATGTCTGACGTCATAGGGTCAAAAGCCGCTCGTTTGACCCCTGACGTGAACTCCCACTATTACTTGTCAGAACTTCATCATGTAGTGTAGGCCATCAAAAGTATAAAAAACGAAACGAAATATAGATCTGTATTTTAATCAGATTGGTAATCGGGATCATATCAATTTCTCTCAAAAAATGAAATGAAATGAAATGAGATGGGTTTTAACGTCCTACTGTCCTGCTCCTATGCTGGGATAATGAAGACGGGCATACGCAATACAGTGTGCTATGAGGGAAATTTTGCCCGCGCAGCGACACTACGGCCTACTCTTATATCGAATTCCAACTGCCAAGGGATCTTTTACGTGCATTCCAATATATACACGGGACCTCGGTTTTTCGTATCATCCGAAGGACTAGATAGCTGTCCTTGTCAGACCCTCCGTCCTGCACAATTTCTCTCAAATTTTGCAAGTAACAACATCGAAATTTTACTTTAGTGAAAATAGACTCTGTTTCCCAGAATGATGTGTTATGATGTGTTTCCAGCGTGGTTTCCCCTTGTCAGTAGTGCAGGACATAGGGCCTGACAAGGACAGCTGTCTAGTCATTTGAATGGGACGGAAAACTGAGGTCCCGTCTACACATTAGAGTGCACTTAAAAGATCCCGATATAAGAGTGGTAATTTGCATATTTGTGTAAAAAATATGTATTTTTGATCAAAGTTTGAACATGAACGAGTTATTTTTAGCTATTTTAGACACCAGGGTTAAGTCTGACCTTAAGCCCTGAAAAAATTAAGGTTTGATTCTTGACAGGTCTAGAAGCAGAGTTCACACCTACCAAGGTAACACATGTAGGGCTGATAAGGAAAGTTTGTGTAGTCATTCAGAAGAGACACAATTTCAAGGTCCCTTTCGTTTCAATTCTGTTCTATTCCCCAGTTGGTAAAAATCAATACCCAGTAGTTGGCTTGTGGCTACGATGAAAAGGTTCAGTAACAGTATGTCAACAGAAAAATATTGATTCTGCCTTCAATTACATATTTAATCTCGAACAAGAAGATTAAACAATTTAAATTTTAGGAAGAAAGGCCCTAATACCACTTTTCGTTTATTTCGGAAGGTTCGCTCAGCTAATGTTTGTCTTGCTATTTTATTTATAGATGTGAAGAAGATTTAATTAGTTGTTTAACCAGTGAAAACAGTCAGACATTTTATCAGCTGGCAGCAGAATTATCAGCTCAAAAATTAAAATATTCGTGTTTACAGATTTTGTCTTCTACGAAGGTGAGTTCGTTAAGAATTTTTGCTGTGGTGGATTAGTGAGTAAGATGTTGGCTCGTTGACCTGGAGCTCCCTTGTTTGATCCCGGTGTTGACCGAGAACATTCATCAGGATTTTTTTGGCATGGTTCCCCCTTGTCAGTGGTGCAGGACAGAGGGCCTGCCAAGGGATAATGCATAGTCGTTCGGATGGGATGAAAAACAGGTCCTGTGCACACATTGATGTGCACATAAAAGAACCCTTGGCAGTTGGAATATAAATATAAAAATAGGTCATAGCGCTGCTGTCTGGGTAAAATTTCCCTCATAGCAGACTGTGTGACGAAAAGTACCAAAATAACCCGATGAAAGGGTTGAATTGGAGAGTGGGCAATTGATTTCATCAAATTGTTGTAGAAAATATTAAAAACGTGTTAGTGAAATATTAAACCTAGTTTTCATCCCTATATTCAGTTTCGAGATATTTTTCATTTGAATATTTTTTCAGGAAGATGAGAATGAAAGGGAAGAAATTACTCCAGTCAAGATGGTGGCCACACAGTTGGACGATTCACCTGAAACCGGAACGTATACTGAGAAGCAGAAACACTTTTCTTGTAATATTTGCCTTAAATCATTTGGATATCAGCGACTCCTTAAATTACACGTCAAGAGACATTCTGCAGTGAAACCATTCCGATGTGAATTATGCCCTGAAACGTTTCTGTTCTCCAGTCATTTAACGGAACATGTGTTAATGCATAAAGGAGAAGCGTCATGCGAATGTTCAATATGTAAACGGATATTTTACTGTAAGGAGAGGCTCCGTTCTCATTTCCGGATGCACCGACAGTGTAAAAAATGTCTTCAAACATTCACAACAGAGACTAAACTCAGAGAACATCGAGAAAATTGTGTCGTCGAAACCAAGGAGCAATCGTTGTTCGAATGTTTCATTTGTAACAAAAGTTTTGAAAGCAAAGTTCGATTAAGTTCACATTCACGCTCACACAAACCCAGAACCATTCCGTGTGACGTATGTCCCAAATCATTCTCATCTAAGCGGAATCTGAAGATGCATCGTATGAGACACTCGGCCAGTGCGTTAACAAAAGTGAAATGCGACATTTGTGGGTTACTAGTGCGCCCGTTAAAAATGAAACGACATTTAGAAGCTCACGATCGTGGCGAGGCTTTGACCTGTTTATACTGTAAAAAATGTTTTGTTGATGGTAAAACACGCGAGAAACATGAAATGACTCACATTAATTCACAAATAGAGGAAAAACGCTACAAGTGCGAGTTATGTAACCGAATGTTCGCTACAATCAGCAATGTCACGAGGCATAAAAAAATCCACACAGGTGAAAAGTCGTTTCTGTGTAACATTTGTGGAGAGGGATTCGGTCAGTACAGTCAACTCCAGGTCCACAACAGAATTCATACGGGGGAACGACCCTTCGCGTGTAAGATTTGTTATAAAACTTTCACCTCGAACTACGTTCTACAGAATCATTATCGCATCCATTCCAATGACCGTCCTCACACCTGTGATGTGTGCGGATTATCTTTTAAATCTCCGTTTAATTTTAAACGGCATTCGCAGAAACACACAAATCCTCGACCCTATAAATGTTCTGTTTGTGGTAAAGATTATACTAAAAAATATATTCTGAAAAATCATAGTTGTCGACCTAAACATTGATTGATCGATCGACTGATTGATTGATGTCCAAAAAGTCATCTCAGTAAGATCAGTCCAGGATTGACCATTAAGTAGAATAAGAACATGTTAAGGGTCCCTACAGAGTTTTTTCCAGTGCCAGATTTAACATGGATTATAGTTCAAATGTTGTATTTGAACAAGGGTTCACAATAAATGAAAAAAAATTACTTATATATATATATATGGAAGGTACCATAAGTTTTTTAGTGCTCAGGGTCGCTAATGGTCTCAATCCAGCCCTAAGCAGGATGTGTTAAACCCTATATTGTAGCATTTTACAAAAACATTCACAGAGCTGTGGACTAGATATTTGGTAAAATGATGAGTTGACAGTGATATCTTAAAACCAGTAAATTTTAGATTTTCCATGATGTGACTTGAGAGTCACACTGGCTCGCTAGCCCAGAGGTCGTGTGAGCACTCGCGGTGTTTGCCGAGAAAGTTGATCAGGATTTGTCGTCGTTTCCCTTTTTCAGTGGTGGTGCAGGACGGAGGACTTAATATTGGTTGAAACTATCAAATAAAAAAAGAACGGTTGATAAATATTATGACAAGATATTCTGTCAGTCCTAACACCACACTCTCTATTTAAAAGATTAATCATCTTCTTTATCACTGGATCCGAATAACAAAATCTAATCACACACAGGTCTTGAATATGTTTTTCACTCTCCTTCCAACGCTGGAGCACTTGGGTACTTACCTACATATACATCGATTTCAACTCCCAAACGATTCCATCTTCACTTGTTTAATTCTACTGACATGTCCTTTGGTCCATATTCTGATTGCTGTGAAGTGTATTTGTAGCCTATACTTCTTAGATTTTGATGTCTTTCGTGCAAGTATCATAACATAGGATTATGTTGCTGTCACAATCTGTATAGAAATCAGATTTCGAACTTTGAAGTCTGCCAATATTTCACCCCTTCCCCGTGCCTAAAAAATATATATGAAAATATTTAGCACTCAATTAAACATTTTGGGTTTTAATTTGCTGTTTAATACACGTTGACTTTCCTCTGTTAAAAAAATACCCCGTCGGGATCTGAAACCCTCCATTGGGAGTGTAGCTTTAGATTCCTGTACATTTCTTGATTCTTTTACCATGTCTCCTGATTTCTATAACCTGTGTCTTGAATTCTATATATCCTGTGTCCTTTATTCTATATACTCTAGGATCTGTGTCCTGAATTCTATAAACCCTGTGTCCTGAATTCTATAAACCATGTATGTATCTTTTCCACATCAAAAAAATATATATTAGCCAATACGTACGACTCAACCAAATTGTAATTGATCTATATTTGGTTCAGGTGGTATTAAAGAAATAGTATTTTGTGTTATTGGTTGAAATCTTTCATTTGTTGATCTATTAGTTTTCCTTTCTGATGAATGTAGATGCGTCTTCTCTGTTACAAATATTATGATATATCAAACTCGTCATATATTCATGGTGTTTGCAACAGTATCTACAATATCTCTTATTGTCTATATTCAATGAATTTGAAAAAATGTTTTCAGGCATACATCGATTCTTCCTGTGTTTGTGTGACGACATTCCCTTTAAGTGTTTCTATGTAAGATCAGAACTCCTATAAATTGGCATAAAATTAAAATTGTTTAATGTTAGTTCATGTTCAGCTAAGTCAAGTAGTCTCATTTTAACATGAGTATCACTTTTCCCCTGCACTATTCTGTCACATAATAAAGAGGTTTCCAAATCCTCTCTGCTTCCCACTAGCTGTCCTTCAATCACAGGTCTGTCTCCATCTCTAGGTCTTGCTCTCGCAGCAGACTTAAACTCAGAAGGGTTGTAGAGTTTAATGCCACCTGATCCTTATAATAAAAGATTTACCTTCCACTTACAGTTAACCAAACTGTTTTCTAAATCTTTTGCGATTATGTTTACTTCAAAAGTTTGTTTCCATGCCTTCCAGGGTTATCTGTTTCTATTGGTTTAAACCGAGGAAGAACTTCCATTTTGATGGAGCAAGAAAACTAAATGCTCTTGCCCCCCCCGCAAATGTTGTGATACTCCACATCTTTGTTTCAAAAATGTCCCTCTAATTTGCTTGGAAAATGCAATTTGAGGGTCATTTTGACACAATTTGGCATAAAGAACAGTATATTATCAAATACAGATATAAATTATAAGTTAAAATAATGGTAGATTTGGGTGAATCGTGTTAGCCCGGCTGTTGTGCAGCAATTCTATTGGTTAACATTTGATTCAGTGGGGTAGTGTGTCTATGTGTGTCTATTGTAGGTGGGTACTTTAAAGTTGGGTCTAAATCCACCAAGTAAATCAATGCAGATGTGTCCAGTCCATCATGGTCTGTAGTTTCCACTCTCTGTTTAATTCTAGCTGAAGCGAGCTCGGTTTGTAGGTCAACATTCCTGGCCTTTAGCTTTGTCATGTCTTTATCTTGCTCGAGTTGTTCGGTTTTCAACTTCATCTCAGCTGATTGATGTATCCTCTGTTTTAACTAGCTGTACACTGCCATTCTTACCTCATGTATCTTATCTCGTCGATCGTTTGGTAGGGTTGGAGAAAGTTCATAGGGATTTCCCGACATGGTTTCCCCTTGTCAGTGGTGCAGGATGGAGGGCCTGACAAGGACAGCTGTTTTAATTACAAGCTGGGATCTATGGTTGCTCAGTGACTAGAGAGAGAGAGAGAGATGGGGTTTAATGTCCACTCGACATACACTAGGTCATTTCGGGACTAACACATGGTTCAATTTTATTTCAATAATTTGCTTGCGCGTAGGGGTCTTTAGCAGTGGGAGGAAACCGGGGGACCCAGAGAAAACCCACGCAGTTGGACAGGCAACCCTACTCCTTGTCACGTACAAGCAGGGAATCAAAACCCCGCCAGTTGACTCAATGACAGACCGTATCATACAGCGCACGCGTGCTAACCATTCAGCCATCCACACACACACACACACACCCCCCCCCCCCCCCGCTCAGTGACTAAGGCGCTGGCTCGCTAGCCTGGAGGTCGCTGGTTCGCTCCTGGTGTTGGCCGAGAAAGTTCATCCCGATTTTCTGACATGGATCCCCCTTGTCCGTGGTTCAGGACGGAGGGCCTGACAAGGACAGCTGTCTAGTCACTCAGATGCGATGAAAAACCAAGGTTCCGTGTAGACAATGGCATGCACGTAATAAAAGATCCCTTAGCAGTAGGCCACAGTGCCGCTGCCTGGGCAAAATTTCTCTCATAGCACACTGTATGGTCTATGCTGGTCTTCATTAGCCTAGTATAGGAGCGGAACAGTGGGACGTTTAACCCCATTTCATTTCATTCTGGTAGTGTTGGAAATTCTGATTGTTCTGTTTTTGATTTCTCCTTTCTCTAAAGGGACAGCATCTGTTGTACTGTTTGGTCAGTTTCTGGTAAGTTTCTGGTACTATTTCATCACCACCAAGGATTAATGATTCAATCCTTAGAAAGTATCGGAAACTTCTGTTGTGGATGTATTTATCTCAACTGCAGTCTTAGCCAGATCGTTGGAAAAAAAGAGTTCTCCATATTTTCTTGTCTGTCTCTCATGAATTGGGATTTACTTTAGATGGATGAACTAAACGCAACTCTGAGACCTCCTACCTCTCCTTGTCATTTTGTGGGTCTATTCTTTTCAATGATAATATTCTATAATATCTGCCTGAGTCTGTCTGTTTCTGTAGTTGTCAGTCCTTGTACATGTATTTGAACAGGCATCAACTTCTGTCATAGTCACAATTTCAGAGTGTAAATCTGTTCTGTTCTTGTCCGTAAATCTAGAACCATTCATCTTATTTTGGTCTTGCCAGTTTCAGTAACTGACCCTTTTGAATTTAATCCAAAGTCATTTCTTCACTAAAAAAAAAAATGTATCCTTACACTGAAAAAAAAAACTTGTGTTTAAACAACACAAACTTGTGTTATTTTCAACACAAGTTAGGTGTCTCTATTTAACAACACAAACTGTCAGTGGTGTAGTCGCACAGTTGGGAGGACAAACCAAGGTCTCATATACACTTTAAAGAACCCTTGACATGTTTAATAAAAGAGTAAGTTGTAGCAAGGCTGCCAGGTCACAATTATCTTAATAACATAAAAAAGTAGGATGTTAAACCCTATTTCATTTTATAAGCAAGGAAAAGTCACTTTAATGTACCTCAGGTTTTTTTTTTGTAATTCTGTGTATCTACCTACATTTGGTTTCTAGATATTGCCTATTTAATACTTTATGATTTACGACCAAATTCTAAGTGATTTATAGGTCACTTTACAATCTATATTTTACACAAATTTCTGGAGAGAATTAAAATATAGTTGTGTTTAGGAAGGATATTTAACATTAAAAACAAAAAAAATATTTAAATAACCCGTCAAATGCAACAGATAACTTATTAGCTTTTACAGTCACTGCATTCTTTTTTAGAATTATAAAGTAATTTGATGTCTTTATGTTCAAAAGGTATATGGTTGGCACTCTCGAACTTAATCCAAAATGATTTCTTCAATAAAAAAAAATGTTAAATACAAGATAGTGTTTTTTTTAAGAACATTTCATTCTCAAAGACACCATAGCCTGTATTTCTCACAGACACCATAGCCTGTATTCTTCACAGACACCATTGCCTGTATTTCTCACAGACACTGTAGTCTACCAATATCCCCCCGTCCCTTCTCCCGTGCCTAAAAAATATATAAGCCAATATTTAGCACTCAATTAAATGTTTTGGGTCTTACCGTGTTATACAGGTTAATCTTCCTCTGTTAAAAATATCCCGTCAGGATCTGAATCTCTCTATAGGGAGCGTAGCTTTAGACTCGGTTAAAAATATCCCGTCAGGATCTGAATCTCTCTATAGGGAGCGTAGCTTTAGACTCGGTTAAAAATATCCCGTCAGGATCTGAATCTCTCTATAGGGAGCGTAGCTTTAGACTCGGTTAAAAATATCCCGTCAGGATCTGAATCTCTCTATAGGGAGCGTAGCTTTAGACTCCTGTACATCTCTTGATTCTTTTACCATGTCTCCTGATTTCTATAACCTGTGTCCTGATTTCTGTAATCTGTCTCCTGAATTCTATATACCCTGTGTCTTGATTTCTAAACCCTGTGTCCCAAATTCTATACCCTGTGTCCTGAATTCTGAACCCTGTGTCCCAAATTCTATACCCTGTGTCCTAAATTCAATACCCTGTGTCCTGAATTCTATATACCCTGTGTCCTGAATTCTGTATACCCTGTGTCCTGATTTCTAAACCCTGTGTCCTGAATTCTATATACCCTGTGTCCTGAATTCTATATACCCTGTGTCCTGATTTCTTCTCCCTAATTATGTGTTGATAAAAGAACATCAATAGTATGACTGTCTTAAGGAGACTTTAAAACCCATTCCATTGAAATGGGCGTTAAATCTCGTTTCTCGTTCATTCTATTGTAAGAATATACATGTGTACCGTAACTGTATTATAAAATAAACAATATATCTGAATTGTGTGTTGTTGTTTTTTTAAGATTAACTCCTTAATGTGATAAAATAAAAAATAAAAGAGGCTCTTGTCTTATCCACCCCTCGAGTCTGTCTTCGTGAAATGGTACATCACAGCCCCCCCCCCCCTTTTTTTAAATATAACTGTATCTGGTAGGTTGGTACACTATACTGTCATTAAAACTGGACCCAACTCCTATAGTGTTGTTTAAAACTGGACCCGACTCCTATACTGTTGTTACAATACTGAACCCAACTACTAGACCCGACTCCTATACTGTTGTCAGAATACTGAACCCAACTACTAGACCCGACTCCTATACTGTTGTCAGAATACTGAACCCAACTACTAGACCCGACTCCTATACTGTTGTCAGAATACTGAACCCAACTACTAGACCCGACTCCTATACTGTTGTCAGAATACTGAACCCAACTACTAGACCCGACTCCTATACTGTTGTCAGAATACTGAACCCAACTACTAGACCCGACTCCTATACTGTTGTCAGAATACTGAACCCAACTACTAGACCCGACTCCTATACTGTTGTCAGAATACTGAACCCAACTACTGTACACAGCCACCAGTAATGTGGAAAATATTTTTAAAAAAATAACATCAAGCTATGTCTGTTATGTCCATTTTCGTAAGAGAGAATATCAAATAACTGGTCTGATTCCGATTTCTAATTCAGGAGCAAATAACTTGTCTGAAACTGATTTTGTTTCAGTAGATATAATAATACCAAGGTGAGAAACGAATTAGATTAAAATAATTGGGATCAAAGTTCGAAATTCTGTCAACCAGTGGCAATAGGCTACTCACTAATCATTGAGTCTATGATGACGTTTTAAAATTGGCCACGTGACTGTCCCAAAATTCTTAATTCTTTAGTTCATGTATTATTGACTTACCAGGTCACTGGTGACTTGAAAAATATTAAGCCCTGTTTACACTTGGCCGCGATAAGCATGCCGTTCTCGGCACGGTACCAGACCACGATAAATTTTAAGAAATTGACCCGTTTACATTACTCTAAAGTAACTGGTCTCGGAACCGTGCCAGGCATGCCAAATGTGAAACTCTTCACAGAAAGTTAATTTCAGTTCATATGCAAATTACCCAGATGAAAACAATTATGGCGGTTGATTTAGTTTGGGCAGCAATTTTGACAGAACTGATGTCAGAACTGTCAAAGTTTGTGTGAAAAAGGTCAAGGTTCATTTGGTGCATGTGCAGTAATCAGTACTGAGAACCCTTGGCGGTAAAATTTTGATGTAGGAGAACGCTGTACAGGCAAAATTTACCTCATAGTAAAATGTATACCATATCATACAGGTCTTTATTAACTGTGGGACATTTTATAACGCCATTTCATTTCATTAACTATATAGAGAAGGAGAAATAGGGTTTAACGTCCACTCGACACAAACTAGGTCATTTCGGGACTAACACATGGTTCAATTTTATTTCAATCATTCGCTTGCGTGTAGGGGTCTTTAGCAGTGAGAGGAAACTGGAGGACCCGGAGAAAACCCACGAGGTTGGACAGGCAACACTCCTTGTCACGTACAACCGAGGAATCGAAACCCCACCAGTTGACTCAATGACAGACCGTATGATACAGCGCGCGTGTGCTAACCATTCGGCTATCCACCCCCCCCATTAACTATATAACCAATTTTGTTTTCCAATGTCAACGCAGTACAGCATAGACAGCTTGTCAGGAGTGAGAGAAATGGGGTTTAACTCCACTTGACACAAACTAGGTCACTTCTGGACTAACACATGGTTCAATTTTTATTTCAATAATTTGCTTGCACGCAAGGGGTCTTTAGCAGTGGGATGAAACCGGAGGGTCCGGAAAGACCCACAAGGTTAAACAGGCGACCCTACTTCTTGTCACGTACAACTGGAGAATTGAAACAATGATACAGCGCGCACAAATAACCAGGTTGTCGGGTAATGAAACATGCCTACTGTACCTTGTATTATGAGATTGTCTCATCACTATTGGATCAACCCGGGGAGCCATGGTGGGTAAGTTACCGGCTCTCTAGTCTGGAGGTTGCGTGTTCAATCCCAGTGTTGGTCGAGAAAGTTCATCAGGATTTTCTGGCGTGGTTTCCCCTTGTCAGTGGTGAAGGAAGGAGGAGACTGACAAGGACAGCTGTCTAGTAATTTGAAAGGTACAAAAAAACGAGGTCCTGTGTATTCATTGGCATGCCCGTAAAAGATCCCTTGGCAGTTGGAATTGGACATAAGACTAAGAGTAGACCATACATGTAGTGCCACTGTCCAGGTAAACTTGCCTTCATAGCACACTCTATGGCGTATGCCCGTCTGCTAATAATCCTGTTAGAGAAGAACAGTAGGACGTTAAACCCCATTTTATTTCATTTCATTAGATCAACATAATTCAAAACAATTTATTTTCACATAACTATTTTCAGAAGGCAGGATGATATACCAAATATTATTTTCTTGCATGATCCCCTCTGGTCAGTGGTCCCATGTACACATTGGCGTGCATGTAAAAGATCCCTTAGCAGTCAGAATTCAATAGAAGAGTAGACTGTAGTTCAAAATTTCTCTCATAGCACACTGTATGGCATTTGCCCCATGTTAAACCCCACTTCACTTCACTACCAAGTACATTAACTAAATACTACCAAATACTTCGGCTAGTAGGATGTTAAACCCCCACTTCACTTCACTACCAAGTACATTAACTAAATACTACCAAATACCGGTACTTCATTATTTATTTTATTGAAATAAACTAACAGATTAGTTGAATTATACAAAAACAGATTAGTTGAATTATACAAAAACAAGTTGAGTTAAGAAATATAAAATACATTCATGCACAAAAAATATATTCTGACTCTGTACTAGTACATTAATTACATTTACATGTAAAATACAGATGTAACGTCATCCTTTGATGTTGGCGTACCATTATTTCAAATAATCGTACAAGCAACTTGCCAATCGTACATTAAATGAAATGAAATGGGGTTTAACGTCCTACTCCTATACTGGGCTAATGAAGACGGGCATACGTCATACAGTGTTCTATGAGGGAAATTTTGCCCGGGCAGCGGCACTATCGCCTACTCTTATATCGATTTCCAACTGCCAAGGGATATTTTGCGTGCATTCCAATGTATACACGGGACCTTGGTTTTTTGTCTCATCTGAAGGACTAGACAGCTGTCCTTGTCAGGCCCTCCGTCCTGCATCACTGACAAGGGGGAACCACGCCGGAAAATCTGGATGAACTTTCTCAACCAATGCAGGTATACACCCGACCTCCAGGCTAGCAAGCCAGCGTCTTACCCACTTAGCCACATGATCCCCTCTAACCGTCCATTATCTATACTAGATGATATATTGGACTCGTGTGACATATTTCATTGAAAAGCACGTGCGGGATAGTGTCTGTATTTTAAGTTGTTTAATGGTCTCGAGCTAAAGTCATTGCATAATATATTGAAACAACACTCGGCTAACGTCTCATGCAGTATCAATATATTACTTTAACTTAAACATGCATTATGCAAGAGCAAAATCTGCTTATTACAAGTCTTTCTTTAGGCCTGAAATGTTATCTAAATTATCAATTAGACATTAATTAACTTATCCAGACCATAATAAACTCTCGATGTCAAGGCTAGTCTTCGATGTTGGCTGGATTAGATTCCTATATGCCGCTAACGGCCATTGATAATTAAATCAGAAAAAGTGGATAATCGAGACTATGCTGTTTATATTAATGATTTTAGTAATGATGACTGAGACTATGCAAAAATTTCACCCGCTTCTTTCTCGGCTCATAGTGGATCAATTTGACTGAAATTTCCAGCAAATTACCTTTACATTATCTAGTTTTTAACTATTATAGGGCTGACCTTAAAAATATCTTTGTTTCACCAAACCCGACCCACAATCGAGGAGAAGGGTCGGTAGGTCGGGTTTTTTTCAGATCTTTTTTTTAAGAGCTAATTTGACAGCTTGATAATTTTCCGGGTGCAAACATTCGTCTTCTTTTATTGGCAAACAAATCAATGACATCGGCATCGGGATTTTTCTTGATGCACGACTCGCACACAAATTGCGACAAACTCACGTTTGAAACTCCCTCAACACGTTTTTAACGATCGTGCGGGTTGTGCCTTTATTTTTCTCGAAAACGGATATTGAAAATATCGTCGTCATGTTTAAAACGACGCCCCACAGACATAGAGGCAGAATCATTTCGTGGGAATGGACGTGCTTTCGTCTGCAACCATTTTGTTGAGAAGCGACACCTATGACGCTTTCGTCTTGATCAACCAGTTTCAATAATGAATCAAACCATAGCCATAATAAAGGGAAATAACTCTCGTGATATATTTCAGGTTGACACACAAAATAAAATAAAAAGATCGCGGAAAAGTGCAATAAAATAATTTAAGTCGGGGGTGGTTTTAGTTAGTCGGTCGCATTAGGCGAAACAAAGATATTTTTAAGGTCAGCCTAGCGATAACTGCCATCTCTTTATCTAATCTCCCATAATGTATCTTTAATGTCTCACTCTTGACCATTAAACCATACTTAATTTGGATTTTACAATTATACCAAGATCAACCCTTGTACAGATTGGTGTGAACGCAAAAGATCCCTTGACAATTGAGTAGGTGCCCTTGCATTGTTGTGCACATAACAGTACCCTCGACAGTTGAGTAGGTGCCCTTGCATTGGCATGCATGTAACAGTATCCTTGACAGTTGAGTAGGTACACCCACATTAGTAGCTCGATTTACCCAAATTCACCATCACTTCAACTCGTATAATAATATTTTTCTACTTGTACATCGACTTTTGATAATTTACCGTTCTTTGAATCTGATTAAAATACAGATCTATATTTTATTTAGTTTTTTTGGTACTTTCGATGGCCTCCACTACATGACGTCAGACATTGATCAATCAACGTTGACGTTTCTAGTTGTTTACCCACTGTTCCGTGCACCTCACACCAAAAATTTGCCGTAACAGACCATTTTATTGGCTAATTCCTCACATCATCCAGAACGCTGGTTATATAACAACTCTTCCAGATCCTAGCGTACTGAAGACAAATAAAACGAAATTTTGAACTACAGTATGATAAACGAGACAAAAAAGCCTCTGTGTTTTAATTAGATTGTATTTCTTTATGCCAATTTGCCTGTTAGGGTAAATAGTGTTCCTCTGTGTTGGCGTAAAGTACATGTAGTTAAATCCTCTGTGAACGACCGCTAACAAATTATACACTAAACGTCTACATTGTACATGTGTTTCAACGAGAACTGTTTCAGTGTGTTTTCGTGTGTTTGCGTAAAGTACTCCCCTCCGTGAACGACCGCTTACATATTTTACACTGAAAGGGTTTTTCACCGGTGTGAATGCGGATGTGATTTTGCAGGAAGAATTTCCGCGTGAAACGCTTGCCACAATATTTACAACTGAACGGCCGTTCCCCGATATGAACGGTTTGCAAATGTAGTTTCAAACTACCCTGTTGACTGAAGGAACTACTACAAACATCGCAAGAGAATGGCTTTATACCAAGATGGATTAATTTATGTCTTCCCAGGTCACCACTCTGAAAGAATTTCTTGCCGCAATCGTCACACTGAAAGTCTCGCTGGCCCGTGTGGATTTTGAGGTGCGATTTAAGACTACCTTGAGAACAGAAAAACTTTGAACAAACTTCGCATTGGTGTGGTTTGATGTCGCTGTGTGTTTGAATGTGACCTTTGAGAGCACTACTCTGAGCGAAACCCCGTCCGCAGGTTTCACAAGTAAATGGTTTACTCTTTGAATGAACGCGAAGGTGGTCGCCGAGATGACTTTTGGTACGAAACGTCTTCGGACAGATATCACATTTATGTTTCTTGATAACTCCAGCCGGGTGTGTGTGAACGTACTGATGCGATGAAAGGTGGCTACGGGAACGAAAAACTTTGTTGCACTGTTCACACGGAAACAGTCTGTCGTCGTAATGCATAGCTTGATGACTCTTTAAACTGGTTTTGCTTTTGAAGAATTTGCCGCATTCTACACAGTGAAATTTTTTTTCAACATTTTGATCGTGTACTATTAGATGTTTCTTCATATTGCCCATATCGTTAAAAGATTTCTCGCACATGTCACATTTGAACGGTTTTAGTCCTGAATGTATGCGCTTGTGACGAACCAGACTATGATTAGCGCTGAACGACTTCCCACATGTGTCACACTGAAATATCTTATCCTGCGTGTGAACATTTTTATGGGTTCTCAAGGCACTCATCGAGTTGTACGATCTCGCACACGAGTCAAAATCACACGTAAACAAAGTTCTCACTGGATCGTGGCTCTTCATGTGCGTCTTTAAAAATTTGAAAGATTTTCCACAAATTTCACATGGTTGGCGTTTAGCGGAATGTGAACGCATATGCGACTGGAGATTACCACCATCATTAAAGGCCTTGGAACAATGTGAACACTTAAAAGGTTTTTCACCCGTATGAATGCGATAATGGCGTGTTAGGCCCGTTTTTGATCCAAAAATCTTGTCGCAGATGTCACACTCATGCCGATTTCCTCGTTTTTCTGACTTGGGTGGGCAATCATTTTCCTTGTGTGGACTTGATTTTTTCTTTTTAGATGTGGTTAATTTTTTCTTTGATCTTCGTCTTCGTGTTTTATGTATTTTACCGTCCTCATTTTTAGAACTGCGACCTGTATTAGAATGTGTTTCTAGTCGTTTATTTGATGATGATTGTGGTCTTGTAGTATATGATCTTGTTCGTGTATTTGGTGAAAGTGTAGATGTGGAAACATCTTCCTCAGCGGCCATATTATTACTACTAGGTACTACCGGTATTATTTTATCATTTACTTTAGTCTTTCGGTTTTTGTCAGTCACTGAGCATTTTCACATAGATTCTCTGGCGATTCCATTGAATCACTGATTGAAAAATTCTTGATTTGTTCGGCCTTCCAATTCTGGCTTATTCCTTCAATTTATACAGCTTGCAAATCGCTTTCTCCTAAGTTAAAGAAACAGAACGCTAAAAGGCTCCCGAGGTCTAAAGAAAGTTTACGCTCTGCACGAAACCGGAAGTTGACGAACTGTTCGATACACTACGGTCATATTTTGAGTTGTTTCGTCCAGACCTGAAGGTTATCTCGTCCCAGTTCCACGCTTTTTATAGATAATGTTATTCAGTGCTGGGATTTCAGGGACGACAAAACGGGATCACCCTTTTTAAAAAAAAATGTCCGGGGCATGAAACTGGGCGAATTAGGGGTGTAGGCTGTTTCGTAACCTGGCTGTTTCGTACTTGGTTCATTCGTACCTCACTTCGTACCTCAAATTGATTCGTACCTTTTCCCATGTTGTTGAAATCAGTTGAAAAAAATTGAAAATGCCGAACCAGAATTAGAATATGCACGAGATTTGTACCTCAAATTGATTAGTTCCTTTTTCTAAATCCAAAGGCTGCGCTAAATTTATAAAAATGGCTGCCTAACGAGAATTAGAATACACACGTAATTTGTACCTCAAATTGATTCGTACCTTTTCCTATATGTTGTTGAAATGAATTGAAAGAAATTAAAATAAATCTATATGTTGTTGAAAGAAATTGAAATAATAAACGATTACCTGCCTTTCTTTTAAATCTGATGTTGATTATCGAACCCATTCTGCTCAGTGAGTTGTGATTTTTGACGACAGTGTTAAAGCAGTTTAAAAAACGATTGAAAAGTATATTTAATCTGGGGTTGATTATTGAACCCATTCTGCTTAGTGAGTTGTGATTTGTGATTATTGACGACAACTGATTGGTGGTTGTTAAAGCGATTAAAAACGATTGAATATACTAAGAATTCCAAAATCAATTTTACTAATTGTAAGGTGAAACTGCATGCTTTCTGATATGGTTGGGTTATTTATGCCTAGAAACAGAACGCAGCAATTAAGTCTCCAAAAGGTGCCTACGTGTGAAGATGGTCGTACGCTTTTCTTTGATCTGTTATATCATGGACCGTATATACGGTCATGGGCTATCACGGGGTAATTCTATTATTAAAACCCAACTGCATGAAAATGGCTTTCGATCGTAACCGATATAAATTTAGTGAAATGCTGAAGCAATTTTAGTATAAATGTATGTGAATTACTACTGATGAAATGAAATGGAGTTTAACGTCCTACTGTTCTGCTCCTAACCTGGTCTAATGAAGACGGGCATACGCCATACAGTGTGCTATGAGGGAAATTTTGCCCGGACAGCGGCACTACGACCTACTCTTATATCGAATTCCAACTGCCAAGGGATCTTTTACGTGCACGCCAATGTGTACACGGGACCTCGGTTTTTCGTCCCATCCGAACGACTAGACAGCTTTCCTTGTCAGCCCCTCCGTCCTGCATCACTGACAAGGGAGAACCACGCCGGAAAATCTGGATGAACTTTCTCGGCCAATGCAGGGATCGAACACCCGACCTCCACTTAGCTAGCGAGCTAGCGTCTTACCCACTTAGCCACCTATTGGGCAGGCTGTGTAATATAAATGTAGCGTAGCCGTTGGATTTGATCAAATCGTTTCACCTTTATTTCAATTTCTTTTAACTGATTTCAACAACATAGGAAAAGGTACGAATCAATTTGAGGTACGAAGTGAAGTACGAAACGGCTCATGTGAGGTACGAATGAACTAAGTACGAAACAGCCAGGTTACGAAACAGCTGACATCCCGAATTAGTTGGCAGGTATTGGTTGGGGCAAATGCCCGCCCGAGACGATATTTATCGGCACCGGCGGCAGGCCTACCGGCTATAGACGTTATCGGCTTTTGATCTATTTCACATGCACACTTGCAAATTTCGTCAAGGTCACGAGATGTTTAGCACGTGATTGTTGATGAGGAGTGTGGGTTAGGGTAAGGCTTAGGGCTAGTTGGATTAGAATTAGAGTCTCAGTTAAACATACATTATGCAAGAGCTAAATCTGCCTATTGCAGGTCTTTCTTTAGGCCTGAAATGTTATCTAAATTATTAATTAAACATTAATTAACTTATCCAAACCATACTCAACCCTCGATGTCATCGCTAGCAGGGCCTGCGAAGTGCGATGTTTATTGGATTAGGTTCCGATTTGCTGCTCGACTTCCATTCATGATTAATCATGAAATGGATAATCGAAAGTATGTTTTTTTTTTTATCGTACCGATTTAGTAATGATCATGATCGAGGCCAGGCCAAAAATTCAATCGCTAAAATCTCGGTCCAGAGTGGATCGATCAATTTGACTGAAATTTTCAGCAAATTTCCTTTACATTATCTAGTTTATAACTATTAAGTGAGAACTGTCATCGCTTAAATCTAATCTCCCATAATGTATCTTTAACGTTAGCTCTGTTTGTAAAAATATCTCGTGACCTATGACGACGCTTTCAGGACAACTGTCATTGAAAACGCTGGGAATATTAAATGTTGTACGTCAGCTGGATATATCTTGTGTTTACTCATATTGTCATATGAGATGCTAATTGTAGGCCGGTTGGGGAGGTTCGGGAATTTCCGGAGCCCAAAATGGCCGCTTTTTATAAATGAGTATTTTGGGTAATACTAACCCGAACCCTAACCCTAACCTTTTTAAGAGGGGTAAACGTTAAATTAGATCCAAGTTCAGTCTTCTAAAAAGGGTTAGGGTTCGGGTTAGTATTCCCCCAAATACTCATTTATAAAAAGCGGCCATTTTGGATTCCGGAAACACCCGAACCTCCCCAACCGGCCTACAATTAGCATCTCCCGTTTGTCATCTAGCAAATGAGAAGTTGAGAATATAGCCTAAACACGTTGTTGAGATATACTGAAGTGTTTATTTTTAGCTACGACTTGATGCCTTAATTGTCTTTATTAATTAGGACGAATTACCCATCAATGTACGTATAGCTGCAGTATTGTATCGGCTTACTTCAACAAGATGGAAGACATCAGTAGTTCAACCATATCTAATCAATTTTAATTTATCTGCAAATATTGTCAGTAAAGTTCATCAAACGGCGTTTGTAACAAACTTGGAACGGCAATTCATAATTGCGGTGCCTTAGTCAATGCTCGACCCATAAAGGTAATTTGATTGGGTGTTGTACACGACATATTTAGCTCCGCTTTAATTGGTTACATCTATTTAACAAGGCCAAACGCATAATTTCCCCAAGGTCACGAGATGTAAACAGGGCGCTAGCGCTAAACCAAGACCTAGCCCTACGCCTTACACTAACCCTAACTCACAAATCTCCGCAACAATCACGTGCCCTAACCCTGTTTATATCCAGTGACCTTGGGTGAATCTGCATTTGGCCTTGCCAAAAAGATCTAGCTGCTTTAATGGAATTAAGATGTCAAACCTGTTCCGTTTTAAAATCCCGGGTAAAGCCAGCTTTTGACGCTTCGATTTAAAAACGGTGATTTGTACCCGTGTCAGGTAGGATTTTCTGCTTTTTAAAAGTGTCATTAGATGTGGTAGAAATGTAACAATAATCAATCGTGGTTTTGGAGAAAAGGTTGACAGTTTTGCTTCACATCGGAATCTTCTAGAAGGAACTACATCTCGAGATGCGCAGGGTCAAGAGACGAGGTTTCGTATCTAATTCTCATCGACTATAATATCTTGTTTTAGTTATAGTGAACATAGGTATATCTAGTGTTTACCCATATTGAGCATAGCTATATCTGTTGTTTATCTTATTGATCAGAGCTATATCTTGTATTAGTCATATCGATCATATCTATATCTAGTGTTTATCCATATTGATCATAGCTATATCTAGTATACCCATATCGATCACAGCTATATCTAGTGTTTACCCATATTAATCACAGCTATATCTAGCGTTTACCCATATTGATCATAGCTATATCTAGCGTTTACCCATATTGATCATAGCTATATCTAGCGTTTACTCATATCGATCATAGCTATATCTAGTGTTTACCCATATTAATCACAGCTATATCTAGCGTTTACCCATATTGATCATAGCTATATCTAGCGTTTACTCATATCGATCACAGCTATATCTAGTGTTTACCCATATTAATCACAGCTATATCTACCGTTTACTCACATCGATCATTACTAGATCTAGTCTTTACCCATATCGATCACAGCTATATCTAGCGTTTACTCATATCGATCATAGCTATATCTTGTGTTTACCCATAGTGATCATAGCTATATCTTGATCTAGTGTTTACCCATAGTGATCATAGCTATATCTTGATCTAGTGTTTACCCATACTGATCATAGCTATATCTTGTGTTTACCCATAGTGAACATATAGCTATATCTCGTGTTTACCCATATTGAACATAGCTATATTGATCATAGCTATATATTGTGTTTACACCCAAATTGTCAGCGATCATAGCTTAAAGATACATTATGGGAGATTCGATAACGATTTGGCAGTTCTCACTATAATAATTAAAAACTAGATAACGTAAAGGCAATTTGCTGAAAATTTCATTCAAATTGATCCACTATGAACCTCGGTCATCATTACTAAAGTCAGTACGATAAACAGCATAGTCTCGATTATCCATTTAATCGTTTAATGGAGAAGGAAAGTGATGCAGTAAATCGGCTCACAAACCACTAAAGATCGCAGGCTAGCGATGCCATCAAGAGTTGATTATGGCCTGGATAGGTTAATTAATGTCTAATTAATAATTTAGATAACATTTCAGGCGTAAAGAGAGACCTGCAATAGACAGATTTAGCTCTTGCATAATGCATGTTTAAGGGTTGGGTTAGAGTTAAAAAAGTAAAATACCAATATGTCTCCATGTGTAAGCAGTATATTGGATATTATCAGTTAATGGTAGAATATCCTTTTATCATTCCCCACTCTTGACTTTATCTAACCTATTGGTTCTGGACCAGGTCCTGTAGGTGGTGTGACAGTAGTAGTTGTGGTTGGTGATGGGATTGTTGATATTTCAGTACATGTTGCTGTAGGTATAACCCCGTCGGGTACATAACCGGGTTCGTCACATTCACACACGTAATCACCAAGAACAACGGGTGAACCAGCGGGAATAGATTTCCAATACATACCATATGGGCCGTAGAAGGCGTTACATATTCCTGTAAAATACAGTAACAAACAATGTTTTACCTGAGAGAATTGGGTGGGGTGTAGGTAGTTACTTTAGTAACGGTACATGTCTGACCCGACTAGCCTTCCTCACCGTTACTGACTGTCCCTATACACATGTAATATGAAAATAACGCTTTACATCACCTCGGTTCTAAGGCTATTTTGGAATCCCTACCGTCTATTTTTCACCGTGAGTCTTCTTTGTTCGTTAATTATATCATTCCAATTCTAAATTTTGAATATTGACTGAACAAAGGGCCCTCACATAGGTGAGGGGCTGAGGGAGGCATATGCTAGGGGCGCAAATTATGGACTAGCCTCCTTGGAGGCGGAGATAGTAAATCACCAGCCTTTCCTTCCCCTAAACCTGCTTTGTAAACCAGTTCATATTTCAGCAAATAGAAAGGGTGGAATTTTGATTTTTCAAAGATATATTACAGGGTTTGTCGATTAAACGTTGAATTTTGAAGGGGAAATAAACATACAAATTTTACATATAAATTTTACATAATAAATAGTTATTTAGAAAAAGTGTTAAAAATATAAAAAAATAGATCGCCAGGCAACGAACACACGCCTACAGCAGCTAAGTAGTCCGAGGAGTCAACAAGGGTTATCGCATATTTATTTGAGACTTTGTAGCAATATCGTTGTTGCGACATTGTTTTAAATTTATAGACAAGGAATAGAGAAATAAGATGGTTTAAACAACATTTTTATCTTTACAAATTATTCTCTATTGTCAGTATAGTAGCTATGGTATGAGTTTATTTAAAACGCAAATTAATTGTTTATGAAAAAGTGTGAGAATAACAGGAAAGAGGGTCTGAGTTCAAGGATAGATTGTGTCGAAAAACATGTGACGGAAAATTACGATTGCATCATTTGGCTTATTTGACCAATATCTATAATTATTTACATGATATTTGACCAATTAGATAATTGAAAGTCAATAAGCTAAAGCTACAGAACTATCATGTTGGTGGGCGATTGTCCGACAACAGCTTGATTCCATAAGGGGGAAGATGTAGCAATTTCTATCAGCAGACTTGCCCAACGAGTCTGGCTGAATGAGGTTTGAGAGAATGACTTTATTATTGTAATCTATACTATGCTTTTATCCGTGTATCCAGCTTGATATATAAAATGTAAAAACGAACTGTTGCTTTGTTATAACTACTGGTAAGACAAGCGTCTTAAGAAAATAGTAAGAAGTAAATACACAACGTGAAGCAGAAGCAAAGACAGCTAGAGACTAATTCTAGACGACCACAAGGCTACTAAGATATGTAGTAAGAAAAGATGCATGGGTCATACGTAGGATGTGGCGACCGGAATCAATAACCCGCTCTCCACGTCTGACAGAAGGCCCATGGTGCTACATATCAGCATCGTTTCTCCATTTTTTTTTTTTAAGATTAAATCATTAAAGGGCGATCGTGTTTTAATCCGTTGAAATCTCCACAATCCGATGGTCTAACTTATATAACATTTGAAGCCAACATAAAAACCTGTAATGAACAGGCCTGTCCAACCTCGTGGGTTTTCTCCGGGTCCTCCGGTTTCCTCCCACTGCTAAAGACCCCTACGCGCAAGCGAATTATGGAATTAAAATTGAACCATGTGTTAGTCCCGAAATGACCTAGTTTGTGTCGAGTGGACGTTAAACCCCATTTCTCTCCCTCTCTCTCTGTAATGGGCAGATTTAGCATTTACATATTGTATCTTTAAAGAAATATACGATTTGAAGACATTAAATACAGTGAGTGAATGCAACCAATGTATATGCTACATGTTTTGTACGTGTTTGACAATAAAAAAAATAGCATATATCAGTGACGAGTGTTTTCATTTTCCGACTTAGGCCTACGATAGACTATCGTTTTTCTGTGTATAGCTGAATAAATGAAAAGGGGTTGAGTGTTCCTGTGTAAAGAAGTTTCTACACTACATAATTCCAGTCTAAAAATGACGTCGAGAAAGATAAATGAGGTTTAACGTCCATTCGATACAAACTAGGTCATTTCGGGACTAACATATAATTATAATTCAAATATATTTCAGTAATTCGCTTGCACGTAGAGGTCTTTAGCAGTGGGAGGAAACCGGAGGATCCGGAGAAAACCCAAGAGGTTGGACAGGCGACCCCACTCCTTGTCACGTACAACCGGTAATCTAAACTACGCCAGTTGACTTAATGACAGACCTTATGATACAGTGATAATTATTAATGAATCGTTTTTAGACGAGTTATTTGCCCCTGAATCGGATTCAGACCAGTTTTTTTTATTACCCCACTCACTTAGCAATACCCAATCTGATTAAAACACAGATCCTATTTCGTTTCGTTTTTTATAGTTCAAAATTTCATTTTACTTGTCTAATGTAGTACAGGCCATTGCAAGTATAAAAAAAAACGAAACGAAATATAGATCTGTATTTTGATCTGTATAAAACAGATTTTCCACGTTACAGACACCTGTGCATAATTATATATCAAAGACAGCAATATCTTACCGCTGGGACAGGTAGGGCAACATATACCATCACCTTCAACAAAATATCTAACCGCTGGGACAGGTAGGCAACATACACCATCACTTTCAACAAAATATCTTACCGCTGGGACAGGTAGGCAACATACACCATCACCTTCAACAAAATATCTTGCCGCTGGGACAGGTAGGGAAACATATACCATCACTTTCAACAAAATATCTTACCGCTGGGACAGGTAGGCAACATACACCATCACCTTCAACAAAATATCTTACCGCTGGGACAGGTAGGGCAACATATACCATCACCTTCAACAGAATATGGATCGGTACATGGAACTGAAAGACATGAACCATGGGCCTTGATGACACCTTCTTGTCTACATTCACAGTATGAACAGTCCGTTGGGTAATAAATTTCTCCAATATTAAGAACAGTCCCATCTTGGCAAACACATGGTGGTTTTGTTGTCGTTATCAATGACGTCGTGGTATCGGGATATTGTACATTGGTAGTTGTAGAGAGCGCTGGTGGCATGGCCAACGACAATGCAGGTAATAGCCATATAACCAAAAATTGTAAAAACATCTTGGTAGCTAGTGATATCGAGAGAAGAAATCATGGCTTTTATCTTACTCAAGTGAATCATCAAGCCATATGTTACAAACAGACTGTCAAAATTATTATTGATACTTTTTAAAAAAAAAACGAATTTCTGTACGTCTGACACAACAGGCTCTGACGTTGTCATTTCATGGGTTTAACGTGGCAATTCATATCAATAGGCCATTGATGTAATGATTGTATTTAAACAGTAATAGTAATCTAATTAATTGACAATGTATTGGTCCTTGCCAGGCATCAATATGTGTTGCCTCTAGTGAGATTAAAAGTGTTTAACAAGAGATTTTGTTTTTGTTGAAGCCATCTTGTACAATATGGGATTGATAGGGATACTGACGTAAATCCGCTAGTAAAGGGGCATGGTCACACTGAAAAGCAGTGAATATTCGGTAGGCCTCTACAATCACTGATAAGGATGATATCAATGCGACTTAATGGGTCTCAAATATTAACTTTTTTCCACCGACAAATTAAATTCTAAAAGATTTTTTTAATGTACATGTATTAGAAAAATAAATAAAGACGTTTGACGTATGTATTTGTAGGTAAGAATTATTTCCTATTTAGTGTAAATGGGTATTAAAATGACTAAAAGGCAGCATTCTGCCCGAAGCAGTAACGTTTTATGTAAACAATGCAAGCGCCATTCAGCCAATGATTGACGCCGCGTGCTGTGACGGCACGTGTTAGAGGCAGTCATCTTTTACAGAGATATTAGAAGACTCGTAATTCTCTGTGAAACAGATTGGGGCATGGTTAGTACTCATATCTGGCTGATATGGAATAATAATTACTGGTTTATTAACATGCAACGTTTCGTCTTTATCAAGCAAATGATAACATATGTATTTATATACAGTAAATATTTGATCCCAGAAATGTGTTCGGAAGTCTCTGATCTGGGCCCTGTTTCTCGAAATCTTAACTAAAGATAAAATCCAATTTTAGTAGATACTTCAATTTTCATTGGCTAAGCACTAAAATCAATCTAATATTATCCATTCAAATTACTAAAATTTGGATTTTATCCTAGTTAAAATTTCGTGAAACAGGCCCCAGGTTCTCCAGCGGGATGGATGCCATAGGCGTACGTGGCCGAACTTGTTTGGGGGGGGGGGCAGCATATTTTCCGGACAAATACATTTCTATAGAGTCGGCGGAGCCGCGGGCGGCGAAGCCGTCCACCCGCGAGTGCCAGAGGCGCGAAGCGTCCGACGGGGGGTCTGGGGGGCCTCCCCCATAAAATTTTGAAAACCAGACGGCCGTAGACGCGATTTCCAGGCATTTCGAATACTTTCTAGTAATTTGGAGTGGGTAGTAAATTATGTCAGTTGCAGCATAAAAACTGGTAAAAAGTCCTTATTAAAATACAAGCTCTATTACTACGAAAACAAGAACAAGTCGAACGATTTACTTTTGCCACATTTTTCATTTTATGAGACTTCACATTTTTGATCCAGATCACAGATCTCCTCCTCTGGCATCGACAGGTAGCATATGAAGTGTATGTATGGATAGGAAAGGCATAAACAGAGGGTTTTTACTGCTTTTCAGCTGCTCACTTCTATCACTGTGCTCGTCCGGTGCATGGAGTTGGATGCCAGTATACAGGAACACAGTACTCAGGAACTGAGAAAGGCCATGTGTACGTGCTAGTTCTATTCAGACGGCGTACGTGTTCATCATTGATTGGACTGCTTTCTTTCCGCTTCCATATTATTAAAAATATTAAAACCCGACAGACGGCGCGACGCTTCCCGACAAACTGAGCATTCATTCCCGACAAGACAATAGCCTTCCCCGACAAGGCCATACCCCTACCCCCACCCCATTTTCAAAAACTCCTCGGCTAATGACCGATCTCACAATTCTGAGCTCTTTTCAGATTTCTATTTTTTTTCATGAAAATATTTGAGGGGGCCGGTGCCCTCCCGCCCCCCCCCCCCCCCCGCCTCGTACGCCTATGATGGGTGCACAGAACGCTTTTACACCTCACTTTGGGAGTACGCGGCGACAACTCACATAAGCAGACAGGCGACAATATTTTCAACATCCGAGTCAAAATATGTCGATAGATGAATTTAATAAGTTTGATATATATTTATCCACCTTCGATGACAGATGCCCGTCTTCATTAGCCCAGTTTTGGAGCAAAACAGTAGGACGTTAAACCCCATTTCATTTCATTTCATTTCGATGACAGATGAAAGACGAAACCTGGTTAAATTGACACGGAGTATACCGACATCTGAAAGCCACTGTGATCTATCAATAGTCCTGTATATTGATTGTCATCCCGACCAGATGTTTCTGATGCTTTTACTCGCATTTATTGTTTACTGGTTTTCTTGACATGAGAGAGAGAGAGAGAGAGAGAGAGAGAAATGGGGTTTAACATCCACTCGACACAAACTAGGTCATTTCGGAACTAACATATGGTTTAATTTTATTTCAATAATTCGCTTGCGCGTATGGGTCTTCAGCAGTGGGAGGAAACCGGAGGACCCGGAGAAAACCCACAAGTTTGGACAGGCGACCCTACTCCTTGTCACGTACAACCAGGAATTCGAAACCCAGTCTGTTGACTTAATGACAGGCCTTATGATACAGCGTGCACGTGCTAACCATTCGGCCATCCAACCCCCCTTCTTGACATTAACAATAAAGATGCATTGTGTAAGATATGGACAAAGAACTGACAGTTCTCACTATAATAGTTCAAAATCGATAATGAAAAGGGAATATGTTGAAAAGTTCAGTCACATTATTTCATTCTGAGCGGCGTTTGGGACGTTTGAATAAGAGCGTAGTCTTCTTACGATAATAAACAAGGTCCCGATTTTCCATTTTTGAATTAAATTATTAACTGTTAATCGCAATGTTGGCGGGTGCACGTTTGTGTTGGTCCACCCGTATGTTTAGAGGGAGTCGTGGTTCCCCTACGTACGACTCTCCGTAGCTGCAATATGGTAAACACAGTCTTTGGGTTGATGGGGTGGTTGGGTTCAACTTTCCATTTGCTTTGATGAAATTTACTCCAATCCCTGGATGCTGGTGTAATATTCTCCTTATTTGGTATGATACCTTGCCGTTAAAGGGGATTGATATTCGTACAGGTTCTTTATGGGGTGTCGGTGGTTTTGGGTCATCTTATAGGGTTTTATTAATTATTTTCTGTACCACCTCTTGTGGGTATCAATTAAGTTCAACGAGTACTTTTCTGCACGTGATCATACATAAATATAAATAAAGCCGGCACAAAAGAGATAACTCTTGATTAATTAAAGTGGGGGGGGGGGGGATGGGGTTTAACGTCCACTCGACACAAACTAGGTCATTTCGGGACTAACATATGGTTTAATTTTATTTCAATAATTCGCTTACTTTTCTGCACCAGTCGGAAATGAAATGAAATGAAATGGAGTTTAACGTCCTACTGTTCTGCTCCTAACCTGGGCTAATGAAGACGGACATACGCCATACAGTGTGCTATGAGGGAAATTTTGCCCGGACAGCGACACTACGACCTACTCTTATATCGAATTCCAACTGCCAAGGGATCTTTTACGTGCACGCCAATGTGTACACGGGACCTCGGTTTTTCGTCCCATCCGAACGACTAGACAGCTTTCCATGTCAGCCCCTCCGTCCTGCATCACTGACAAGGGAGAACCACGCCGGAAAATCTGGATGAACTTTCTCGGCCAATGCAGGGATCGAACACCCGACCTCCAGGCTAGCGAGCTAGCGTCTTACCCACTTAGCCACGTGATCCCCTTGCACCAGTCGGACTAATGAACACGTGATCATACATAAATATAAATAAAGCCGGTACAAAAGCCAATCTCCTGGGTTTTCTCTGGGTCCCCCGGTTTCCTCCCACCGCTAAAAACCTCTACGCGCAAGCGAATTATTGAAATAAAATTGAATATCAATCATATTTACCTGTCATTATAAATCAATTCAGGTACAATACTACCTTTTTATACACCAGGGGCCTGTTTCACAAAATTTTAACTAAGATAAAATCAAAATTTTAGTAATTTGATTGGATAATATTAGATTGATTTTAGTGCTTAGCCAATCAAAATTGAAGTATCTACTAAAATTGGATTTTATCTTTAGTTAAAATTTCGAGAAACGGGGCCCTGCTCTTATCAACATAATAATATGTAAAGAAAATCATTCTTTGTTTAGTCTAATAAAAGTCAAGAAATCCCGCTCTCTCGCGGCTTTGTTTTGTTATGAGTTAACATAGCGAGGCACGAAATGAACAATGCGAAGTTAATAAGTTTCTTGGCTTCGTACTGATTATTTCTTGCTTTTGCACCGAACCTCAAACCTTCTTGGCCTTTGCACTTGTTTAACGCAAGGGGGAGATGTGGGAGGGGGGGGACAAAAGAGTACCCAACGGCTTTCATATGTATACATGTCTTCATTAGCCCGTTTGGAGCAGAAATCAGGAGCCGTAGTGGCTCAGTGTGTGAGCTGCTGGCCCCCTAAACCGGAGGTCCTGGACCTACAAAACGTGGTTTACGGGCATCACCTTAGCAACCTATACCTACAAGACATGGTTTAGAGGCATCATCTTCATAGGCGTAGGACCTCAAAGTAATTCAGGGGGCATAAGAGAAAATTGCCCGAAATCAATATAATATAATCAATATAGTATATATATCGAAATCAATATGATCAATATATATATTATATTGATGCGATGTCCGTTTTTCGGGCAATACCTATTTTCGGGCAATACCGTTTTTTCGGGCATACCTATCATAAGAGAGATTCGGGCATATTTTCGGGCATGCAGTGGACAAGAAAAAGACGATAAAATACTTTTCGGACAGTGTGGATCTCATAGAAATAAGTTAGTTATATTTTTTCTCTAAACGTTAATAGAAAAAAAAGGTCGTCGAATTTTTCATTGCCCGAAAATAAATTTGCAAAAGTGAATCTTCTTTTTACAGCCTTACTTACTTTCGTGAGGCCCGAATATTTTTACAATATATTACGCAATTTCTTAAGCTCGAGACCATTAAACAACTTAAAATACAGACACTTGCACGTGCTTTGCAATGAAATACGTCACTCGAGTTCAATATTTTACCAAGTTACGCTTGGCACATTGCCCGTACGATTATTTGAAATAATGGTACTCCAACATCAAAGAATGACGTCACATCTGTATTTTAAATGAAATGAAATGAAATGGGGTTTAACGTCCTAATGTTCTGCTCCTAACCTGGGCTAATGAAGACGGGCATACGCCATACAGTGTGCTATGAGGGAAATTTTGCCCGGACAGCGGCACTACGGCCTACTCTTATATCGAATTCCAACTGCCAAGGGATCTTTTACGTGCACGCCAATGTGTACACGTGACCTCGGTTTTTCGTCCCATCCGAACGACTAGACAGCTTTCCTTGTCAGCCCCTCCGTCCTGCATCACTGACAAGGGAGAACCACGCCGGAAAATCTGGATGAACTTTAAAAGAACATAAAGTTATTTATGGTAATAAGACTTCACTGCGTGTATTGGGTATATAAGAACGTAGGGGTATTTATGGCAACAGTCTTCACTGCGTGTATTGGGTATAAGAACGAGGGGTATTTATGGCAATAATACTTGTTTATTCGGTATAAGAATAATGTTTGTTAAAATGTATTCCACTTTGCAGTTAAACTTCTATTAAAATGTTGAATACATGATATATTAATATGTTGAATTGAACCATCTAACAATAAACTAACATAATTCATTAGAAATTACAAACAAATACTAATTACTGAATATAAATCATGTTACATTCATTCATTCATATTGCATTAATGTACTTTTAGACCAACTCTCGTCTATTTATAGGTTCAAAAGAACAGAGCCATACCCCCTTTAAATATAGTCTGACATAACAACAGGCTAATGTATGATTCTTCTACATATTGGAACATGGCCATAGATATTCATCTAAATAATATAACATATCAATACAACAATAGGTTTTCTAGGAAATTTAACAATGACGCCATTCTTAGAAATAAAACTACATTACTTGTACTTGTGTGATTTGTATTAACATTAAAGGGGTAGTAACACAGATGTTTGGTCTATATCAACATTAGAGTGGCAGGATGAGACACGAAGTGAAAGTAAAACAGACAACACGCGGACATTGTAATAAAACACCAATCAAGTCAATGAACAGTTTATAATAGACACGTGTCTATCATGACGTCATATAGGTTGTTTATTATTAGATTATTACCTTGATTACAAACACGACTGACTGTCAAATTCAAATATACACTGACTCGGTCATAGTGCCGCTGCCCGGGCAAAATTTCCCAAAAAGCACACTGCATGGCGTATGCCCGTCTTTATTAGCCCAGTATAGAAACAGAACAGTATGACGCTAAACGCCATTTCGTTATTATTTTTATTGATAAAGATCGAAGGAATTGAAAATTGTCAACATTTGTCGTCCTATAGGATATATTCAACACAGGTCAGTGATGAACCTATTTTCATTCAGAAGGAATCCAATCCGGGGAATGGATCGTTCATATTTTAATTTTGTTTTCTTAATTAAATGTTAAATAATCAATCTGAGTTTATTTAACCCCGGATTAAGTCATGGAAAATTTCATAATTTCCCCAAAATAATTCTTTAAAATATGCTTCTATATTTAACAATATATGTATTACTATTGAGCCTATATACAGTAGAGGTTATTTAGGTTCTCTAAAAGATGCTCTGGTTAATGTATTGAAATCGTTAGTTAGTTTCAGTGACAACGAGAACTAGGTTAACAAGGATATGTCCGGTAGATTAAAATCGGGCAATGACATCATAGTCTGGTAATCCAAATATGGTAATCTCATGCTTTAAAAACGTGGACACCCATCGTCCTGAGTACCCATACAAGGACACTGTGTTGGAATTCAGTGTAGCTTCTGGGTAGCTGACCAATAAGATAAAGGAATTAAGTACCTGGTCAATTTCCCGGTGGTCAGTCCATGATCCATGCACGTATCCTCTTTATAAGAACGGGCGGGGTTTAAATTTGTTTAGACATCATAGGGAAGACATCAGTGGCGGTCCTAGAGGGACATATTACGTAAGCCGGTCTTCATTAGTCCAGTCAGAGCAGAACAGTAGGACGCTAAACCCCATTCCATTTGTTTATATATTCGTCTGTAACTTTAAGTCAGGTGATCGATTCTCCCTAGTGATACCTATCTCTTTATTGTTACCGTTAGCCAGTTTTATACACTCGTTTATTAAAAGTACAATTTTAATTATTCATCTGAGTTCTCGTCGTTAGTATTGGAATAAGCTACAACCCCCTGAAAACAGTACTACGGCACTTGGAATAGATAGTCTCGATTGGCATGTACCGTTACTACGATAATAAACAAAGTCTTGATTAACTAATTTAAACGTTAAATTAATAAATTGCGCGATTGTTCTAAGTCATTCAATGTCAAGGTCAACCGATGTTCTAGAGAGTTCATTATGGGCGTGTCATGTTCATATATGCCTAATTAATACTTTATATAACGTTTGTAGCCAATAAAAGATCTGCAATATGCAGATATAGAGCTTGTATAATGTATATTTTACTAATTTAACTAAATGAGAAGTGATATTAAATGTTCTTGAAAGACTAAGTATATCTCGCCTTGTACACGACACTTATAGTTATACGCCTTGTACCCTCTGTGACAGTATTGGTTCTTTAATCAAGTTCGGATGACAAGACTAGTTTAACATCTTAAAATACTTTTATTCTCTGCTTCTTCTAACATATTATATACAAAACTTAAAGACTCCATAACTAACTTGTGTTGAGAGAGCCATGTCCTAGCTCGGCTAGGCACGAGTGTGCCAACTCCCAACTAATTTACATTACGTGGCCGTTGTCCGGTCTTAACTCCAGACCTGCGTGGCCTGTCCCGGCCGGACCTGTCTGTCGATTTGTTTCTTAATCTGGTTTTATAAACCCTTCCAAACAAAGGATCTTATTAGGCATCTGGCTAATGTATCATATCAAGTTTAACATTCGATACATGCTAATCAGACAAAGAAAGTTTAAATAAAACATGCCAGCAAGTTAACGTTTACATAATCGTTACATAATCACATAGACCAAGAACTCCAGGCATGCCGATAACGAACAAGTGTCAAGTTGGCAGGAAGCGTCTTTAACATCAGATAATCTGTGATTGTGTAACACCTCCTAACCGCCGACACGCGTTTTCGACCAAGCGCAAACATTTTACTGAATACAGAAAAATTATTCCGGATTTCAAATCTCCCCGAATCACATAAAAAGTTCCACATGTAAACACCTGGCATTTGTAGAAATATCCTGCCCACATAATGTTGCCACAAAATAAAATTTGCACACAGTAGGTACATGTACAGACATGACACAATATACAGACACCTAAAACATAATATATTGGATCAAGTGGATCAGTTGTCACTTACAATAACATGTACAGTAACAAAAATATGTTGATATTCTGTAGTTTATCCTGTTATAGTTTATGACGTAGTTAATACTGTTTATTATATAACTATAACTGTTATTGTTTATTATTGTTTATGACGTAATGCTATAGACTACTGTTTATTATATAACTATAACTGTTATTGTTTATTAGATGTCTTCAATATCGTTCTATATCAGTTATATGTACAGTAGCCTCTACAGTAAATATCTTGTTGTCATCAATAAAACCATTGTTTATATCTTGTAGTTCATCACGGTTTATATAAACACCAGTATGTATATAAGCATAAAGACGATCAGTTGTACGTGTACGTTGTCTAACTAGTGATTTACTCTCATCATTGATATTTAACAGTTTCAGTGTACAACTAGCTGTAACAGCTTTAATAGTTTTATCGTCTACATGTACGTCCTTCAGTTCCAGGTAAATATATAATTTTGATGTATCATGTCTAACATATACACGCCATGGTAATCCTTGTATTATAACATCATCACTATAGTACCGCTCATCTATCTTCACTATCTGGTTCAAACTAACACTACTGGTAAATGTTGTTGGTGTTTGTACTTCACCCAGTAGTCGTTTTAAACAGTCTACATCAACCTTCACCATAGAATAACATGGATGTCTGACTACAGGTTTCTGTAAATTTGTTGATATGTTGTAATCTGTTATTGTTTGGATGTCTGGTAATGTATTTTGGTCTACAGTGGTAATTACAGATTTATGTTGTAATATACGATCAGCATATTCACACCATTCTTTCATTTTAGATGTCATCTTGTCATCTTCTTCTACTAGTTTGGTTAGTTTACTGTTTTCATCTTCACCAATTTTATTGATGTCATCTTTAATTGTTCCTCCAATCTTCCTGGCTTTTTCACAAATATTATCTATTTGTTGCTGAACTCGATCACAAGATGTCTTACAAGATATGTTCATGTCAGATATTTTGGCCTTCAGAAAGTCAGAATGTTTCTGTAACCGTTTTATCTTCTTTTCTGATTCAGTTTTCAGTTTCATGACAATTTCTCTCATTTCCTGGTCTACGTCATCTAAATCCGCTATCGTGTGGTCTTTATGATCCACCATAACACAAAGAGAACAACATGGTTTGCGACAATCTCGACAATAAACTTGTACTTCTTTCTTCTTGTGTTTTGTACAATACTGTTTATCATCACCATCGTCTTCTAGATAAAAGTTGGTGACAAACTGACTGGCACCACCTGATGGTACCTCGGTCTCCTGTCGACAAATAGGACAGTTGAACTTATTGAATTTAGCGTGAGCCTTGATGTAGTCATCGATACATTGTTGGCAGAAAGTGTGATGACAACATGGCAGTAATTTAGGTTTGGTAAAGTTATCTATACAAATAGAACAGGTATATTTTGAAGCCATCCCAGGAAATCAGAATTATAAATAATTGTAGAAAACATCTGATGATTAATAATATGAATAAATAAAACAGATATATTTAGAATACATATCAGTGTAGGCTATCAAACTAAACTGATCGAGAATGTATATAAAAAGGTCAAAGTGAAAGTGAAAGTAGTCCTGTACATCCAGACTGACGGACCCCTGTTAATTCAAACTGATCAGCAGTAAATATTCGCTTGGCCGTTACCAATCTGTTTCATAGAGTATTGCGAACGTACTCTAATAACTCTTTAAAAGATTACTGCCTTCAACACATGACGTCATATCATGCGGCGTCAATCATTGGCTCAATGGCGCGTGCATTGTTTATATAAGACGTTATAACTGATTCGAGCAGAATGACACCTTTATTACTCATTTTAATACCCATTTACACTAAAATAGGAAATAATTCTTACCTACAAATACTTCAAACGTCTTTATTTGTCGGAGGAAATGTGCTCATGAAGTCGCATCGATGTCATCCTTATCAGTGATTGTCGCGGCCTAGCGAATATTCACTGCTGATCAGTGTGCTCGGCCAAGTGAAAGAAGACTTTCGCATTATCAGCAGGAAATAGTTGAAAAATTAACCACTTAATAATAACGAAGTGTTTTATAATGTCCACTCGACACCAGCTAGGTCATTTCCGACGAAGATAAATGATGCTACAATATTAATCCAATATTTCGCTTGTGCGTATGGCTATGTGTCTTTTTTTTTAGCAGTGGGAGGTCACGAGGTGAGAGATGCCTGGGGGAAAACCCCACAAGATCAGGCAGGTTACCTGTACGGCTAATTCGATTTGTTAAGGCCAACTCAATTTTCGTCAAGGTCGCTGAGATGTAAATGTTAGAGCACGTGATTGTTGGTGAGATTGTAGGTTAGGGTAAGCATAATTAGGGCTAGGTCCAGGATTAGGGTTAGGGTTGGGATTAACACTAGCCCTGTTCTCGTGACCCACACTGATCAGCAGTGAATATTCGCTAGGCCGCGACAATCACTGATAAGGATGACATCGATGCGACTTAATGAGTCACAAATATTAACCCTTTTCCTCCGACAAATTGAATTCTAAAACATTTTTTTTTGTGTATTAGAAAAATAAATAAAGACGTTTGACGTACTTGTAGGTAAAAATTATTATTTCCTACTTTAGTCTAGGTGGGTATTAAAATGAGTAAAAGGCTCCATTCCGCATTTCCGCCCGAACCAGTAAGGTCTTATGTAAACAATGTCACGGGCCATTGAGCCAATAAATAAAGGTAGTTATCTTTTACAGAGATATTAGAATACTTTCCTAATCCTCTGTGAAACAGATTGTCGGTTGAGGAGTAAAGTTTCATTAATTTTATGTGCTATTCGTCATGGGTTACTCGGGTAGGTAATTTCTGACTTCCGTATATAGATGGCGCTGTATTCAAGGAATTCCGGGATTTCTGTTTGTTACTATTTATAGATCTTATAATTCACTCAGGAACCTTTTTATCTCATGAAGAGTTTTACAGAAAGACGATGTTAAAATGGATATATTATACATCATTACTTTAGTATTATTTTTAGAAACTGTTTATTGTAAGTTGATTGTGCAAATTCACATTTTGTGATGGGTTTGTTTAGCTGTTTTTCAAGAATTGTTTCGTTTCAACAAAAGAACAATATTAATTAATAATTCAATTAAATTCAAACACTGATCTCGTCCACTTGGCATTTGCTGTTTCAACCTGTCAGTAAAATTGTATTAATGCCGTAAAGAATTCGGGGCGCTATTGCATACTGTAACTGAAGTCGGTCAATGTGCACAATTATCGTTTGGTTAATAGGGTTGTTTTATTTCTCTTGTAAATATTTGATTAAAGTGGCTAAGTTTAAAGTTATTTAACTCAATATCATCCGAAGTGAAGTCTTCGACATTGAAAACATGAATTATTTGTCAATTTAAATCAACATTGATGTTGTGATCTTACCAGATAAAGATGGGCTTCTGATATCCATTATTTAAGACAAAATAAACATTTTACCATTGGTACACGAAATGCGTTTCAGGCCCATTTGTAACAAGGGACTCGAAGAACGAGGTTAAACATATTCTACAAGTCATGTCAAACGGTGATGGCATAGAGCATACACAATAAATACTAAATAACCAGACGCTAGAGATTGTCACTCGATTGAGACTTCTGGCGTATTTCGCTGAACATAACTGATTTGAAATTATAGTCAAAACAGAAACGATTGAATGTAAATCAGTTTATATACATTCATATTACATTATTATATGTGTTTCGACTCATTTGTGTCGATTTCTAGGTCCCAAATATTAGCGATTTAGCTCCTTTAAATTTGTCATTTGCTTTTGATCGAGCCATAATTTACTGTCCTACAATTTAAGTCAGAAATGATTCAACTACTAATATCTTCTGTCTTGCTAAGGAGTTACCTTGAGCAGGTTTTGTCATGATTTGATGGCCTATAACTTCTAACCTGACCCCAAACTGTAATAAACCAATTCCTATGGAAAAAAAGGTGAAATCTTACCGCATAATTATAATGATTTCATTTAATCCAACTGCTACGTGAAGTTTATGTCCATTTTTAAAATGGCCGGCAAACCAAAATTAGAACATGCACATGATTCAATGTCACCTCTAAAATATTTGTAACATAATTACTTATTTCCATGCAAACTGTGATGGTACGTTTTGAAAACTGTCATTTGTTCAGTCTTGGCGGCTTCACTAGAGGCTGTCCTGAGGCTGAAATTTGGTGTATAGGGGTAGTTCCAACCGGGTAGTAACTTAGGCTAGGCTACGTTGAGTTGGCCTACTGCTTCCGGTTTCAGAGTTACAGACAAGAGCCGGGTAATGCACTAATATCTTATATACCGTCTGTAGTGAATGCCAAATTATCAATGCATTTTAAATCTTTCTAAATACTGAACCGATCCATTTTTGGACTGATATTCCTGACAGAAATATTTACTTTAAGATTTGGATAAAGAGCTGGTCATTCTTGCTGTTAAAAATATAGAATGAACAAGTACGATCGTTACGATCGGATCGTACTATGGACTACATGTAGTTACTGACCATGTTGTTGGATACAATTCAAAAAGCCAATTCACCACATCTATGCTGAAGCATGCCAACTTTCATGTTGATTGGACTTAAATTGACAGAGCCTTAGGCTTTTTCGAAGACCGTCACCCCAAGAACACGATGAGTAGCGGATAGAGACCAGTTCCTGGTAAAAAGAGAAATGAATATATTGAAAATTTCAATCAAATTACTCTATTCTGAGTGAACGTTGTTTTTGAATTTTTGACAAGAAATATCCATAAATCGTTAAATCTAATAATAAACTGTGTATTAAACACTGGTGTGAAAGTTTATCTGTTGTAACGGCGAAAGCTTGTGGATTGTCTTGCCTTTTATGCATGTATGGTACCATGTTTTTCAGTGTATTAGACACATGCGTAGGGCGATTTTGGCAGAGGTGTATCAGGAAAAATAAAAGTGAATGGTTTAGGCGCACCTCTCTCCAGCGCCTTGTGAAACACGTGCAATATCATACGTGACTCAAACACACCCGCGATCCACAGTAACTGGGCCAAATTCTACTGTTTACCTGTACCATTGCGAACCCAGAAGATTTACAGCACAGTCCGTCTAGCCTACCACCCTCCCTTCTCTACCCTCAAGAATTACAGCACAGTCCGTCTAGCCTACCACCCTCCCTTCTCTACCCTCAAGACTTACAGCACAGTCCGTCTAGCCTATCACCCTCCCTTCTCTACCCTCAAGACTTACAGCACAGTCTGTCTAGCCTATCACCCTCCCTTCTCTACCCTCAAGACTTACAGCACAGTCCGTCTAGCCTACCACCCTCCCTTCTCTACCCTCAAGACTTAGAGCACAGTCCGTCTAGCCTACCACCCTCCCTTCTCTACCCTCAAGACTTATAGCACAGTCCGTCTAGCCTACCACCCTCCCCTACTACTCACATTACCAGTATTGATTGTGCAGCACAGTTACCCGCCTTCCCCTACCATTGCACACCTGAGCAATCATAACTCAGGAAAGGTATATCATCGTTTTGAAGATTTTATCAATTGTTTTGTGTTCAAATCAATATTTTATTAAGTCTTACTTTCTTTTGTCAGGTAACATCGACAGTAAATTGTATTATTATGAAACTCTCAGCAAGGTTACGGAAATAAAACGTGTGAGACGCAGTCTAGATGGCAGCACTACAACAACAACAGATAAAGATATCAAATTTAACGCTTTCGGCAGGTCAGTAAAGAAGTTTTGAAATGTACATTTTTATGAGTCGGTAAGATGCTGGCTCACTGACCTTGAGGTCGCATGTTCGAGAAAGTTCATCGTGACTTTCTGATGTGGTTTCCCCCTTGTTTGTGGTGCAGGACGGAGGGGTTTTACATAGGTTAAGCCTGGGGTTAGACTAGGTCATTTTGGGATGAACAGTAATTGTATTTCAATAATTCCCTTGTACACCAGATGTGTATATTATTCCACAATGTACCTTTTCTTCCTCAATACGCCTTCTGTTCTTTCTCACATCTCAGCTCCTGTGACCCGTTCTTTTTTAGTCCAAGTCCGAGGGGGTGCTGTAAGCCAGAAAATATCCTTGCTCACACCAAAGTAGAAAAATATCCTTGCTCATTTATAGATGAAATATTTTATATCTTTTCATAAAGCAATGACAATATCCTTTCTCACAGCCGCTACCATTGTCCTAGTGTAATGAAGCAAGTAAAACGAAATTTTGAACTGTAAAAAAAACGAAATGCAATAGGATCTGTGTATTAAACGAAATTTAATAGTATCTGTATTTTAATCAGAATGTCATGACAACCAAATATCTCACTACATGTATATGACTTTATATTGTTGACCCTACAACCAGGGTATTGTATCTTATTTGTCGAAATTTCAGGTCATTCGAACTCATACTAGAAAATAATGCTGATATTTTATCGCAAGATTTCAAAGCTGTGTTGATTCGTAAAGATGGCAGTTCAACTCGCGTCAATGTCCGTAAAAACGAGTTGTTTCGAGGACATTTAGCAGGTAGGTTAAACTATATTCTACTTCTGGAGCTTAGTTATTCAGATGGGTTAAAAAACTGAGGTACACTACACATTGACGTGCACCTAAAAGAACCCTTGGCAGTAGGAATATATGTGGGTAAGACACTGGCTCGCTAGCCAGGAGGTCGGGTGTTCGATCCCTGCATTGGCCGAGAAAGTTGATCTGGATTTTCCCAGTCCCCCTTGTCAGTGGTGCAGGACGGAGGGCCTGACAAGGAGACAGCTCTAGTCGTTCGGATGGGACGAAAAACAGAGGTCCCGTGTACACATTGGCGTGCACATAAAAGATCCCTTGACAGTTGGAATTTGATATAAGAGTAGGCCGTAGTGCCACTGTCCGGGCAAAATTTCCCTCATAGCACACTGTATGGCATATGCCCGTCTTCATTAGCCCAGTTCGAAGCAGAACAGTAGGACATTAAACCCCATTTCATTTTATTTTCATTTTGTATAAGATTATGCCGTAGTGTCGCTGTCCAGGCATAATTTCCCTCATGGCACACTGTGTGGGGTATGCTTGTCTTTTATTAGCCCACTTCAGAGCAGAACAGTAGGACGTTAAACTCCATTTCATTTCATTTACCCACAGTTCCATGCACCTCACGCCAAAAACTCACGGTATGGTGTATGCATGTCGTCATTAGACCGGTAGGAGTATTTTCCACTTAGATTCAATAGATTTGTGGTGTTACTGATTTTGTGATGCACAATCCACAAAATAATAAACTGAGATAACAAACTAGAGAAGATTTGTTTAACTTCATAGAGCCGCAGTGGCTCAGTGAGTAAGACGCTTGCTCGTGAACCAGGAGGTATCAGGTTCGCTTCCTGTTTTAGCTGAGAAAGTTCCACAGGATTCTCTGGTGTGGTTTCCCCTTGTCAGTGGTGCAGGACAGAGGGCCTGACAAGGACAGCTGTCTAGTCCTTCAGATAGGATGATAAACCAAGAGCCTGTGTACACCTACACATTGGCCTGCGTGTAAAAGAACATTGACAGTTAGAACTTGATATACCCGGTAAGAATAGGCTGGAGCGCCACTTTCCGGGCAAAATTTCACTCATAGCACACAGCCCATCTTCATTAGCCCAGTCGAAGCATAACAGTAGGATGTTAAACCCCATTTTATTTCTGGTTTGTTTAACTTCAGGTGAAGGAGACTCGTTAGTAGATGCTACGAGAGAGGATGGAATCTGGATAGCAAATATTTACACTAAACAAGATTCATATCATATTGAGGTAAATATTTATACTTAACAACATTCAATACCATTGGGAGTTGCACACCCTTGTTTGGGAGATTAGTCAACAATCTGGTTGTTCTGAAGCCTGAATTATCAAGACTATTTTTATACGGCGATGTATTATGTCGTCATCACTGTCCATCCCGTCGATCTGTGTGTCCATTCAATTTTTATTCTTGGACAATCTACTGGTCACAATTTTATCCAATTTTGATGAAACTTGAAATATAGTTTTATATCCCAAAGATATTGGTTCCTTTCAATACTTGCATATAGTGGATCGTAATTTCATGGATTATGTCCCCTGGTTGTATCAAAAATAATGTTTTTAGCTTTTGGACCCTCTATTAGTATGTGCAGGAGGACTGCACCACACACAATAACACAAAACAAATACAGACTTCATTCAAAATTGAAAAATAAACAATCAGGAATATTTTTATCAGATATTAAAAAACATTCATATATATTACACCATAATTACGGTGGAGTTCAAACTTCTCTTTGTGAATGTACTAATACCATTTCCTTATCCCTCTCTACCTCTCTCAAACTTCCCCTTCCCCTCACATACCCCTTCCATGTACAGGGGATCACGTGGCTAAGTGGTTAAGACGCTGGCTTGCTAGCCTGGAGGTTGGGTGTTCGATCCCTACATTGGCCGAGAAAGTTCATCCAGATTTTCTGGCGTGGTTTCCCCTTGTCAGTGATGCAGGACGGAGGGCCTGACAAGGACAGCTGTCTAGTCGATCGAATGGCATGAAAAAACTGAGGTCCTGTGTACATATTGGCGTGCACGTAAAAGATCCCGTGGCAGTTGGAATTCGATATAAGAGTAGGCTGGGCAAAATTTCCCTCATAGCACACATTAGCCCAGTTTAGGAGCAGAACAGTAGGACATTAAACCCCATTTCATTTCATTTCATTTCTTCCATGTACTTATACCATTTCCTTATCTCTCTCTACCTCTCTCAAACTTACCCTCCCCCCCCCCCCCCACACATACCTCTTCCATGTACTTATACCATTTCCTCATCGCTCCCTACCTCTCTTATTTCCCCCCTACCTCTTCCATCATAACCCTAACCCTAACCCTAACCCCTCGTATAATCCTACTATTGTTTATATATTTTTTAGCCATCGTGGCGCCATCTACCAATATCAGGAGATTATTCATACATAGCTTATAGAGGTTCTGATATTAAACGCAATATTTCATTCCCTACTCCTCATCAACGACAGAATATGAGAAACATTCCCCGGTAAGTATTGTTAACATGAATATTCATGACCTTTGTATATATATGAATAGTAATGTGATGTCTAGTTGCCATGGTAAAGCATGAACAAGTCTTCTGTAAATCGAAGCGAGAACATATTTATTGTATTGGTTTAATGCAAGTGAGAATAAAATACAAAATGAAATGAAATGGGGTTTAACGTCCTACTGTTTTGCTCCGAACTGGGCTAATGAAGACGGGCATACGCCATACAGTGTGCTGTGAGGGAAATTTTGCCCGGACAGCGGCACTACGGCCTACTCTTATATCAAATTCCAACTGTCAAGGGATCTTTTACGTGCACGCCAATGTGTACACAGGACCTCGGTTTTTCGTCTCATCCGAATGACTAGACAGCTGTCCTTGTCAGGCCCTCCTTCCTGCAACACTGACAAGGGGGAACCACGCCGGAAAATCTGGGTGAACTTTCACGGCCAATGCAGGGATCGAACACCCGACCTCCAGGCTAGCGAGCCAGCGTCTTACCCACTTAGCCATCGTGACCCCCAGAATAAAATACCATTGAATTTAATATAGTGTGGTCAATTAACAAGTATGTTGTATGACACCGGAAGTCTTCAATAAAATATTCAACTCAAGGTGTAGTCTATTTATCTTGTGTGTACATTTCAAATTAAATATACATTATGGGAGATTTTTATAGAGAGTTGGCCATTCTTGCTATAACAGTTCAAAAGTAGATGATGAAAGAAGAATATATTGACAATTTCAGTCCAATTACTTTATTCTGAACATAGTTATCATCGTTGTGATATTTGACTAGAAATGGTAGCGAAATGCGTCTTCACCTTGGCCGATCGTTTGATTGACAGGCGTTAACTCCACCTACATATCTTGATTATCAAGTAAAGTTTTCAATGGCATACGGAAACGCTTTACAGCGGCCTCGCTAAGTACACTCTATCATTTAGCCTCGATCTAACTGACGTATTTTCATCAGGTTGCGCCATATTTGATTTAATCAATTAGTGAAATCCTATTTAAATCCGAGCTGTAGCCGAGCCATCCGTGGGTCTACAGAGTTGATTTTGGGCTTGTTGTTTAAATAAAGATCTAATTTATAATTTCTATAACATCTGAAGCCTAAATTAAGACTTGCAATAATCAGATTTAGCTCTTGCATAATGTATGTTTAAATAGGGTTTAACATCCTACTTGTCTTCACCAACTAGGCATCATCATACTGTGGACTACAAGTGGAAATTTATCCGGACATTAGTCATTGAGTCAACTGGTGTGGTTTCGATTTTCCCCGTTGTACGTGACAAGGATTAGAGTCGCCTGTCCAACCACGTGGGTTTTCTCCGGGTCCCCCAGTTTCCGCCCACTGCTAAAGACCTGTACGCACTAGCGAATTATTGAAATAAAATGTAAGTCCCAAAATAACATAGTTTGTGTCGACTCTCTCTCTCTCTTTTATCCGAACATTGACCGGTTCATCGACCAAGTTTTCAATGATTGTGTGTTAGAGTGAACCATACTGTAGTGATGTGGTCTAAAGGTTCACCTCTCCGTTACAACAAGAAAAAAATGAAATTTAAAAAAGAGCTAGGTTACTTAATAAAAATGACTTGTATTATTTTCAGGAGAAAGTTATGTGAAGGTATCCATGTTGATGTAAATCCAGATGATATAATTGATGACAGAGAGACCGATGTTAATAAAACTAAAGGTAAGCAAGTTGGTGTTGGTGTGCTACAATTGTCATACGCTTGTAGTATAGATATGAGTGGGGTTGGATGGCCGAATGGTTAATGTGTGCGCATTGGATCAGAAGGTTTGTCATAGAGTCACGTAGCATGATTTCGATTGTTTAGTCATTCAAAGTTAGGTCATTCATTTGGGGACGCAGTAGTGTATTTTTGCGAATCAAGTTACTGTAAATTGCATGTAACATGTTTTGTATTTTTGTCTTCAGCTGTTCACCACAGGAAAAAGCGACAAGGAATTTTATATGGTGCCAACTCCTGTCAACTGTATGTTGTTGCAGATCATTTATTTCATAGTGGTATTGGTAGCAGTCGTCCTCATACCACTGTTAATTATCTGGTTTGTAGTATATTTTAACACTATATGGGCCACACCTACTATATGGGCCACTACAGTATATGGGCTACATCCACTATATAGGTGACATGCACTATTTGGGCCATATCCAGTATATGGGCCATATTCACTATATGGCCCACATCCACTATATGGGCCACACCCACTATATTGGCTATATCCACTATATGGGCCACATTCACTATATGGGCCATATCCACTATATGGGTCATATCCACTATATGGGCCACATTCACTATATGGGCCATATCCACTATATGGGCCATATTCACTATATGGGCCATATTCACATCCACTATAAAGTTATTTATCTGTTGCAAGTTTTAACATTTTATGCAGGCCATATCCAGTTTGTACACTACCATTGGAGAGAGAGAGAGAAATGTGGATTAACGTCCACTCAACACAAACAAGGTCATTTCGGGACTAACATATGGTTTAATTTTATTTCAATAATTTGCTTGCACGTAGGGGTCTTTAGCAGTGGGAGGAAATCGAAGGACCCGGAGCACTACCATTGGAGCAGGATGGAGGATCGGACAGTGTCTAGTCATTCGGATTGGACAAAAAATACGCACATGTCTGTGTTATAGACTGGTATGTTCAGCTACTAGTAGGTTGTCAGTCAAAAAGCTTACCTTCAACCCTGTCTGACATCTGGACAGAACATACCTAATTTGTCTTTTAAAGACGTCTTCAGTAGCCCAGTCGGTGCAGAAAAGTAGGACGTTAAACATCATTTTAAATTGTTTTTATTTTATTTTTAGATAAATACGTTCCAAGCGGTAGATAGTATATTTCGTTCTACTCTATGGGATAAACAGACGGACATGAGAAATATTGGATTTCAGCTTAAAGAGGTGAGTGATTCTATTTAAATTATATATAAACCTGTTAAGCGTGACATTTTTAAAACGTTAACTACCCCCAATTGTGTTATTAATTGACGAAGTGACGAAGAACTATGTACTATGTTCTAAGAATAGGTTGGGGAAAATACCTCCAAGGCGTTATATTCCAGGACATAATATAATGTCCCATACATGCTGCGATCTATGACGAACTATGTTCTAAGAATAGGTTGGGGAAAATACCTCCAAGCGGTTATATTACGGCCTACACACAGTGAGTGGCAGTTGTCCAGGACGTTATATAACGACCTACGCACTTAACAGGTCAATCTTATTTCAGTTTAAAATGTTAACTGGTCATTTGTTTTAACATGTGCGTTTCAGATCATAAAGTCTGTTATTTAAAAATAATTTCCCACAAAAGATTTATCAGGTACCTACATTTGTATTTCCAATAAAAGTATGGCAATTTTGGTATATATGGAAATTAGAGACACCCAATCTTACTTGAAAAGTACTGGATTCTTTGAAAATTACTCATGGAGTGCATGCAGGACAAAAATGTAAGGGTTTCCCTAATTGGCAACCCAACGATTAGGGATGTCTGCTTGAGCAAAGATTGCACACAAACATTGTGTGATTTCTCAGCGTTAGTGAGCACTTAATGTATGTTTATAAACTTGATAGTGAGCTTAGACGCACAACAGTTTCTGAGATAAAAGACGTGGGCAGTGGATAATTCGAGAGATTAATTATGCTTCGATATTTTTGATAAATGGACAGCGATTAAAGACAACATCGTCTTGCATATGTAAGTTTATAACACAAAGATCTCAGTTCCTTTCGATATATGCGCATATCGAATTGTAATTTCCTGAATTATGGCCCTTGATTGTAGGAAAAATCACTTTCTTGTTAGCTTATTCTCTATCCATCTCTCGAAAATGTGGGCGTATCCTGCCTGGCAGCCGCTGGTTATCCGATTTTGTTGAAACTTGAAATTTAAGTTTATAACCCAAAGATCTCGGTTCCTTTCGATATTCGCGCATATCGGACTGTAACTTCCTGAATTATGGCCCCTGATTGTACGAAAAATCGCGTTTTTAGCTTGTGTACCCTGTAGAAGTCATAATTTTTATCCGATTTAAAAACCCGTATTATTATATCACCGTTAAACCCTAAGGACGACTGAGTTTGAATTTCGTGAAAATCGGCCCAAAATTGACAGACAAAATGGCCGCCGTTCGTTCTCAAAAAACGTAAAAATATGGTATATCTAGGTTGTGGACCCTATAGAGGTCACAATTTTTATCCGATTTTGTTGAAACTTGAAATGTAAGTTTATAACCCAAAGATCTTGGTTCCTTTCGATATTCGTGCATATCGGACCGTAACTTCCTGAATTATGGTCCCTGATTGTATGAAAAATTGCGTTTTTAGCTTGTGGACCCGATAGAGATCATAATTTTTATCCGATTTAAAAAACGTATTATTATATCACCGTTACACCCTAAGGATGACTGAGTTCGAATTTCTTGAAAATCGGCCCAAAATTGACAGACAAAATGGCCGCCATTGGTTCCCAAATAGCGTAAGAATATGGTATATCAAGGTTGTGGACCCTATAGGGGTCACAATTTTTATCCGATTTTGTTGAAACTTGAAATGTAAGTTTATAACCCAAAGATCTCGGTTCCTTTCGATATTCGTGCATATCGGACCGTAACTTCCTGAATTATGACCCCTGATTGTACGAAAAATAGCATTTTTAGCTTGTGGACCCTATAGAGGTCATAATTTTTATCCGATATAAAAAAACGTATTATTATATCACTGTTACACCCTAGGGTCGACTGAGTTCGAATTTTATTGACAGACAAAAATGGCTGCCGTTCGTTCTCAAATTGCGTAAGAATATGGTATATCAAGGTTGTGGACCCTATAGAGGTCACAATTTTGATCCGATTTTGATGAAACTTGAAATACATATTTATAACCCAAAGATTTTGGTTCCTTTCGATATTCGCACATATTGGATCATAACTTCCTAAATTATGGCCCTTGATTGTACGAAAAAATCACTTCTTTTTTTGAGCTTGTTCTCTGTCCATCTCTTGCAAAATGTGGGCGTATCTTGCATGGCAACCGCTTGTATTTTATTTATTTCCTCCGGTTTTCTCCCACGCGAATTATTGAAATAAAATTGTAGGCCTACCATATCTTTAGTCAGGAAATGATCTCATTTGGATCTAAACATAGACTAGATAAGAGATTTGGATCAGATTGTTGACTATATGAGAGTTTGGATCTAAACATAGACTAGATGAGAGATTTGGATCTAAACATAGACTAGATGTGAGCTTTGGATCAGAGCATAGACTGGATGTGAGTTTGGATCAGAGCATAGACTAGATGTGAGCTTTGGATCAGAGCATAGACTGGATGTGAGTTTGGATCAGAGCATAGACTAGATGTGAGTTTTGGATCAGAGCATAGACTGGATGTGAGCTTTGGATCAGAGCATAGACTAGATGTGAGCTTTGGATCAGAGCATAGACTGGATGAGAGTTTGGATCAGAGCATAGACTGGATGTGAGTTTGGATCAGAGCATAGACTGGATGTGAGTTTTGGATCAGAGCATAGACTGGATGTGTGTTTGGATCAGAGCATAGACTGGATGTGAGCTTTGGATCAGAGCATAGACTGGATGTGAGTTTGGATCAGAGGATTAGATCGTAACAATTTCCTTATTTTGGTATTAATGAGTATTTGTTTTGTAAAAGTTTGAATTGTTTTCTTTTGATATTAATGAGTATTTGTTTTCTACTAACCAATGAATTAGATGAAGATACATGAACAATCAACACAAGTCGATTCTGGTGAATCTCACTACAATATGCACAAATCAACACAATGGGAAACTCGCGATCTACTAGAGGTAAACATTTATATCTTTATACTTTTACAATTTAATTGTTTTCGGTGCTTAAAATTTGATGTTCATTTTTTATTTTGTACCTTAATAATTTCCCTTTATTTACACATGTATCATGTCCCTTTATTATATATACCTTTATTATATCCCTTTATTATTTAAACCTTTATCATATCCCTTTAGTATTTAAACCTTTATCATGTCCCTGTATTATTTATATCTTTATCATGTCCCTTTGTTATTTATACCTTTATCATCTCCCTTTGTTATTTATACCTTTATTATTTAAACCTTTATTATTTAAACCTTTATCATGTCCCTTTATTATTTAAACCGTTATCATATCCCTTTATTATTTAAACCTTTATCATGTCCCTTTATATTTAAACCTTTATCATGACCCTTTATTATTTAAACCTTTATCATGCCCCTTTGTTATATAAACCTTTATCATGTCCCTTTGTTATATATACCTTTATCACATCCCTTTATTATTTATACCTTTATCATGTCCCTTTATCATGTCCCTTTGTTATATAAACCTTGATCATGTCCCTTTGTTATATAAACCTTTATCATGTCCCTTTGTTATATATACCTTTATCACATCCCTTTATTATTTAAACCTTTATCATGTCCCTTTGTTATATAAATCTTTATCATGTCCCTTTGTTATATATACCTTTATCACATCCCTTTATTATTTATACCTTTATCATGTCCATTTATCATGTCCCTTTGTTATATAAACCTTTATCATGTCCCTTTGTTATATAAACCTTTATCATGTCCCTTTGTTATATATACCTTTATCACATCCCTTTGTTATTTAAACCTTTATCATGTCCCTTTATTATTTAAACCTTTATTATAACTTTATCATATTATATTTGAAATAGTTCCATTAATATTTAAACCTTTATCACGTTATATTTAAGATATTTAGTCGAGAGAATTATCATCAGAACTTTTGTTTGGCCCATTTGTTTACATACCAGAAGTTTAAAGGAGGTGTACTGGGGTTAGCTTATATAGCATCACCACGACGACGTACAGTAGGAGGAATCTGCTCTCCCTGTAAGATCAATTTAATTTTTAAGTCATGAATTAATATCAAGTACTGCGACCTGTTTTCCATTTACATGTTTTCGCAGCTGAAAAGGTCGGTCTGATGCAAATGCAATGGCACCGTATCCATGTAACTGGCAAAAAAGCGTGCGGAAACACAGCGAAAAAGCATACATGGAGACAGGCTTTATACTCCCCATGATTCTTGGATGTCATCAAACTATGCACAATTCTTAACAAATGTGATCTTGTGACAGCAAAATGAATCAAAAGTCGCAAGTCATTATTTTTGAAATATAATCTTTGAGTCCTCCCAATCTGGAGGATTGTCATTCGTTATTGATTAGATAGGATGATTGATTATCATTCATTATTGATTAGATAGGATGACTGATTATCATCCGTTATTCATGATTAGATAGGATGATTGATTATCATCATTTATTGATTAGATAGGATGACTGATTATCATTCGTTATTCATGATTAGATAGGATGATTAATTATCATCATTTATTGATTAGATAGGATGATTGATTATCATCATTTATTGATTAGATAGGATGATTGATTATCATCATTTATTGATTAGATAGGATGATTGATTATCATCATTTATTGATTAGATAGGATGATTGATTATCATCATTTATTGATTAGATAGGATGATTGATTATCATCATTTATTGATTAGATAGGATGACTGTGTAGCGTCTCCTCTATGCAGTAGAGACTTTTTAGGGGTTCGTTCCAGTCTAGCATTTTAATTGGAAGAACTAACAATCTTGTGTGTATGTAAAAATCAAACATATTTATTACGATGAAATTGGATACGTTGGATCAAGGGGAAATGGGAATTAGGTATATAAATACATTTGCTCTGTTCATACGACGTGTATAGATCGCATATTGGGTGAGTTTAGAATTGGTTCCACTACTAATATCTTCCATCTTGCTCCAGCTACAGTAGTGGATCATTCTTTGAGCAAGTTTTGTAGACATTTGATGACAATAAAGTTACTGGCCTATAACTCCCTTAATTTCCAATTAAACTGACCCCAAACTGTACTGTACATAGCCTAACATGTAATAAACCAGTTCACATTGAAATAAAGGTGAAACCTTACTGCATAATTAGAGGGTTTAATAAAATCCAACTTAAACGCTAAGCCAGAAATACCATGCACACTACATTGTTCATCGCACGTGATCAAATGTCACTTCCACATATGAAGTTCATGTCTATATTTATTTGCTAACATATCCTTAATGCGGTACGATAATTGGCTTGATATATCCTGGGTGATGTCATGTCATGGCACCTACAAATTGTAGGGACGGACAAGACAAGTATGCTGCTATAATATTGCAGTTGCAAATAACCAAGCTTATGAGCCTTTAAACGAAGGCCATTTATATATATATAGATTTATTCCCACAGCCAGGATATTATTTATCTATGGTCTTTAATCTTAGTAAGGCCACCAGTTATATAAGGAGCTTAAAGATACATTATGGAAGATTAGATAACGAGCTGGCAGTTAGTTAAAAACTAGATAATGTAACGGCAATATGCTGAAAATTTCAGTCAAATTGCTTCACTCTAAGCTGAGAAAACCTTATTTTAAAAATCACTGTAGCCTCGATTGGCTTTGTTTAAGCTGTCACGATAATTAACAAAGTCTTGATATCCATTTTTGCGTTATTTTATTGGTCTAACGGGCCGTAATAAGGTAATTATATCTAAAGGACAAGACGGATAATGTGGTAATGTATGTCATTGATTTGTTTACATGTTTTTGGACGTGAATTCTACAAAGAAAACGGTCTCGTGATTCGTCACTCAGGCAGAATTGATGAGTAAAGGATTGGATTCACTTGGACCATAACATATAGGGCGGCTTATGCCCGTCTTCATTAAACTGGCTAGCCGTGAAAAGTAGAATGTTAATCCCCATTTCATTTGATTCCATTTTGATTATGTCGGGTCGTTAAATGATTTCTGGAATGTTTTTATTATATAGATGAATATTATATTCCAGCCTACGTTAAAGATACGATACGATTAACATTAAACAGTGGTTGGTCGAGTTCCATGAACACAAACGGTGATCGTCTATTAACACAGGAAGCCAACCTTGTTACAGCTCATGGTGAGTTTTAAATCCTATCACATTCAGGTTACAATCCTATCATAGTCAGGTGATAATCCTATCACAGTCAGGTTACAATTCTATCATATTTAGGTTACAATCCTATCATAGTCAGAATGGTTGATATTATATAGTTGTCATGCTGTCAAAATGGTTGATATTAGCAGCCATATAGTCAAACTTGTTAATATGAGTGGTCATACAGTCAGAATGGCTAATATTTGTGGTCATACAGTCAAAATGGTTGATATTAATTCCCCAAAATGTCTAGATTTTGAATGATGCTTTTCACACTTCATGCATCGAATCACCAACATATTACGTACATCGGGTTAAAAGATCAAACTGAGATTGTGTTGGGGTTAAAAGGTCAACCCAAGATTGTGTTGGGGTTAAAAAGTCAACCCGAGATTGTGTTGGGATTAAAAAGATCAACCTGAGATTGTGTTGAGGTTAAAAAGATCAAACTGAGATTGTGTTGGGGTTAAAAAGATTAACCTGAGATTGTGTTGGGGTTAAAAAGATCAAACTGAGATTGTGTTGGGGTTAAAAGATCAACCCGAAATTGTGTTGGGGTTAAAAAGATCAATCTGAGATTGTGTTGGGGTTAAAAGGTCAACCTGAGATTGTGTGGGGTTTAAAACAGTTGTATAATGCTTTATTTGATATTACAATATTATTTCTATTTTCTATTGAATAAAAATCTTTTTAAAAAAAAATTATGTTTTCAGAATTGGGTCATAATTGGGGAAGTGAACACGATGCTGAAACGAGTGAGTGTGCTCCGTCATCTATAACAGGTAGCGGCAAATATATCATGTATCCCTACGCCGTGGATGGGTATGAAGATAATAATAGGGTATGTTTCAATGTTGTTTCTGCTCAGCCCCGTTTTTACACGCATATTGTCGTCACTTCAAGAGATCTCGCCTCCTCTTGATATTGGCATGTATCGGACTGTAACTTCATGGATTATGGCCCCTGATTGTACGAAAAATCACGTTTTTGTAGCTTGTGGACACTCTAATGGTCACTAATTTAATCGAATTTTGATGAAACTTAAAACCCAAAGATTTCTTTTCCGTTCGATATTTGTGCATATCTTACCCTAACTTCCTGGATTATGGCCCCTGATTGTCCGAAAAATCGCTTATTTTTTTTTTTAGCATGTTCCCTGCCAATCTCTTGCAAAATGTGGGCATATCTGGCATGGCAACCAACCAGTTGTTACGGTCTGGCATGGCAACTAACCGGTTGGCACGGTTCTGGCATGGCAACCAACCGGTTGTTACGGTTCTGGCATGGCAACCAACCAGTTGTTAGATGAATGGCATATTACACTGTGTGATTAGGTGGCATTCGTGTATCAGGGTATCAGTTGGTGGACTCGGTGAATATCTTTTTCCCTGGGATTCCTTGCTAACCAGAAACGCTGATGTTGGCTTAGAAAGTTCCTTGGGATTCGTCAACCTGGATTCGCCTTGTCCGAAATGCAGGAGGCGAGGATCTGTCATGGAGAAGAATCTGATACAAAACAATAAGCTCCCATGTAGACCATTAGAAGCATGTTGAATGTTCCCTGACACTCCCAAGGAGGGTTGGGAGGTTGATTGTTTTAACGTTTGCTATTTGGATTATCAGATCTGTCAGTGACTCAAGTTTCCATTTCCATCTTGTACATGACATGGAGTAGGGCCGCCTGTCAGGGGCAGACCCCCCGCTCAGCTTCATAAATTTTTTATAAATCAACACTTTTTATGAGAAAAGTTTAATGGCCGTGTGCTTTATCCTTTATCGTCAGATGTGGGATAGGATGGGCACTCAAAGCACGAGATAATGATATAGACATAATGTGATATCACAATTAATGCTTTGAATTCATGAAATTGAATCACAATGTCATTGTATAATTCATAATAAAAATTGTCGTCAAACAAGGTGTTGAATTTCTCTGACGATAGAGACCATGTGGGAGGGAGATGGGGGGGGATACATTGTCGCAGGAACCTGGCAAAGCCCCTCCTGCAAAAATCCACACCAGCCTGTCAAACCGTGTGGGTTTTCTCCAGGCCCTCCGGCTTCCTCACACTGCTAAAGACCCCGACACGCAAGCGAATTATTGAAATCAAATTGAACCATATATGCTCTCCCCCTAACACTCAGAAATCAGAACGGGCCTAAGTGCAGGAGTTGATTGTTCCGGGTATAACTTGTTACCCAGAATAAAAACTGTCGAAATTGGAGCCATAATGTCTTTAGGTAGAACTATTTTGATTGCTTCCTGTTAAGTCTATGTTTTTTATTTTGTAGAAATTTTCTCCATGTAGCCAGCGTTATGTTTTCGATGTTTTAAAATCCAAAGCTAGTGTCTGTTTCACAGGTGATGTTTACTTTATGTGCATATCAATCAACCAATCAAATATCTCGGCCAATCGTATCTTTTGCTATAGGTGGCTGACCGTATATCAATCAACCTATGAAATATCTTGGCCGTCTGTAGGCGGCTGACCATAGTTATAGATCAAAATTTCATTTTACTTTTCTTTACTGCACTAGGATCTGGAAGAGTTGTTATATAACCCGCATTCTGGTTGATGTGAGGGATTAGCTAATGAAACGGTCTGTTACTGCGAGTTTTTGGCGTGAGTTGCACCAAACTGTGGGCAACCCACTAAAAACATTGATGCTGATTATTTAATCAAATGTCTGGCATCATAGGGTCAAAAGTCGCTCGTATGACCTCTGACGTGACCTTCCACTAAAACCGGTCAGATCTTCATGTAGTGTAGGCCATTGAAAGTATAAAAAACGAACTGAAATATAGATCTATATTAGAATGAGATTGTGATCCCTGGTTGATGTACGACCAGTAATAAGAAATATAAAATGTAACTCAGCAGGTGGAGCTGAGACAACGAGTAGTTGGAGTGTTAATAAATGCAGAACAGTAGGGCGTTAAACCCTATTTTACTTCAGTAAAGTCTCAGTTTGAGGTGAGACAATGAAGTTAAATGGGGTTTAACGTCCTAGTCTGACTAGGCTAATGAGGAAGGGAAAAGTAAGCCAGTTTGGCCTGAAACAATGATAGTTACTTTAATAAATGGTTTGATTATGTTACGATAATAAATGGTTTGATTGTGTTACTATAATACATGGTTTGAATGTATTACTATAATAAATCGTTAGAATGTGTTACTTTAATAAATGGTTTGATTGTGTTACTATAATACATGGTTTGAATGTATTACTATAATAAATCGTTAGAATGTGTTACTTTAATAAATGGTTTGATTGTGTTACTATAGTTACTATAATACATAGTTTGAATGTGTTACGATAATAAATGATTTGAATGTGTTACTATAATAAATGGTTTGATTGTGTTACTATGATAAATGGTTTGGTTGTGTTACTATGATAAATGGTTTGGTTGTGTTACTATGATAAATGGTTTGGTTGTGTTACTATGATAAATGGTTTGATTGTGTTACTATAATACATGGTTTGAATGTATTACTATAATAAATCGTTAGAATGTGTTACTTTAATAAATGGTTTGATTGTGTTACTATAGTTACTATAATACATAGTTTGAATGTGTTACGATAATAAATGATTTGAATGTGTTACTATAATAAATGGTTTGATTGTGTTACTATGATAAATGGTTTGGTTGTGTTACTATGATAAATGGTTTGGTTGTGTTACTATGATAAATGGTTTGGTTGTGTTACTATGATAAATGAATATTAATTGATTGTTTCAGCTCAGACGAAGAGTACACCGTATTGTGGTAATGGTGTACTAGATACTGGGGAGGAGTGCGACGGAGGTAAAACAGGGAAGGAGGATAAAGATGCGTGTTGTACTCCAGATTGTAAACTTAAAGGAAATGCTATATGCAGGTGAGAAATATTATATACAGGTGAGAATTGTTATATGCAGGTGAGAAATGCTATATACAGGTGAGAAATGCTATGCAGGTGAGCAATGTTATATACAAGCGAGAAATGTTATGTTATATACAAGTGCGAAGTGTTATATTATATGCAGGTGAGAAATGTTACATGTATATACAGGTGATATACAGGTGAGAAATGCTATATATAGCAATGTTATACATATATGTAGGTGAGAAATGTTATATATAGGTGAGAAATGTTATATATAGGTGAGAAATGTTATATATAGGTGAGAAATGCAGGTGAAGAGGGGTGAACATCCACTCAACACACCTGTTATATTATTATCTACCTAGACTGTTTTATTATTTTCAGTTCTATGAATTATGAGTGTTGTAAAGATTGTAAGATTGCACCTGTTGGAACAATATGTCGTCAAACATATACTGGAAGCTGTGAGAAACAGGCAGCATGCAAGTAAGTTCAGGTGTTTAGTTTATAGGCCATGTACACCTGTTATTACCTAGCTAAAATATCTCAGGTCAGAATTCTTGGAATATCTTGTCGTATTGTAGTCACCACTCCCCCCACCTCATATGTATTTCATGTGTAGTAAGTATGTCCACTCCATCATGTTAAACATGTAGTAAGAATGCTACACATGAAGTTTAAAATTCTAAAATTTACTGGATTTCAAACACTACTCTACCAACATGTTAAAAAATAAAAAAATTTCCTTGGATTTCAAACACCACCTCTACTAGTAAAATGGTGAACAAAGAAACTGGGAATAATAAAAGATCTACTCAATATTTTGAAAGTTGTAATTAAGATTGTGGGATTTTTTCTCTGGTTTTTTTTTTTACAGTGGAACAATGGATTGTCCAAAGTCTGAACCTGCAGATGAAGATACAGATTGTTTAGAAGGGTGAGTACAGGTTTTTTTATAAAATGTTGGAAACCTGTAACATCTTATTCTGGTTTTAGATTGGTTATTAAATAACACTTTTTTTTTTATTGACCACTGATTAGCCAAAGTGATTTACAATTCAATCACATCTTTAAAGTCCATCTAATTCAAATCGATTACCCTAATCAACGAATGTATCGACCCCGACTTCCGAAGCAATTACTATAGTCACTAAATAAACGATCATGTTGTACTTAATAAGGTATGACCATTAATCATCTATAAATAATAGACTGAAAACTGGTTCCATGTGTCGTCCATAACATCCAGACACTTTTGAGTAAAAGATAGGTTACGTGCCCTTATTTTGAAATTAGTCTCGCTTAACCAGTCTATCGACCATTCTAGGGCTGATTGACAGGTCGGGATAATCAAGACTACTTTTTTACGAAACATAACAGAAAGCTAGAACAAGAAATTGAATTTAGAAATGAGCACGTTAGCTAGCTCAACAATTGTTTCAAGAAGCTTGTAAAAGTAAAATGAAACTACTGCTAGTATCATGTTCCTGTCTAACCCGAGTGTTTCAGAGATATTATTTGTACTAAACCAAAAGATGCCGCTCTTAACGGTACAGTTAATGATAAAGCGATTTAAAAAATGAAACGAACATAATTTCTAAATCTGCTGTAATAACCAAGAAGCTTAATTTTACTGCTATTCAAAATCGTCAACAATAAAATTTTTACGCTGTAATAGTTGATAGATTTGTAAAGAATTGCACGTGCCATGGCTATTTATAGTATCATACTGTCAGAAAGTTGGCCTCGACACGGCGAATGTGCACGCTTCAGTGGTAGTCTCGAACTATCAGCGGTTGACTGTATTTCTGTAGGTGCATGGGTCACCCTACCATATGTAAATAACATAAATCAACCTGTCCATCATATATAATGTATTGGACAATTAAATTTAACAACAGCAAGGAACATTGTCATATTATACATTATTAATTCAATGTAACCCGGTTATCATTTAATCTTGTGTATCTAGCACTGATTTCTTTCACATTCTGACCACTGTTCAAAAATGAATCATTATACATCAATAATCAGTTGGGTTGTTTATTTTTTAACAGTGATCGAGAAATTAAACACTTGTAAATTGGACACTCATTATCAAAAGTGAATGGTCAGCTTTAAACTAGTACAAATTAGATGGGTTTTTTTTGGTGATTTTAAAAGATTTTTACAAATTTTTAAAGAAAGATTTGATATTGAATGAATGCTAAATACACAAGATTAAATGATACCCAGATTACAGTGAAAGGGTTAGCCGTTCTTATAATTTATTGGTTTCTCTACTGTTTTGATGGTACATGGTGGCTCGCTAGCCTGAAAGACACGTTCTTTCTTTACTGTGTCAGTATTGTACTGGAAAACGACAAGAGAATCATTTTAATAAGGTTGCTCTGATGAAAATACAGTAATTGTTTTCTATAATAGTGTTTATTTTACCTGTGACATTTGGGTCATATTAACTTGTTTTATTTTACCTGTGACAGGTGGATCATATTAACTTGTATGATTTTACCTGTGACAGGTGGGTCATATTACCTTGTTTGATTTTATAGGGGAAAGTGTAGAAATGGTAAGTGTGTATCATATTGTGAGAGAGCAAAGCCAAGTAAATTACCCTGCAGATGTCAAAATGAAGCAGGTTAGATTATTATTTATTTTATAATTTACAGAGAATTTTTATACGCCCATATTTTCATGTGGATGTATATTGCCGCCGCCCCTATTAAAATGAGTCTATCTGTCCATCCGTCACACTTTTTGGGACACAATAACTTTCCTTCTAGTTGAGCTAGAATGTTCAAACTTGGTGTAGGTGTCTATTAGGTCAATGCCTTGACAGAGTTAGAACATGCACATTTTTCACTGAGGGTAAGCAGAGATAAACAATTTGATTGGTTGAGACATGGAACAAGATGACTTTGGTTCTAATTGGGTGAGAGCGATTAAGCTCTTGAGTATAGATTCATTATATCACTACCATGACTAAGATCAATGATCAGAATTTTCTGCTAAGGTTAAGTAGCGATAAGAAATCTGATTGGTCATGACTTGGGAACATAATAGCTCTGCATTTTCTGCTTAGGCAAAGTGGAGACTTCAGTCTGATTGGTCGAAACTTTGGAACACAATAAGTCTCCTTCTAATTGAGGTAGATGTTCATTAGGTGAATGACTTGACTTAGTACAACGACTAAAATTTCATTGGTCGATGCTTTGGGACAAGATAACTTTGATTCTAACTGATGGAGAGTGATTCAACTTAATGTACAGTTCTTCTACCAGGTACTTTAAAACCTTGACTAAGTTAGATGGTGAACATTTTATGTGTAGACTTAGTATAGATAATCAGTTTGATTGCTCAATACTTTTGAAAAAGATGAAAATGTGCAATTAATTAATATGTGTCATCTATTTATTTTGCAATTTCGGCGGACATATTCTTTTTGAAATGAAAAGGGGTTTAACGTCCTACTGTTCTGCTCCAAATGGGCTAATGAAGACACGCATACACCATACAGTCTGCTATGAGGGCAATTTTGTCTGGAAAGCGGTACTACGGTCAATTATTATATCGAACTCCGATGTTCAAAGGTTCTTTTACGTGCACGCCAATGTATACACACACAGGACCTGTTTGTTTTTAGTCTCACCCAAATGACTATATTCTTTTTGAAGACGTTTAGGAACTTGGCCAATGACTATCACTGTAACCTGGGTATCATTTAATCTTGTGTATCTAGCACTTATTTCTTTAACATTCATTCAATATCAAATCTTTGTTTAAAGATTCGTAAAAATGAATTAAAATCACCCAAATTCATCTAATTTGTACTTTTGACTGTTAAGTTTTGATAAAACGATACCAAGGTTAAAATGTTGTTTTATTTTTAGATGCGTGTTATACAGGTTGTTTTATTTGTAGATGCATGTTATAGATGTTGTAAGTCACGTAAATCGGGTAAATGTGAACGGTTTGGTGATGAGATTCTACCTGATGGAAGAGCCTGTTACCGTGGTTTCTGTAAGGTAATGTAAATACAGTTTATATACTTCAACATTGTATCTGTAGTTAGATACGATATATACAACATGGTATTTATAGTTAGACACAATTTATACAATATTGTTGTAGTTGTGTTTTTACACGAGTCAACTCGATAACTTGTGTTTTTACACAGTCAACTTGATAACTTGTGTTTTTACACGAGTCAACTCGATAACTTGTATTTTTACACAGTCAACTTGATAACTTGTGTTTTTACGCCAGTCAACTTGATAACTTGTGTTTTTACACCAGTCAACTTGATAACTTGTGTTTTTACACAAGTCAACTTGATAACTTGTTTTTACAATAATTACAGAGTGGACAATGTAAAAAGAGCGAACAAAATCTGGTTCAACGTTTGTTCTCATTTATAGAAAAATTAACTCCCAATGCATTCGGTAAGTTTCTAGTTATTATTCAGTATGCATGTATAGCCTGACCTCTGACCTCTAGTTAATCAGTTACTCATGGGTGTGTTCATAATTTGTGCTTGTTTGACAGTATTTAAATGATGGGGGTTAGATGGCCGAATGGTTAGTACGTGCATGTTGTATCATAAGGTCTGTCATTGAGATAACTTGCATGGTTTCAATTCCCCGATTGTATTTGACAAGGAGTAGGGTCGTCTGTCCAACCTCGTGGGTTTTCTCCGGGTTCTCCGGTTTCCTCCCACTGCTAAAGACCTCTACATTAATGCAAATTATTGAAATGAAATTGAACCGTATGTTAGTCCCGAATTGACCTAGATTGTGTCGAGTAGACGTTGAACCCCCTATCTCTTTCTTCTCTCTCTCTTCTCTGTTTCAATGAATGTAGCACTTGTTTCCTTCCAGGGGGGTTGGATGGCAGAATGGTTAGCACATGCGTGCTGTATCATAAAGTCTGTCATTGAGTCAACTGGCGTGGTTTCGAATCCCCGGTTGTAGGTGACAAGGAGTAGGGTCGCCTGCCCAACCTCGTGGGTTTACTCCGGGTTCTCCGGTTTCCTCCCACTGCTAAAGACCCCTACATGCAAACAAATTATTGAAATGTAATTGAACCGTATGTTAGTCCCGAATTGACCTAGTTTGTGTGTTTAACCCCATTTCTCTCTCTCTTTGTTTCCTTCCTGAAAGTAACATCATATTTGATGTTTTATTTGAGCCAGAACAAGCCTGTAACTGTTACAATTGGTTTGGGTGGCCGAATGGTTAATGCATGCATGTTAGATCATAAAGTCTGTCATTGAGTCAAGTGGTGTGGTTTCGATTCCCTGGTTGTACGTGACATGGAATAGGGTCGCCTGTCCAACCTCGTGGGTTTTCCTACTCTTGTATTCTTCCAATACCTCGGTCTTGATTAATATATAAGAATTATTGAAATATATTTTATGTCATATTTTAGTTGAGTTCATGAAGAGTAATATAGTGGGGACGATTATTATATTCTCTATGGTAATATGGATTCCAGCTAGTTGGACATTTAGTTGTATAGTAAGTATTATTATATTCTCTATGGTAATATGGATTTTGTAATATAGTGCAATTTAGTATACAATCCATACTGTGGAAACGGGGCGTTGTTTGGCAGAATGGAATAACACATGTGCTTTAGAACATAAGGTCTGTCAGTGAGTCAAGTCCAACGTGTAAAGGTTTCAATTGCTTGCTTGTACTTGACAAAATTGAACGATATGATAGTCCCAAAATAACCTAGTTTGTATCTAGTGGACATTATGATAAAGTAAAAATTATTTTTTGCAGGATAAAAAAAGAGAAGAAGAAATGCGTCAACTATCTGAGTGGAAAAGTTTAAGAGTAAGTTTTATTAAAGTTGAGTCAGTTTGCTGATATGAGAGGGGTTATTTCCCTTTGACATCTATATCAGTGCCATATCCTAATTTTATTACAGGAATACCTCACAATTTGAAATTTAAATGAAATAGAGTTAACCGCCTACTATTCTGCACCGACTGGGGTAATGAAGATAACTATAATATGCCATACAGTGTGCTATGAGGGAAATTTTGCCTGGACAGTGGCATTTTGGCATAACATACACATTGTGAATGTCTTAATTTATGTGCACGGTTCGGTATACGGGACCTCATTTTTTTTCGTCCCATCACAAACAGTTCCATATCAGGCCTTCCATCCTGCACCAACAGAGAGGTACAAGAGATGTGGGCTTTGAGACATATGGTTCAGATGTGGCCATCGTGACACATGGTTCAGATTTGGCCATCATGACATATGGTTCAGATGTGGCCATTGTGACATATGGTTCAGATGTGGCCATTCAGACGTGTGGTTCAAATGTGGCCATCATGACATATGGTTCAGATGTGGCCATCGTGACATATGGTTAAGATATGACCATTGTGACATATGGTTCAGATGTGGCCATCGTGACATATGGTTCAGATGTGGCCATCATGACATATGGTTCAGGTGTGACAAATGGTTAAAATATTTTGACATGGCTCTATGTAGTACTTTTAGTCCGATTGGTTTCATATTCTCTATTTAATGTTAAATAATTATTTTAGTGTGAATTAAACATGCATTATGCAAGAGCTAAATCTGTCTATTGCAGGTCTTCCTTTAGGCCTGAAATGTTATCTAAATTATTAATTAGTCATTAATTAACTTATCCAGACCATAATCAACTTTATATGGCATCGTTAGCCTGCGATCTTTGGTGGATTATGGGCCGATTTACTGCAAAACTTTCCTTCACGATTTAATGATTAAATGGATAATCAAGACTATGCTGTTTATCGTACTGAGTTTAGTAATGATGATCGAGGCTAGGTGAAATTTCAATCGCTTAGTTCTCAGTTCATAGTGGATCAATTTGAATGAAATTTTCAGCAAATTGTCTTTACATTTTTCTAGTTTTTAACTATCTTAGTGAGAACTGCCAACTCGTTATCTTTAAATCTTGAGAAATTAAATATTGTCCAAAAAATACAAAATGACAATCATTAGTTTCAATAATATATTTAATTAGATTATTTTTATTTTTCAGAGCCACGATTTGTTTCTACAAGACAGTATTCATTCATTTAAAGTTCAGAATTCACAAAAACAACGAATCAAGCGTCACATGGCTTCCGTTCGACAACCTACAGTTGTTGTTAATCGTCCTAATCCGCAGACTTATAGAGATAGTCGTTCACGAGTTTCAGAAACTGCTATATGATCATTTCTTTCTTAGCATATTAACACAAGGTCGTAGAAACTGTGATATGATCATTTCTTTGTTCGGCATTTAGTATTTGAGCAGATTAACATAAATTCTCAGAAACTGCGATATGATCAATTCTTTTTTAGACATTTAGAACATATTAACTAACACAAATTCTCAGAAACTGTGATATGATCATTCCTTTCTTAGAGATTTAGTATTTGAGCATAGTAACACAAGGTACAATTTATATAGATGCACAATTAGTAATCTAGCATATTATAGGTGCTGAATCGCCTAAAAATAGACACAAATGGGTCCCAACGCAAATAATAATGTAATATAATATGAATGTATAATTCTGTTTTTACTGTAGTTTCTAATCTAAGAGTCCAAATTAAATGGCAATCTTTGGCGTCTTGTTATTCCTGTCTACCCTGGTAGTATTCTCATGTAGGTATGTTTAGTAGCATTCATCGAGTTGCTTCTTTACAAATGGCACTTGAACGCATTCTGGCACACGATTCATTTGTCAATTTTAAAATTTTCATTTTGTCTTAAATATTGGAAATATCAGAAGCCCATCTTTTCACAGTAAGATAACAACATCAATGTTGATTTAAATTGACCATTAAGTCTTGTTTGCAATGTCGAAGACTGTTGATGATATTGAGTTAAAGACTTGGCTTCTTTAACACAAGGTACAATTTTTATGGATACACAATTACTGAATTGATTTCAATGTAACGTTTCAAGGATACTTTGGTCACTATTATTGTTGTATATAATATTTGTCTACCATCCTGAATTATTTGATGAGAGTATCATCATGGAAAACCTTGCACTCTTAAGATAAAACAATTGTACATTGTGCTATTTATTATATGTTATGTAGGTAACTAATGGCAACAAGGGGTGTTAATATTACTTTCCTGTATATACCATACGATCCTTTATGGACAAACAGGACTTTTAACGTTAAATATTTGTGTTCTTAACATAATCAAGTGATGGTGTTGGATATAGTGTTGGTTTTTACGTAATACTCGGTCATCTTGCCTTTTTTTATGGTCTGAAAGTTTCTGAACCAGATCATGTACTGTTGTTGTTCTTAGCGTTTAACGTCCGCTTCCACCGAAGGTGATATCGCAGACAAGTTCATTTTAATGATCTTAGCGCACGCGCAGGGGTCTTTGCTGTGGGAGGAAACCGGAGTACTGTACTGTTCATAGATTGGCTTTAACCTTTGTCGGTGCACGTCGTGGGACCCCATGCGCATGTTTTATAAGTGTTTTGTAATAACTAATGGGCACTTCTTTCTGAAATTTACTGACTTTTTCTTGTATACATTTTTACACGTGTAGAGTTATGTTACATGCAAATCAGACCCAACGCTTGACAGGAACAAGGGATCCCTAACAGATAACTCACAGTAGGGATTTTACTAATGTATTTGTAGTCTGATACCATATTGCTAGTCCTTCTGTCTGGGATATCACCCAAGGTGGTAGAGGATTTAAAACTCTGGTGCTACAGGGATGACAGAGGTATATAGGGGACCTTGTTTATAGTGCAACAGGGCTGACATGTTACAGAGGTATTATATCACTGGTAAACAGATACCGTTGACTAATGAAGCTAGGCCTTTTAGTAATAACAATTTTTGTTATTAAATCATATAAGTGGTCAGTATTCTAAACTAATGTTTAGTATGTATAGAAAGTGGTTAGACAGTATACAGTTCCTTGAATGACATTTAGAAGTAGAGGTATAATATTCATAATAACACAACTTTATGGATTTACTACTTCTTGGTTTATTACATTGAAACGTTGCATGTAATAAACCAAGAAGTAGTAAATCCATAAAGTTGTGTTATTATGAACAGTATACAGTTGTCATTAATTAGGAAACTGAATACACAAACCTGGACAATAGAGGCATTCAATAGTCCCGGTTTTAACACCTTAGTGACAAAACACCTACTTATAGACTTCTGCCTGATTACTAACAATTTTAACTAACTCATTTATAAGTTATTTATTGCTTAGTCAACAATATCAATGGTATGGTGTATATTTGTGTTTTATCATGGAGAACATGTATTGTTAAAATCTTCCATTTTGTAAAAAAGTTTATGGTTTCATGCTCAATATTTTTATGCCCATTTTGTAAAAAAAGAGTTTTTTTTCCTGTATAATATCATTCACTATTTTTTTTTCATGCCCATATTTTTAGATCATTTCATTTTGTAAAAAAAAATAACAAGTACTGCTATTGTTGGATGTTTTTGTTTTATCAGATTGAGTCATCATATTATGAGGTACTGCAGTTAGGCCCTCCAGCGTGTTCCCGAAGCAACGGCCGTGAGTTGACAACATCTAGCCGTTGCTAGATTAGTCAGAAATTACCGAACTGTTAGGTATGTTATCTCCCTTTACCACATCAGACACGTGAACAATAGCGTTGGCCAATCAAGAGGCTGTGTCACACACTCAAATCAACCATGGCGAACCTTGAACTTTGCAACTTGATTCTCACAGGTAGACATTTTAGCTTGAAAGCGCGAGATTTGGTATTCGAGATGATGTTTTCTATCGAGGAATATCCAACAGGGTCAGTAGCCTTCACAATTAGTGACGAAATATGCAGGGTACTGCGTGAAGAGCTTGATAAGATGTACGGAGTTAAAGCGAGATCATGCCTTCTATTGAAGATGGGCCCTCCAGCTACCGGGTACCGTAATCCGGCTCCATAAATTGTGTATGCTTCCAACGCAAGGATTAGCTATTATTCCTATCAACCAATTGTAAGAAAACAACAAGACATGTGTTTTCAAACTCGAGGTCGCAACCCAGGCCCGTAGCCAGGCCCCCCCCCGAAAAAATGTTTTGCCGACCATAGCTCTAAAATACCTACTGTAGACTGTGCCAAGTGTGCCCCCCTTAAAAACTTCACTGCCTCTCTGAAGCTAGCCTGTCGCAACCCCAGCCTGACGTATACAGTCTGATCTATTCCACCCCTTGCCAACCGTCTCTCCTCTCTCACGCTCACCATTTGTTTCCCCAGTCTCTCATTGCGGCATTTTGATCTGTAAATAATGATGATGTTTCATAGTAAAAGGTGACTTTGCTCTTCGAGGGGTCGCCGATCAGATGATAGGTACTGGAATGGGGTCGCAACCATCAAAAGATTTGGTAATCACTGGAATAAGAGAATATTTATCGCAAGATTTATCGCGTGCAGCTGTTCTGGGATACAGACAGACAGGGAGAGGGTGGGGGTGGGGGTGGGTGGGATAATGTCTATTTTAATTCAATAATTCGCAGTGGGAGGAAACATGAGG